TGGAAACCTAGAACAAATACTAGTTGGTTGTACTCACTAGAAGCATACCTCAGTCTAGCCTATAACTTCTACATAGATAATATGTATAAGTTGACATTATTGTCATTCCCGAGTCGCCCGAAAATAATAACATATATAGATAGCTACTGAGGTTTATTTTTAGGAAATGAATGTGTTTAAAAGCGCGTCAAGGTACTCTTAGAACCGCATTTAATTTGTTTATTAATTTCAATACAACAAATCTATTAGAAGTCTGGCGGTTGGCTTTTGAAATTTTCAACAAATGTATTTACCGGAAAACTTTTCCGCCAAATTACGACTTTACCGTTATTGTCATGTTCGAAACAAATTAGCGCACGCGCACTACAGTTTAATATTCACGCCTCATTGGCTTAGCACCGATCCCGGATAGATTTTCCCTTTTGTGTCAAATGTTTTCCTTTTTTTGCGTTTGTTAATGTTTGAAAAGGTGCACTCCCGGTGTGCGACCTGCTGTGGCCCTATTAGCTTATGTGACATAAATGCGCGAGGTCACAATTTTGGAATTTTGTGAGCGCGACGTCCAACGCTTTTTAATTTGGGAATAATTTACGTAGTTCTCTCGAACAACATCTGGACTGGAGCTTGGGAAAAATATCGTGCCAGCCGCAATGATGACAAAATTGGGCCGGCGCGAACGGGAAAACGTTCCGAGACGGGCGGGGATTACTTTTACTGACCATTCGTGGAACTTTTTTCCTGTAGTTTCTAACTAACGGTGGAACACGACTGATGAAACATGTTGCGAGCTTGCTAATTCTGATTGTTTATCTCGTGTCACTGACCGTACATGTTATCGAGGCCCCTAATACTAAGCGCCGATATACTTTCCCTTTTCATACTCCATCTTCAACATGGAATTGCCCATAACTTCCCATCGTCTGTCCTTCCCTGTTTGTGTTGAAACCTATGATTTTTTTTATTTTTATTTTTTTCGCACAACTTGTGATTCATCCGTCTGCTTGGATCCCTGTTGGGCTGAGAAAAGCCCTAGGATCTTTTTAGAAAACTAAGTTCTTGTAAAAGAGTGCTTGATAGCATAGTGGAAGTCTTTGATGAACCCTTGTACTGGTTTGTGCGAACAAGTGATTGATTATAGTAAAGGGATACAATATTTATATAATAATACAAGAGAATATGAAGAGTCTAACTGTTTATGCACTTCGAAGGGTACATTCCCTTAACGACTTGATAAGAGCGACTCGAGTAACCACCCATGCTGTAATACCGGGACAGTCATTTGTCCTTGTTGACGTGCTGACCTGACTTTTGCACTTCTGACTGTTGGGTTGCACGGTCAACGGCCTGCGGCTGTTGCCCTTTCGTAACCTCTGCGAAGTGTCGTATCGTCAATCTGCGTCAATAGTCGGAAGTACTGTAGCGGGGTTTGATTCGTCAGTCCTCGATGTTCTGGCCTTCGCGTATTGTTACAACTACACGATTCTCCTGGAATGTCCTAAGTCTTTTTATCATTTCCAACACCCTCCTTTATTTCTGGAGTGTCGATGTCGTCGAGGTTGCTGACGTGTTGTAGTCCATTCAGCAGCATGCAGTGCTGGAACTTCGACTTCATCAGCTTCTTGGTCAGGTAGTCAGCTCCCATTTTGGTGGTGGGACACTAGACCCATTGGAGTCGTCCCTGCTCGATCTCGTCTTTCACGAAGAAGTTGCGAAGCAAGATGTGCTTCGTCCTGTTCGCGAATCCATTTTTGTTAGCGATCGTGATCGCCGATTGGTTGTTGCAAAAGAGGGAGAAGCTTGGTAACTCAGCAATCTTCGCTTATTCGAGCAGCTCGTGCAGGTAAAGTCCTTCCTTTCTAGCTGTCCAGAGGGCGATATATTCAGCTTCAGCAGATGAGATGGCGATTAGTTCTTGTTTTCCTAAGTGCCAGGAGATAGTGCCGATAGGCTCCAAGCGATAGACGTAGCTTGTGCGAGAGCGCATGTTGTCCTTGTCGGCAGCGTGATCGGCGTCGACGTAGCTGATAAGCTCCGTCTTGGTCATGGCGTTCTTGTGATAGGTGAGGCCGATTGTTGGGGTTGAAATAAAGTAGTGGAACACGCGATCGAGTTCTTGCAGATTCCCCCCTTTCAGGTTGCTTAAGGTATGTCATGAGCTGACTAGCGACATAGGAGAGATCAGGATGGCAAATGACGGCGGCGAAGAGCAGACAGCCCAGCTTCTGCTAGTATTCTTGGATGCCGGCCGAGGCGAGTAGCGAGGAGGATGGCACAGGAACCGGCGCGCATAAAGTGAGAATACGGCCCCGTTACACTTCTTTCTCATTTCCATCTCTTTCCTCTATCTCATTCTTCTTTTTATCCTGATTCCTTTGATCTTTATCATATCCCATTTGGTTATCCTATTATTATACCTATATCACCAACCAGGCTCGGGATGTACTGGTGCGCTATATCTAGCGTAATCTTGTCGTAATCCCTTAAAGACAATAGCCTCTCGTGGCTATACGCATGGTGATTCTATTTCTAGAAGGGTCGATTCCCTTTGGATAGGATAAATCTGGTTACCTGATGTACCTCGGAAGCATGAAAGCGCCTTGTATCAATCGATAGCGCAACTTTCCCTCGACACATTCGATCATGTGACACTTGGTAATCAGAGTTTTTCTCACTCAGCCGCGCTCAGCTAAGCCGTAGCAGCAGGAAAACCTACCTCGTAAAACCGCCGGAGGCGACTAATTCAGCGCCGATTCTGGTGTGCACCATCTCCGCGTTTATTTAATTAACCCCTCCGCGCGTGTTTTGAACAGGATGGCGAACTTCGACAACGCCGAGGTTACCTAGCAGCTCTTCGCGAGCATCGCCGCTCTTCAGGAGGAAATGCGAGCCGGTCGCGAAGCTTGGCGAAACGAGTTCGAGCGAGTAACTCCACTCGCTGGCGCACAGCACGAAACGAGAACGGCGACGACGCAGCAGTCTGGGATTGTCAACGCGTACGGCTCGCGGCGACACTGATGCGAGGGCCGGCACTCGGGTGGATCGACGGCAACAGTACTTTCATCCACGGCGAAGCCACGTGGCAGCAGTTCTGCACCGACCTGCTGAAATGTTTTGGAGTCAATAAATTCGGGTTTCCTTGCCCGGGAAAAAAATCATCGCCATCGACAGTTCGGGAGTGTAGCACAGCACACGCAACAGATGGAGGAATTTTATAACCACATTCCCGACCTGACCGTAGGGGAAAAAGTGATAGGCTGAAGACCGAAGTCAAACAACAGATAGCAACGACAAATTATGCGAGCTACAGAGACATCGTATCGGCAACAGAGCGGTTTGACATGGCCAACGCCGGAACATACGGGCGCACGTCAGCAGCACGGACAGAGCGACTGCTCGGCTCACCCCACGTTCGCCGACCCGATGGAAATTGACAGGTTCGACGGGCGGTCACCTAAAAAAAACACCAACTACACGTGTGATTTTTGCGGGGTGCCGGGCCATCGAATCTTTGACTGCAACAAAATGAAAGCCGCCCGAGTAGAGTATCGGGCACGCAACAGTGGCGGAATTTCTTCAGCCAATCAGAAGACAAAAAACGGAGTTCGCCAGTGATTGCGGATCTAGCTGGCGAAAAGGAAAAGATCCGAAAGCAGCCGCGAGATTCCGGGTGCAGAGTTTACTGCTATAACGGGAGCTTCTGCGGAAGTGACTGACGCAGATAGAGCTCTCTAGCTCACACAGCGGAGCATCACACACCGTATGCGACAAGGTAGTAATCGACCGACTTCGGGAAGAGTACAAGCCTTCAGCCTTCTCTGCAACGATGGTGGACAGCAGCAAGTTACCAGTATACGGCGAAGCAGTGTTACACCTACAAATCGGACCACTACGCTGGAGACCTGCACTCCCCATCACCAACATAAAAGGGCTTGACTTGATCATCGGGAGAGACTTCCTAAAAAGATTCAACCCCGAGATCAACTGGGTAAATCGTACCGCAAGCATCTACAACAACGGAAGGAGAGTCCAGCTACCCAACTGGGACGATACAGGAGACATCCCAGTGGAGACACTCGCAAGATTCGAGAAGGACGTAAAGCAAACCGAAACCGGGTTCCTGGCGATAGCGACAGAGGTGGAAAACGACGGAGAGAAAATCTCGGAACCTCCAAAAGAAATCAAGGAATTACTGAAGGAGTTCCAAGACATTCTTCCCGACGACCTTCCGAACGAACTGCCGCCATACCGAACGCACCAACACGAGATCGTGGAAGAACCAGGTTCGAAGCCGACCTTCCGAGCACCATATCGGCTCAGCCCCACGGAACTACCCGACAGATCGAGTATCTCATCGCAAAAGGACTCATCCGACCATCCACTTCACCATACGGTGCACCTCCGACACATGGTGAGCGCTCAAGGAGTTCACGTCGACCCCAAGAAGATCGAAGCTGTACGCACTTGGAAGACACCCGAGAACGTAAAGGAGTTGCAGTAGTTCCTTGGCTTCGCTAACTATTACAATAGGTTCGTGCCATAGTACGCAAAAATCGCAACACCTCTCACGAATCTACTGAAGAAGAACACACCCTATAAGTGGGAACCAAAATATCAGGATGCCGTGGAGAAGCTAAAACAAGCACTCACGTCCGCACTCGTACTCATCTTGCCAGACCCCGAACGCGATTACGTCATCGAAGCTGACGCTAGTGACCAGGCAGTTGGAGCAGTCTTGATGCAAGACCAGGGGAATGGACTGCAACCAATCGCCTACCTCAGCAACAAACTACACGGGGCAAAACTTAACTACCCGATACATGACAAGGAGGCCCTTGCTATTATCATCGCCTTCAAAGCGTGGAGATGTTATCTCGAAGGATGAAAAACAACCGTCTACACCGACCACAGCAGCCTGAAATATTTGAAGACACAACCAAACCTCTCCAGGCGGCAGGTCCGGTGGATTGACTTCCTCGAGACGCAAAACCACTATGACATCGTGTACAAGCTTGGATTTCATAACCGGGTTACCAACTACCACAAGCGGTCATGACACAATCCTCATCGTCATCGACAAATTCTCCAAAATGGGACACTTTATCCCGACACACACGACAGCACGCACCGAAGAGACGGCACAACTATTCGTTTGCTACATCATCTCACAACATGGCATTCCAACCACCCTCATCTCCGACCAAGACCCCAAGTTCACCAGCAAGTTCTGGAAGGAACTGATGTCTCTCCTCAGGACAAAACTCGCCATGTCATCCGCCTACCATCCGCAGACAGATGGACAGACCGAGTACCTCAATCAAATTGTAGAGCAACTCCTCCACGCAGCATGCAAATACAAAATTTCTAAATGGGACTTGCATCTGCCCGTGCTGGAGTTTGCCTAGAACAACGTCACTCATGCCACTACTGGACAGACGCCGTTCTTCCTCTGTTACGGACGCCACCCGATCATGCCACAAAAATCGACAGCATCAGCCACAGTCCAGCCCGCACACGACTTCATCACGAGCATGCATTAGCTTTGGGATCGGACCCACAAGCGCCTCCTCGATATTCAGCAGCAACATAAGCGCCAGGCCGATCGCCACCGCACTGACCACACCATCAGCATGGGAGACCACGTTCTACTCGACAGCCGCAATCTCGACATCGGTCATCTCCCATCCAAACTACAACCTCGCTTCTACGGGCCCTTTCTCGTCGAAGCATAGGTCACTCCTGTTACCTTCCGCTTACGCCTGCCAGCTACCTGGAAGATTCACAACGCCTTCCATGTCCAACTTCTGAAGCCATATCGAGATCCGAATACGGTCTTCACCGGACGCCAACCGCTGCCACCGCCGCCGCCCGTCCTCGTCCACGATGAACCCGAGTACGAGGCCAAGTCCGTGCTCGCACACCGTCGTCGTCGGAATGGCACTGTGGAGCTTCTCATTCGTTGGAATGGTTATGATCCTTCTAAGGATAGTTGGGTTTTTGAATCCGAGATGGGTAACGCTCGTCGTCCTCTTCGCAACTACCTTGTCAAGCAGGGTGTTACTTCTACCACCCAGCTTTGAGGGGGGGAGTGTGAGAGTACGACCCCGTTACACTTCTTTCTCATTTCCAACTTATTCCTCTATCTCATTCTTCTTTTTATCTTGATTCCTTTGATCTTTATCCCATCCCATTTGGTTTCCTATTCCTCCATTCTCATTACCCTTTGGGTTATCCTATTATTATAATTATATCACCGACTAGGCTCGGGATGTACTGGCGCGCTATATCTAGCGTAATCTTGCCGTAATCCCTTAAAGCCAATAGCCTCGCGTGGCTATACGCAGGGTGATTCTGTTTCTAGAAGGGTCTATTCCCTTTGGATAGGATAAACCTGTTTACCTAATATACATCGGAAGTATAAAAACGCCTTGTAGCAATCAATAGTGCAACATTTCCTCGACACATTCGATCCTGTGACAGTAGAGGTATGGATTTGTGAGGGGCAGTGGAGAGAGATCGAACCACTGAGCGATATTCTCGGTGTACTTGGAGCCCGAGAAATGGATGGTGTCAGGGCCGTCGGTGATGTTGAGCCCCAGGTACTGCGTCACGGTAGGCGAGACCGTGATATTTACACTGGCGGAAACAATTGTCCGTATGTTTTGCATAAATTTGGGTTTTTTTGCTTTAAAACCACTATACATTAAGCCTTAATGTTTGATGGTGGTACGATTTGGGAGGGGCACATAGTGGATGTGTTCATAGCACAAACATCAAGAATAGTACATTGGATCAAACTAATATCCCAAAAGATACACAAAGGGTACATCCGGACAAATAGTTCCAAGCAGGGAGGGCAAACTTCAAAAGTGTGTTTCTAGTTCTTAGCCCACCGACCTTTGGCCGTGATCACTGCCCGCACCCTCCTAGGCGAGCCGCCGATGAGGCCAGAGCAAACCTCGGCATGGATCTTCTCCCATTCTTCTTGGACCATCTCTTAAAGCTCTAGCATTCCAGAGGAAGGCCTTTTCTGCTTAGCCAACTCCCTTTTCGGGTAAGCCCAGATGTTCAGGTTTGGTGAGAAAGAAGGCTACTCCAGGGCTACATACTCATGTTTTCCAAGTCATTCATGCACTAGGCATAACAAATTCTTGGGGTCATTGTCCCCATCAAGATGACCTCAGAAGGAAAAATCCTATAGAAACGGAGGTTCAATTCGTGTTCATCATGCAAAATGCCATCATACAGGGGCCTCTCCATGCGTCCGTCAATCTTGCGTATGAACCCCACCCCCGCACATGTCATACATCCCCACACCATCATCGATCCTTGTCCCCATGGTTTACCGTCTGTTTGATTTGGTGGTGTTGCAGGGTTGTGCCTTCACGAATCCAGGCAAACGTGCAGTTAAGACTGTCGATGTTGGTCCCATTTGACCAGATCACATGCTTTCGAATACTAATTGTCCACTCAGCATGCGAGTCCGCGAATTACAGCCGGCCCCTGATAATTTTCCATAACAGTCTTGGCTTCTATGACTGGTGCACCGTGACTAGACCCGCAAACCCTAGTGTGTTTTTAATGGTGCAAGGGTGCACACTCAACCGTGCAACAATACCCTCAGTTTCGTGGTGTTTACGCTAGATTTGGCTGCTCTATTTGTGATTTTACCCTACAATGGTACGATGAAGACGATCCGTGATAAGTTGGGCCCGACCGGCTAATTGCATCTTTGGCCACACCTCAACATGGCTAGTCTCAAAGATACCATTCAATCCAAATTCGTGTACAATACTCTAGCCTACGCCCAACTTTTTCGCGATTTTTCTAGTGCTCACCCCCTTATGCTAAATGGTGGGTCCAGGAAGAGTGCAAGAAGTTCCCTGCCGAGGTTTGTACTAACCTCGTAGGTAATATGCCTAGGAGGGTGCGGGTGGTGATCAAGGCCAAAGGTCGGTGGGCTATATACCAAATACGCAATTATGAAGTTTGCTCTCTCTGCTTGGAAGTATTTGTCCGGATGTACCCTTCGTATATCTTTTGGGATATGAGCTAGATCCAATATAATATTCTGGATATTTGTGCTATGAACACATCCACTATGTGCCCCTCCCAAATCGTACCACCATTAAACATTAAGGCTTAATGTATAGTGGTTTTAGAGCAAAAAAAACCAAATTTATGCAAAACATATGGACAATTGTTTCCGCCAGTGTAGCTGGAGATCCAGCTCCCCTTCGAACTAGACAGCGATGGATGCGGTTGAGCCGACAAAGAGCAAATCGTTGACATAGACGATGAGCAGCACATAGTCGCTGCTGCGGAAGAGGCGGTACATGCCCTGGTCGTGGGGCAACTGGGTGAAGTCCATGGCGATGAGGATGCGGTGCAGGTACTGCTGTCACACGCGCGGGGCCTGATTAATCCCGTAAAGGGATTTGACGAGCTGGCACACCAGCGTGGGATCGTCGACAAACGCGTGGGGCTGTTTGAAAAAGATATCAACATCGACAGGGGCGTAGAGGAATGCCGTGGCGACATCGATCTAGCGCAGAGGGAGCTTGCGGACGGGGTGATGGCGAGGAGGATGCGGAGGGACATGTGGCAACTGACAGGGGCGAAGGTGTGAGAGCTCGGGATGTACTGGCGCGCTATATCTAGCGTAATCCTGCCGTAATCCCTTAAAGCCAATAGCCTCGCGTGGCTATACGCAGGGTGATTCTATCTTCTAGAAGGGTCTATTCCCTTAGGATAAAGATAAACCTGGTTACCTAATGTACTTTGGAAGTATAAAAGCGCCTTGTACTGATCGATAGTGCAATCTTTCCTCGAGACATTCGATCCTGTGACACTTGGTAATCAGAGCTTTTCTTACTCCACCGCGCTCAGCTAAGCACCAGCAGCGGGGATCCTGCCTCGAAAAACCGCCGGGGGCGACCAATTCGACGCCGATTCTGGTAAGCACCAGCTCCGCGATTTTCGAATTACCCCCTCCGTGCGTGTTTTGAACAGGATGACAACCTTCGACAACGCCGAGGTTACCCTGCAGCTCTTCGCACGCATCGCAGCCCTTCAGGAGGAAATGCGAGCGGATCGCGAAGCGTGGCGAAACCAGTTCGAGCGAGTAACTCGACTCGTCGGAGCGCAGCACGAGACGACAACGGCGACGACGCAGCAGTCGCAGCAGTTTCTCGAGGCTCCGAAACCGCGCCCACCTGAGCCGTTCGATCCGAGCGATCGAAACTCCGACGCCCGCAGATGGATCGCCGGGATGGAGATCTATTTCGCAGCCGTCGGATGGAGCTCGCCAGTCTGGGACGGACAACGTGTACGACTCGCGGCGACACTGATGCGAGGGCCGGCACTCGAGTGGATTCGCGGCAACAGTACCTTCATCCACGGTGAAGCCACGTGGCAGCAGTTCCGCGCTGACCTGCTGAAACGCTTCGAGCCGATAAATTCCAGTTACCTTGCCCGGGAAAAAATTCATCGACACCGACAGTTCGGGAGTGTAGCGCAGTACACGCAGCAAATGGAGGAATTTTATAACCGCATTTCCGACCTGACCGAAGGGGAAAAAGTACAATCGTACCTCGCCGGGCTGAAGACCGAAGTCAAACGACAAGTCGCAGCGTCAAACTACGCGAGCTACAGTGACGTCGTTTCGGCAGCGCAGCGCTTCGACATGGTCAACGCCGGAACACGACGGACGCACGTCGGCAGTACGCGACAGGGCGACCGCTCGGCTCACCCCACGTTCGCCGACCCGATGGAAGTCGACAGATTCGAGGGGCGGCCACGTCCGAAAAACACCAACTACACGTGTGATTTTTGCGGGGTGCCGGGTCATCGAGTTTTCGACTGCAGCAAAATGAAAGCCGCACACGCAGAGTATCGGGCACGCAACAGTGGCGGAATTCCTTCGGCCAATCAAAAGCCAAAAAACGGAACTCGCCAGTGATTGCGGATCTAGCTGGCGAAAAAGAAAAGATCCGGAAGCGGCCGCGGGATTCCGAGAAAATCAACTCCAACGAAGCTGATTCGACGCGAGTAGGAGGAAATGATGGGGGAAAACCTCCACCCCACGACCAGTCCTTGCCAGGGAAAATCGCCGAGGAAAAATACGACTCCGCGAAAAAAGACTCTGCCGAGACAGGGAAACTCCTTGAAGACCCAAGAAATTATAAGAATTCGTTAAAGTTATCTTATAAAGATGCTTTAATGAAAACTTATGATTTTCGAGGGGCTAGAGCCTTGGAGAAATTTCGGGAGGGACTCCAAAAGAAGCAGACAGCTGTGGAGATTATACCGGTACCAGAAAACTTGGGGACCAAATTAAGGAGTGTGGAAAGAAGCCGACCTTTCCACAGAGTCAACGTCCTCTCCCGACACCAGCCCACAACGACTACCCGTTCCCCAGGGAAGACGTTGGTGGAGCTGAAGCAGCTCAAGAGGAAGCTGGGGGTCTACAAGAAGCTGCACAAACCCCGAACTCCTCCTACGGATGCATTTAGTTCTTCGGCATCTGTAACGCGCACAGTCGTCAAGCAAACTCCGGGCCCTGGAGAAGAGCCGTTCTCCAAGCAGCCTCGGCCAGCTGCCAGCTCAGGAGTAGATAGCAAAACAAAGGTGTGTACAGAGTATTGGGATGTACCCTATGACCCAATCAATGAGACTATCTTTGGGTACTCCGAGCAACGACTGCCCCTCGTGCTCGAGGTCATCTGCAAAGGACGACGCCTCCAAGCACTCGTGGACAGCGGAGCGTCACACACCGTCTGCGACAAGGCAGTAATCGACCGATTTCGAGAAGAGTACAAGCCTTCAGGATTCTCTGCAACGATGGTGGACGGCAGCAAGTTACCAATATACGGCGAAGCAGTGCTACACCTACAAATCGGACCACTGCGCTGGAGACCTGCACTCCCCATCACCAACATCAAAGGGCTTGACCTGATCTTTGGGCGAGATTTTCTGAAAAGATTCAACCCCGAGATCAACTGGGTGAACCGCACCGCAAGAATCTACAACAATGGACGGAGAGTACAGCTACCCAACTGGGACGATACTGGAGATATCCCAGTGGAGACACTCGCACGATTCGAGAAGGACGTGAAGCGAACCGACACCGTATTCCTGGCGATAGCAATAGTGGTGGAGAACGACGGAGAGAAAGCCACGGAACCTCTAGAAAAAATCAAGGACTTACTGAAGGAGTTCCAAGACATTCTTCCTGACGATCTTCCGAACGAGCTACCGCCATACCGAACGCATCAACACGAGATCGTGGAGGAACCGGGTTCGAAGCCGACCTTCCGAGCACCATACCGGCTCAGCCCTACGGAGCTGACTGATATGAAAAAACAGATCGAGTATCTCCTAGCCAAAGGACTCATCCGGCCATCCACTTCGCCATACGGTGCCCCAGTACTCTTCACACCGAAACTGGACGGAAGCCTGCGCATGTGCATCGACTACCGAGCTCTTAACAAGCAGACCATCAAGAATAAATATCCGATACCACGAATCGATGACCTGCTTGACCAGCTTCGGGGAGCTACGGTATTTTCCAAACTGGATCTGCGGTCCGGATACTGGCAGATACGGATGGCAGACAACTCTATCCACAAAACTGCTTTCCGAACTCGGTACGGATCGTACGAGTATTTGGTAATACCGTTCGGACTCACCAACGCACCGGCAACGTTTCAAGCCGAGATGAACCACATTCTACGACCACTTTTGGACGAGTGCGTGGTGGTGTACCTGGACGACATCCTCATCTGCTCGCGCGACATGAAGTAGCACGTCGAGCACCTACGACGCGTCTTCGAAATTCTTCGACGAGAATGGTTCTACATCAAACTGTCCAAGAGCGAATTCGCCCTCGAGAAGGTCCAGTTCCTAGGACACCTGGTGAGCGCTCAAGGAGTTCACGTCGACCCCAAGAAAATCGAAGCCGTACGTACGTGGAAGACACCCGAGAATGTGAAGGAGTTGCAGCAGTTCCTAGGCTTCGCTAATTATTACAACAGGTTCGTGTCACAGTATGCGAAACTCGCAGCACCACTCACGAATCTGCTGAAGAATAACACGCCCTACAAATGGGAACCAAAGCACCAGGAAGCCGTGGAGCAGCTGAAACAGGCACTCACGTCCGCACCGGTACTCATCTTGCCAGATCTCGAACGCGACTACATCATCGAAGCTGACGCCAGTGACCAAGCAGTGAGAGCAGTCTTGATGCAAGATCAAGGGAATGGACTGCAACCAATCGCTTACCTAAGTAAGAAACTACACGGGGCAGAACTCAACTACCCGATACACGACAAGGAGGCCCTGGCTATCATCATCGCCTTCAAAGCGTGGAGATGCTATCTCGAAGGACGAAGAACAACCATCTACACCGACCACTGCAGCCTGAAATACTTGAAGACACAACCCAACCTTTCCAGGCGGCAGGTCCGGTGGATCGACTTCCTCGAGACACACTTCCACTACGACATCGTGTACAAGCCCGGTCACAAGAACAAAGCAGACGCTCTCAGCCGGCCTGCACACGTTGCCGCTATTCAGGTCGAAGGGATGAATCCACTCCTCAAGGGACTCTTCACACACGGGTACGCCACCGACCCCGAAATTCCCTTGGCAGATCAACGACATCTGCTACAGTGGGACAGTGACATCGCGTACCCTCCTTTGCGCCAGTTACTACTCGAAGAATACCACGACGTCCTCTACGCCGGACACTTCGGTAGCAACAAGACGCTGACCGGTATCGCAAAGCACTACTACTGGCCCCACTTAGCAGAAGATGTCCAGAAATTTATCACCTCGTGTGATACATGTCAGCGGATGAAGAGTAGCAAGCAGAAAAAGGCGGGAATACTGCAGCCTCTTCCTGTCCCAGAACAACCATGGCAAGTGGTTAGCTTGGACTTCATCACCGGGTTACCACCTACCTCCAGCGGTCATGACGCCATCCTTGTCGTCATTGACAAGTTCTCCAAAATGGGACACTTCATCCCGACACACACAACAGCACGCACCGAAGAAACAGCACAACTCTTCGTTCGATACATCATCTCACAACATGGCATTCCAACCACACTCATCTCCGACCGAGACCCTAAGTTCACCAGCAAGTTCTGGAAAGAACTTATGTCTCTCCTCGGGACCAAACTCGCCATGTCATCTGCTTACCATCCGCAGACAGACGGACAGACCGAGCACCTCAACCAAATTGTTGAGCAACTCCTCCGAGCAGCCTGCAAGGACGAGATCTCCAAATGGGACTTGCACCTGCCCGTACTAGAGTTTGCTTACAACAATGCTACACATGCCGCTACTGGACAGACGCCGTTCTTCCTCTGCTACGGACGCCACCCACTCACACCACAGAAACCGACCACATCCGCTACAGTACAACCGGCACATGATTTCATCACAACCATGCATCAGCTTTGGGATCGGACCCACAAGCGCCTCCTCGACATTCAGCAGCAACAAAAGCGCCAGGCCGATCGCCATCGCAACGACCACACCATCACGGTGGGAGACCAGGTGCTTCTTGACACCCGCAACCTGGACATCAGCCACCTCCCATCTAAACTTCGACCTCGCTTCTGCGGGCCTTTTCTCGTTGAAGCACAGGTTACTCCTGTTACCTTCTGCTTACGCCTGCCAGCTACCTGGAAGATTCACAACGCCTTCCATGTCCAACTTCTGAAACCCTACCGGGATCCAAACACGATCTTCGTCGGACGCCAACCGCCGTCGCCGCCGCCCGTCCTCGTCCACAATGAACCCGAATACGAGGTCGAGTCCGTGCTAGCACACCGCCGACGTCGGAATGGCACCGTGGAGCTTCTCATCCGTTGGAAGGGTTATGATCCTTCTGCGGACAGCTGGGTCCCGGAGTCCGACATGGGTAACGCCCGTCGTCCTCTGCATGACTACCTTGTCAAGCAGGGTGTTACTTCTACCACCCAGCTTTGAGGGGGGGAAGTGTGAGAGCTCGGGATGTACTGGCGCGCTATATCTAGCGTAATCCTGCCGTAATCCCTTAAAGCCAATAGCCTCGCGTGGCTATACGCAGGGTGATTCTATCTTCTAGAAGGGTCTATTCCCTTAGGATAAAGATAAACCTGGTTACCTAATGTACTTTGGAAGTATAAAAGCGCCTTGTACTGATCGATAGTGCAATCTTTCCTCGAGACATTCGATCCTGTGACAGAAGGTTTCGGTTTAGTCGTAGGCCTCCTGCTAGTCAAATCCGCATACCACCCAGTGGGTCTTGAAGCATTCGATGGTCCCATCCGCCTTTGTCGTCACGCGGAAGACCCATTTTCCCGAAAGAATGGTCTTTCCTACCGTTTGAGAAATTGGACTTAACTTCCAAGTGTTTCTCTTGTGTAATGCTGCTAGCTCCCGATCCATTGCCTCCCTCCATTTTTTCCTATGTGATCCCTCCAAAGCTCTCTTGACTATCTTCGGTTCCTCAACTTGCGGCGTGGAGGACGGCGAGTGCACGGCTGCTACAAGTCCGAGAATTTGCAGGTCAGTTTTAGTGTAGCGGGGAATGTGGGGATCCGCGGGATAGGCTGCTTTGTCTCCCACTTCTATGTCTGGTATGCAACCAGGTCCTACGTTTAATGAAACGTTGCTGTCGATGGCGTGTGGGGTAACGTAACTTATGTCGGCGAAGTGGTAATACGCCTCAGCGTTCGCACTTTTGCGAGGGTTGTCGTCATCGATGGGGACGTCTGCAGAGCACTAAGGTAGAGGTCCTGTGACTGCAGAAGATCCGAAACATTCTATTCGTCCAGGTCAGCTTCGTCGTCTACCGAGGCGAACGCGCGTGCGCCATCGAAACCACCAGACGATGATGTTTTCGAGGTACAATGGTTGAGGGTGAGGTTCTCATAGAAGATCACATCATGTGCCGGTACATTCTACAGCATTACAACGTGGTTCATCGCCTCTGGCCACTGCGAGTCGGGCAAGCGCATGCCAGTCAGCAGCTTTCGCATGGTGTTCTGGAGTGTCCTTTTCATCCTCTCTGCTACAGTGTTCTGTGGATGAGCATAAGGAAGGGTGACGAGCCTCTTAATTCCCCGCTCAGCAAGATAGTCCTTAAAGCGCTGTGACTGGTATTCCATCGCCCCGTCTGGTTGAATACTTTTGAGCTTCAGGTCTCCCTCCCGCTCTGCTGCAGCAAGCCATGCGACGAAGGCAGAGAAGGTGAGGTGTGGCAGGTTGAGATGCCAGGTATAGCGCGTGGCGGCATCGACGAAGGTGATGACGTAGTTGAGGTCGGCCTGGCCGACTTTGCGCGGGATATACAGTATGTCACTGTATACCTTCTCGAGAGGAGTATACTCAGGTGCGCTGGGGTTGTGATGCGACAGAAACAGTTGTCGAGGAAGATCTGCTTCGGGACAGATGAAACACGTACATCGATGTCGTCGTAGTTTGCGGCCATCGAGAAATAGGAGAGCGTCCTTGTCGAGGACGTTCACGCAAATAGTGTCAAAGAGACGGGAGTTGCCAGGATGATCTAAACCTCATGCTATATTTCTTCGCTCGCCTTGTGCAACAAATTGACGGTATAAGCCCGAGTTGGCGTAGAAGGCGGAGACGGTTGCGGTGCTTCAGTGCTGCTCACGAGGATGCGTTTTCAACTGTGCAGCTTCGGTCGGCGGCGGTTCCTCAAAGGGCAATGTATCAGCCGGAGCTTCTTCGATGGGTGGCACGGACGAAGTCCCAGCGATGGAACGGACAGGGAGTGCTCGTGTCAGCGCTTGTTGCTCGATTGTTCTGCTTCGCGCATCACAGCTAATTGTCATATGCTTTCTGCTTCAGGTATCGTATCGAAGTACCAGAAGCCATCGCGGTCCATGTCGGGATCGAGATCTTGCGGGTGCGTCCAGGATGTGAAGGAGACGATGTCATCGCTGTCAGCGGTCTTGCGGTATGGGACGAAGTCCAAGACAAAGACACTGTGCTTCTAAATCACTGTGCCGATGAAGAGACCACCCTTCACGTGGTAGAGGTGAAACTCCCGATCGAAGCTATCACACTCCAGGTGAATACCCTTGGACATGAGCTGACTGATGCTTAGCAGGTTGTAGCCAAGGTTGTCGACGACGAGTACCCTTGGCATTTGTAACACCACGATTGTTTCGAGATATTGTAACTGAACCACTCTCTCTATGCGTGTGCGCAGAATCTGGTTGTTGGCGACGGTGATCACGACTTCTTGGCTCAAGGTCTTCTCTCGCTGGACGAAGTGCGCTGAGGAACACATGTGCTGGCCACAACAGCTATCAAGAAACCAAGTGTTGCAGCCAGATGGTTCGCAACGTAAGTCGGGTTTGGTTGGAGCCGTGTCTGAGTCGGAGCGAGTGGACGCCCATCAAGATCGCGGTGAGGCGGATAGTCGGGAACACAGTAGTCAGTCCGCGTCATGCAGCTAACGTCGTTTCTTGCGTCTTGTGCAAAACGGTATGTTCAAGTTGGCGAGCGTTGCTAAGTTGAGGCGACTAGATTCGAAGACGGACGAGGTGCTCGGGGTTGATACTGTTGAGGTTAAGGCTGCTGCTGCTGGTGGTGTTGGCGCTGATGTTGCCTTGGGCAGTTGAAGCGCGAGTGACCAGATGTGCAGCAGAGATGACAAAACAGAGGTGAGTGTCGTTTCTGGTTTGCATGGTTGTTGCGCCCATGCGCGTAAAATGCAAGTTGCTGACTTGGTTTCTTTGCATGGCGCTCCTCGTACAGGTCCATGTCTTGTTTCTCGGCGTGAGGCTCTGCGCACAAGTGTCTTTCGGAGATTCTCCCGTGAGCTCGAAGGAGAGAGCGTGTCGTACTGCACTGAGGACCGAGGCTAGCAAGGATGATTGTGACGAAAGAGTCTTCCGATAAGTGTCCGCCGCTTTGTAAAAGCCTCTAGCGTAATCCCCTGCAGCGATTGATATATGCCATTGCCTTCTCTTTTGCTTGCATATGAATCGTTGTAAGTTGCGCCATCAGTCGGCTTTGAGTCACACTGTCAGAGGCCCGGTAGACGCTCTTTAGGTGACAGTAGGTGACCTCAGCTGAGTTCCCAAAGTTGCGATACGTGCCGATGCTCTGTTGCACTGTTGGTGTCAGGTTGCGCAGAAGGATGGTGAAGGCCATCAGCGATTAATATGAAGGAAGGCAGAGCAGGCGAAGAGCGGACACCGGCGGCAACTGCTGCTGCTGCTCCTCGCCGACACCTGGACCACCAGGTGCACTGCGACTACCTCCGGAACACTCCACCCCAGCACCCCCAGAACGAGCACCCTCTCCAGCACTGGTGCCACCCCAGAGTCCGCCGGGACAAGCCACGATAGGAACCCCAGGACTAGCACCCTCCTCAACGCCAACACCCTTAGAGTCCACGAATGGCTGCTGCTGCTGCGGCGGCGGTGGCGGTTGCTGCGACGGCGGAGGAGGAGACACCAAGGGAGAGGCAGGCGGCGAGAACTGCGCCTCAGGGCCACCAGTGTCAGCCAACTCCTCGACCGGGACAACCGACGGAAGGGGAGTGAAGTGAGACACACCAGACAGAGCAGTACGGGGAGGAAAGGGAGTAGGGGCAACTTGGGGAGTGGGGACCAGAAACAAGGGAGGGGAAATCGGGAGACCTTGGTGGGGAAAACGATGGTAAAAAGGAGACAGACTCATCGAAAGTGGTGTTATGGGAGTGAAAGAAGCGGTGAGACGGCGGGTGGTAAAGTGCCACTCAGAAGAGTCCAGGGGGAAACCGAGGAAGACACAGTGGACAGTGTGCACAATGAGCTTGTCCGTGCCAGAGGCACGAACGTGAGCTAGGCAGCCCCAGACGTGGAACGCGGATGCATCACCAGGGAACCCGGTCCAAAGAAGGGTTGGCGAAACCTACGGCCGCTGGGAGCGCAGCCAGAGGTTAAGCTGATGAGGGGCGTAGCGAACGGCGAACGGCCACAGAAAATGGGGTGCACCGGCATGAATCATGGAGGTACGAGCCACATCCATGACCAAACCGATGCGTCGCTCACCGACCCAAATTTGCTGCAAGGAGTTCGGTAGGGTGTACAATTGGGTGATGCTCCCCGCACGACAGAACTGTCCAAGCCGACAAGAGGCGAACTCGCCGCCATGGTCGGAGTGGAGACACAGCACAGGGAGACCACGGTGGAGGCGCGCAGCGATGACCCACGGGATAAGAACGGCAGGCACGTCGGCCTTCCACTCCAAAGGAAACACCGTGGTGTAGCGCGTGTAGTCGTCAACGAGCACTAGAAAGTAGCGCTTGAGTCGCGGTCCAGGGACGGGGGCTGGGCCCCAGACGTCCAGGTGCAGGGTCTGGAGGAGTGCGGTGGCAGGACGAAGCGAGGAGGAGTGAGGAGCACGGCGCAGCCGGCCCTCGACGCAGGGCGTGCAGGGTGGTGCAGGCGAGGGAGGGAGGGCAGGAAGCAACGCAGGGAGACCTAGGACGAGACCGTGCTGGGACATGTGATGAAGACGCGGGAGTGCGGGTTGACCTAGGTGGTGGTGCCACAGATTCAACGAGTGAGTGAGCGATCGACACGAGCACACAGCGGCGACCTGGGTAGGCACAGGACCTGGGGAGGACGGTCCACCCGGGTGGGAGGCAGTGTTCAGCGTAAAGAGGCCAGACATCGGGGGAACGTCGCAAGGGGAGAACCTGAGGCGGCCTCGGTACAGACGGCATACCGCTCGTGACTTGGAAACGTAGTGGTGACGCCGAGGTCCTGAAGACAGCCGACACCAACTAAGTTCCGGAAGAACGAGGGGATGTGCAGGCCTATAAGGGAACCCAAGGGAACCGCTGGACAGGGAAGGGTAGTGTAGTTGCGAGCAACTTCAGGATCAGAGGAGGGGTCAGTAAGTGCGATAGGAGCAGGTGCGGCAAGCGGCGTAAGCGCAGCGTGGTCGCGGAAGAAGAAGGCAGACGCACCGAAGTCAAGTGTGAAGGACTGCAAAGCAGTAGCGACGAATGAAGGAGGAGCAAGGGTAGAGCCTATGCTAGACAAAGCATGCGGTCCTACGCCTGACGTAGTACGGGTGTCTGTACTATACACAGGTGTTACGCCTAAGCTATTGAACACAGGGTAATAAGATTCGGACACACTAGAAGCGTTTGCATACAGAGAATGCATGGCAGAACTAATCTGATCCATGTCTAAGTCAAACACAGGCACACCGTGACGCGGCAGTATGGGCCACTCAGGGAGGTCCGGGGCCGGGCCGAAGCGGCGACGGAATAGGTCGTCGAGGCGGCGGAAGCAGCGGGCGGTCGGGTGCGGGCGGCGGCACAAAGTGCCACGAAGAGGCCTGGCTTAGAGCTGGTACTGGCAGCCCACAGCACCGGCTAGGCGAGCGGGGCCGGCTAGGCGCGAGGGGCCGGCTAGGCGCGGGGGGCCGGCTAGGTGCGGAGGCCGGCTGGGCGCGGGGGCCGGCTGGGTGAGGAGCCGGCTAGGCGCGGGGTCGGCTACGGGAGAGGGATCGTCTAGGCGAGCGGGGCCGGCTAGGTGCGAGGGGCTGGCTAGGCTAGAGGGGCCGGCTAGGCACAAGGGGCCGGCTAGGCACGCGAGGCTGGCACGGCGCAAGGGGCCGTCACATCGCGCTACGAGCCGGCTGGGCGCGAGGGGCCGGTGGGGCGCTAAGGGGCCGGCTAGCACGCTAGGGGCAGCGAGGTGCGCTAGGGGCCGGCTAGCGCGCTAGGGGCCAGCGGGACGCGGGAGGCTAGGGTACGACGAGGCGGCAGGCTAGGCGAGGGGCGGAAGCGGATGGGCGGACCTAACCTACGATGATACCATGTTAGAATACGAGAATGACTAGAAGCAAGGGTGAACAAGGGAAATATAGGGTTAGAGTTGTACCCTCTAAGAACATACGCATATCTAGCCTAGAACTTCTACATACTAACATATGTATAAGTTGACACCCTTGTACTGGTATATGAGAACAACTTATTGATTATAGCAAAGGGATACAAGTTTATATAATAATACAAGAGAATATGAAGAGTCTAACTGTTTATGCACTTCGAGGGATACATTCCCTTTACGAATCGATGAGAGCGACTCTGGTAACCATCCGTGCTGTAATACTGGGACGATTATTTGTCATTGCTGTCGTGCTGACCTAACTTTTGCACTTCTGACTGTTGGGTTGCACGGTCAACGATCTGCGACAGTTGCCCTTTTATAACCTCTGCAGGGTGTCGTCAACTTGCGTCAATCGTCGGAAGTACTGTAGCAGGGTTTGACTCGTCCGTTCTCGATGTTATGGTCTTCGCGTATTGTTACAGCTACGAGATACTCCTGAAATGTCTTTATCAGATGTTTTGTATTTTTATCAGATGAGATAAATTATTTTTATCATTTCCTACAATCCCCTTGTCAGTTGTTTGTTGAATTTCCTGTCTATTCCAATTGTACTATAAACGACTGTCTTAAATCACGTGGCACCCCACAAGTGAATTTTCAATTGAATTAAAGCTTCTAATAACTTTCAATAAAAGTAATTTACATGGTAAGAAATCATAATCACAATTCTACTATTATCATGGTAATGTTAAGTTTCACTAAGCATGACCACACTATAGTAGGCTCTTATGAGTATTTCTAAATAGAAACGATTACACTCAGGAGCATTCTTTAGAGGGGACAGCGGCACGGTAACGGCGTGTCGGTGTGCTGGCATGAAAGTTCAAGCTGCGCTTACATGCATCACAGAGCAGTCCTTGCTTGCTGCTGCCCCTTCTGTACAGCACGACAATACGCAATTGTCGATTTCGGAGAGTCCACTGGAGAGAGGGACAACATCGGGTCCCATATGGTATGATTTGCTGACGATTACTCTGGGCTGGATTGCTGCTGAATTTACGCGTCACCCCGGCCAATTTTCCGAAAACATCGCTTTGGTCCTTTGGTTCGTTGATTTGGCAGTTCTTCCTCACATCGTCCGGCCAGGGTGTGTGTTTCACGCCAGACGTTTGTGGTTGTCTCAGGGGTTTCAGGAGCGGGTGTCAGACCCGAGGTTGACCCGCGGCCGAAGGAGCCGCGGGTTGTCACAACCAACTGCGGGTTTTCTATCCTTGACGGCTCAGGGGCTGCACGGTCGCGAACTGTCGCAAAAGGAGGGTTGCGAGTCCACCCAGAAATTTGCGAGTGTATGACTGGTGGAAGTTCGTTTGCGCGAAATTATGAGCTGTTCGATTTGACAGCTGACTGGCTGGGAGCCGTCAGTATTTCGCAAGACCCGAGGCAATTTTTTTCCAGCCTCGGATCTTAGAGCACAATCCGAGGGTCTTACACTCGCTCCAGAATCACCCTCACCGAACCAGGGCTCAAGCATCCCTCCCTTGCCCAGACTTCTGTACCTGTATACTTGGAGAACTCGAGTCGATTCCGCACCTCGGGTCCTACCCGAGGCTGAACCGGGGCCGAAGGAGCCGCTTGGTTTACAGACCTAACTGCGGGTCTTGTGATTATGACGGTCATGCAAGTATGAAGTCGAAAATGAGTTGTTACTGTATGGCATTGGGAGTCGTAGATTGGCGGGCGAGATTTGTGCCACTCGTATGCTGCTAAATCTGTCAGGTAAACGTGAGTTTCCAGTAAAAAAAACCGTCAGGCTGGGGAAGACCCGAGGAAGTTTTTTCCACTTCGGGTCTTCCTGTATGACACTAGATTCAGAGACACGCCCCGGAATCAATGTTTGTTAGGATTTAGGGAATGAGGCATATAAAACCGAGTGGTGGTGCTGCTACAACTAATGCTTGAAAGGTTTGTTTACAGAATGACTGCGCTCAAACTTTTCTGATCCACAAACAGGAGCAGCAGCAAGGGTTTTCGGTCATCCCTGAGCACCTTCCACGCAGAACTTGCATAAAACAAGACTGAAGCCAGTCATTCGTCGGGTGGTGTGAGATAGTGGTACAGAAAAACACCCAGAATACAGAAAGGCTCCAATTTCATGCAGAAAGGAGAACACGCCCTTCCAGCCCGCCCTTCCAGCCCCTGCCTCAAATTTATGACGAGCCGAAGTGGAACTGTGAAGAGCAACGGTATGGAATGATGCAGAGGGGTCAACGGAACCCCACAGAGTCCATAGAATATTCTGACAGCGAGACCGAGCAGAACACGTCTCCTGCAAGCGCACACGCTCACCTCAGTTGCATTCTGCAATTTTATTAGAAAAGCTGCAGCCCTCCTGCTTAGCTGTGCCCTCAAACTTCCTCCCATTTGTCCACGCCGTTGTGCCTCCTCCCTCTCAGCACAAGCTGCAGCACCCAAGTCCCACCTTCCCCTCTCTCATTTGCTCACGAGGCAGCCTCAATTGTCATACTGTGCTGTACTACCTCGCCTATCGCACAAATCACTCGCTCGGCGAAGACTGAGCTGAGCAGCATCTTTCTCCGCGTCAACATTTTTCCACCGCCCATACGAGCGCTCCTAGGGTTACTGCGTAGTCCAATCCAAGTCAGCTTCGATGGCACGTCACCTTCACACGGCGCGATCCGTGCCCGACGTCCATAACATGATGTCTGATGGATTAGAGACTTCAGATGTGCTACGCCCAGAAGACCAGTCTCGAACCCGAATTAGTTCCCGAATTAGCTCTCGAATAGGTCCTCGTCATCGCCATCAGAAATCCGACGGGTTTATACTCTTTGACTCGCAAGGCGCGACTAACACGACATACGCCACAGCTCCGCACCTTTCCCCAATCCCTCGCGATAGATCCCCACCTTTCTCTCTTGCCGGAGGGCAGTTAGACACGCGCGGCGCAGGCGACATCCACTTCCCCCTGCTACGATCGCACGTCTTTGACGGCAGGCTGGCAGTTGACAGCAGGTCTGGCGCCGAAGGACCCCCGCCGGTATTCGCAACGGGGCTTCCGCCGCGGCGGTGGAACAGCTTCCACAACGCTCCGCGCGCGGAGTCGGACCATCCGGGGAACCCCCCCGCGCACTCTTCTGCATCGGCTGTTGCGCCACCCAGTAGCTCCCGCCGCCAGGTGTTCGCATCGGTTGCTGACTCGTCCGACGACGACGGTGCCGACGACGTGCCGCAGGACATGCACAACGGACGGGTTTCGCAGAGAGCGGGTTACCCGCCGAGACAGTATTTCGCGCCACCCGAAGTGAGCTACTACCAGAAGCAGCTGAGCGATCACGTGTTACCCCTCGACGCGGGAGAGCCGTTGAAAGAAGCGACGGAGGCGGTGTTGCGCGCCCGCGCGCAGGAGGTTCTTGCGGAGCGGCACGAGCTGTCGCAGCAGCTGTCGTCGTTCCGCGTGACGGCGGCGTATCGGAAAAAGCGCGTGGAAGCCACGCTGAAAGAGACCGACGTGCTGAGGGCGAAATTGGGCGGAGGGGAGAAGCGGCTTGAGAAGGTTCAGGCGCAGTTCGACGCCACGCGCATCGCGCAAGACGCGGCGGCGCGAGAGCTCGCGGTTCTCCGGCGGATCGCCGCGCCAGCCACGTCGGATGATAGCGACTTCGATAGTGTGGATGACAGCGATGAGATGACGGATTCGGACGGAGAGGATGATGCCACGTCGGGTCGGCGGGGTAGTAGGAGAGGCGGGACGCGCCGGGGGTTGCGGAAGCCGTTGGGTGATGCGGCGTGGCGGAGGGCGGAGCTGCAGCGCGTGCTGCAGGACATGGCGCAAACATTGGAGAAGACCGAGAAGCGCGCGCGGAGCGCCATGGTGCGAACGATGCAGTTAGAGAGCTTGCTGGAGGACCGCAAGGAGCAGCTGGGGGAGGTGCGGGGGGAGCTGCGCACGGCGCAGGGGGAGCGGGACATGCTGGCGGAAGAATTGCAGGAGGCCTTCAACTCATGGGCCAATCCGCGCGCGCCGCCCGTTGGCAACGCCATGATGACGCCACGCGTGACGTCAGCGCCGCTGCCGCTACAGCCGCAGCGTGCTACAGACTGGATAGGGTTGGGAATGTGGGGGAATGAGGGGAAGAGCAGTGGGAACGCGGTTAAAGGGGGGAGCAGGTCAACTCGGCGCATCAGCAGAAGCGTGAGCAAGGAGGAGCTTGGTGCGCGGATGAGGGGAAGGGGGATGGGCGGAAGGGGGAATGCGGAGGAGTTAGGGGGCTGGGCCCGCGCTTCAGCTCTGTTGCTGGCGGGTCAACTGGAGCCCCGTGTGCCTGGCTACCTCTGCGCGTCTCTTGAAGTCTAAGAGTTACTCCTGCTACAGCGTATGTATGTACATAGCCGGTGGCAAAGCCAAGCGGCATATTGGTGTATAGTGCACCAAGCCAGCCAGTGTGTGTAATTTGCAGTCTTCTGGTAGTGTAGAATAGTTCTGGCCTTGGCAATGAGACATTGAGGGTGAGGTTTTCAAATAGGAGGTTCCAGCATACACGCATCGTGGGAGGGGGGGACTGAGCAGCAGCTGCTAACAGGCATCCCTAAAAAGCCCATGTTGGAGATGCTGAAATGTTTGCAGATGGGAGCCTCCAATCTCAGGTTCCTTCTGGAACAAATGGTTACTTCCATAGTAAGGCGTCCATAACATTTGAATTTGAAATGGTTTGTCCTTGCATTGCTGTTGTTGACTCAGTTACAGAGCGAATGAAGTATGTAGTGTACATATCCCAACTTTCTGAGAGAAATCAGGGCGGGTCCGAATAGTTCATACTCTTCATTTCGTGAAAAGTAACCTGATTTTAACTCGTTTGAATTTCGCGAGGACACGTGCAAGAAGTTGACGGAACTGGGGATGCTCGACACTTGTGAATGCACACGACCAGTCAAGATTTGTTTACGATTCGGTGACGTTAGGTACACCTTTTCTCCTCTGTTGTTCCACCCGGAACAGTTCAAATTGCATTCTCACTACCAGGTTTTCAGCATGACTCGCGTTGACACTGAACCTGATTGGCTGCAGTCTGAACGATAACGAACTACCAGGTTGTATATCGACAATTGCGAGTTTCATAGCTGGGACGTCGCTCAGGCAACTAATCTAGTGCATGAGCGATATTTTGTAACCAAGTATCATTGCTTACAGTGTAAACGTGTGGGATTTTCCCTTCAAAGTCCCATTTGCCCGTGTTTTACAATTTCCTGCTTACAGAATTAAAACGCGTGTAAAAAACGTGGGACTAGATAGAAAAACAAGTGTAAACGTTTTGGTATCAGTGGACACGTGTGGCGCTTTGGGTTTTCGCCAAGCCGGGCTTGGCGAGAACAAGGCGATCTCGCGAACATCTCGTATGGCGCAAAGCCAAATCCCACCTGCCAATTAACCCAGCACGAAACAACTTCTTCGCGAGCTGCGACATTTGGTAACTTCGATTTGCGGCGTCTGACGCAAACTGTTTTTTGGGACGCACCCAGTTGGCGCCAGCTTCTATTTCATTCGCAATATGAGACGCGGTTTGTGGGGGAAACGCAGTTGTCGTAACCGAGTTCGTAAAAACGTGTCCAGAACCCCCAATTGAACTATTTGGACCTTCCCTTACCAACAATGTTGGCCACGTCGCGCCGTGGATCTTGGCGTCCTGAGGTGACAGTCTGCGGGGAATGATAACGACCGCCCTCGAATACTTCAACAGCACTCGCTTGGTGCGACTGCTCGCTTGGTGCGACTGCTCTCTGTCAACTGGCAACACGCTTTCGTTCTTGATACTTAGTGGCCCTTAGTGGCGCTTAGCGGCCCTTTATGGCGCTAAGAGCTGGCCATAATGCCTGATGCTGCTTAGGGTTCTTCATACTCCCTCTGAGACCAGTGGAGATCCTGAGAGTAATGTCACACGGTTTGTTACAGTGGAAAGAGCCCTCTGGCTCACAAATATCCTCCGCCTTTTACAGCCACGCAAAACCCAGGATTCGAATTCGCTGGAAAACACGCGGCCTCGTTGCAGGACGAGCTGGCAGATTTTTCACAACCCAGCATTCGCAGCGCCAAAACACCGAAATTGCCGTGAGCAAAGGGGATGTAAGACCGCTGAGGAGGGTTCCTGTGTCGTCACATCTGCGGATGTCTTCCGGCTCTGGGGAAACCTGGTGTCTTCGAAGTCAAACTGCGTGCTGTCCGAACTGACTGGGTGTCTTCCCTTAAAACGGATGTGTGACGATTTCCGAGGGCTAAACGTCGCTGAGCCGAAAATGCGACCCCACAACACAGCACCACGAGCCCAATGCGACAAAAACGGGTCTGGCGTGCCGCCCTTTTTCATGAAATCGAACCTGCCCATATTTGTGGCAAACGCTGTTTTGCGTTGAATTTCTGTACGTAGGCGCTATTTGTACACCCATTTTTGCCTTTTCGTGCTGCCCATGCATTTTGTAAATGGACCTGCACGCTAGCCTACGGTACACTTTGAGTTAGGCGTTTCGTCTGTAGTGCTCCTTGGGGACAACCATATGGGCGCTTGGCCAACCTGCTAACCGTGATTAATCGGTTCGCTTCACCCATAAAAGTCGTCGACACTGGAAAACCTCCCACCACTCCAGTGTCTTCCTGCCTCTGACATCCGCGGATAACACGACGCAGGAACGGCCCTGAGAAACCGCCGCAGAGTATAGTCTACACGAGAGAAACGCCGCTAGGAGTCACTAGTCACGACTCAAGGGTACAACTTCTAGGCTTCTATTATTTTTTGTCCGTTCTTCGTACATAATCTTTAGTCATCCAAAGACCTCTGCTGTCAAATGTCAACCTTGTCTCGTCTGGATGAGGATCTAATACGCTGTCGCGCCGTGAATCGCCTGCCCAGCTGTACGACTCACTAACTCCGAGGCTCCTGTAATACTCCCTGCTTTTGACTTCACTAAAAAAAGCTCGAACGAGAAAACCGGGTCGACACAGCATCACTGCATAGCGTGCTCCTTGAAATGAGCTTTTGAGTTTCTCTCTCCTTGTTATTGTTAGAAGCGACCCTATCATGCGAGCCGTTTGTCTAGACAATAACATTATCAACCCAACACCTGAAACTTCAGGAGCTGCTTAGGATGGTACTTTATTTGGGACTTATTTGAGACTCCAGTTATTTGTCAGGCCGCTCCAAATCCTGCGCGGGGAATCAGGGCCGTAGGCGACGAGTCGTGCTACTGTGTACTGCTCCTACTACTTGTAGGATTAGGATCAGCAAGCATCCGTCCCTAATTAGTACTTAGCGGCAGCACGACCACCTGGTACGTCGTGAGCAGCGGCACTCGAGTCCGCCCATGTCGTGCATAACGAGTACCGCTGCTAATACTCGCCACGCAGCCGCAGGGGTCGGCGAATGCGAGCGACAGTGCTTTCAGCTTCGCTTTCACAGCGACAGCGACATGCGGCTCGGCCCGCGCTCACCTCGCGACCACGCGCCGGAGCGTCGCGCAGGGAGACTGCCGCCAGCTCTCTGCTTCCCCGCCGACCCCTTCCCCGCGCACTCCTCCTCCGCGAAGCCGTCCCCCAGGGCGGCGCACATCAGACCCGCGCGCGAGCACGTTCAGTTCCGCGAGACCACGGCGAACGACGAGCGCACATCCCCGCCGTGCGGCGGAAAATCGCCCATGGCGGGTCGTGCAGCCGTGACTCACTGGCCCCAGACAAGCAGCAACAGCCCGTTTGATAGCAGCCCGTTCGACGAGTGCGCTGCTGCGAGGGAGAGAGGCGACTCGGAGGTCCATCGAGCTCGAAGTATCAGGCGGAACGCACGCCCGAGTTTTGACACGACCGCTGCCAGCGGTATGATGCATAGGAGCAACAGCAGCAGCAGCAGCGGCAGCAGCGGCAGCGGCAGCAGCAGCAGCAGCAGCGGCGGTGGACGCAACGACGGCAACAGCCACCGGCGTCGCAGCAGCTTCGGCGAAGAATATCGACCGCGTGGTAACCAATCGTCAAGTGGCGGAATTGACCCAGTTTTGACATCGTCATGGTCCGGCAGCAGCGCGCGAATGAGGCTTTCGCGGTCAATGGCGGACCTCGCCACCATGGGGACTACTCCGGAGCGCGACGATATCGAGGCGGCGGAAAAACTTGCGCTCATTAGCCCTCGATTTTTAAGGCCTGCAGTGAGTCGCACATCACAGGGCAAAGCGGTGAGAAACGCGGGCGGCGGCGGCGGCAGCAACGGCAATAATATCTGTCGTCGCAGCAGCTTCAGCGAAGACTGCGGACCGCGTTCTAAGAAGTCGTCTAACGGCGGATGTAACCCGGTTTCAACGTCGTCATGGCCCGGCAGCAGTGCGCGAATGCGGCTGTCGCGATCAATGGCGGACCTCGCCACCATGGGGACAATCGCGGAGGCGCCAGAGGATATTCATCTCAGAAATGAGCGCCGCAGCAGCGGCGGCGGGGACGTGCTGCTGCCGCTGCACGAATCACCCCAACGGCAACGGAATGCGATGCAGCCCACTACGGCCGCGATGCAGCCCACTACGGGCGCGATGCGGACCACCAACGGGAGTGGCAGGGGACAGGATGGGGTGAACAGAACATCGTACCCTCAAACTCAGGGTGTATTTGACAAAATATCCGATTTCAGCGGCGAACCCAGCCCGCACGGCCGCCGACGGAGGGGAACGGACTTCGCAACTCAGGTGCGACGACCGCGGGAAGTGTGCGACGCTGTCGAACGGGGCCTAGTAAGCACACCTGCCGACTATCCCGCCAGCACCTATCATGCCATCACGCCGCGCGCCCGCCACCGCCGCTCTGTCTCGTGGTCTCTGGCGCCCGCGCCCGCTGCCCCTGTGCCGACCACTACTAGCACTGGTACTAATGCCACTAGCGCTACTAACGCTACTGGTGCTACTACTGGTGCCACTGGTGCTTCTTGTGCTACTGGTGCTACTGGTGCTACTGGTGCTCCTAGTGCGCCGTGTGTGGAGACTCTCGCAACTCCGCGGCAGCGCGTGCAGGCGCAGCAACGCCCGGCTTCCCATGCAGATCCGACCGGGCTTCAGCGCGCCTCGTCGGAGATTCGTTACGAGACGGAATCGCTAGTGCAGGGCGGCGGGATGCGCATGGCGCGCATGGCGGGGTGCCTGGACGCGCTGATCTCGTTCAAGAGCGCGCAGATGGACTCGGTGAGGCGGGAGCGCGCGGAGCTGAGCGCAGAGCTGGAGGAAGGGGTGCGCCGGGTGCGGGACATGGAAGCGGGGATGGCGGAGCGGAGACTCGCTATTGAGAGCCTCGTTGTACGAATATCGGAGAAATTGCGCTGGAAACGTGAACTTTACGTTGGGGACGGACAATGGACGGAAGAAGATGCGCTGGGGGATGACGACAAGGATGGAACGAGGAGCAAATTCGTGGGGCATGGCGGGGATGGGAGCAGCGCAGACGACTTGAGAGATATGCTACAGCTCGAAATGCACGCGATCATGGCTGACGTGAAACGAGTTGAGCTCGCCGCGCTTCACGCGCAGTACAGAAGCGGCGAGATCCGACGTGAGTACGAGTTCTACTAATAAGATTATTTCCTACTCCTCGAGCTGCCTTTGCCCATTGCGACCGCTAAACCCGCGCGTCATTGACGGCTCTTGCATAATCTAATATCGCATGATCTGGCGGACCTTTCTGCTGTTTCCGCAATGGCAGGTGACCTGCGGCGTAAATCGGCGGAGCTCGCGAGTATCGGCGAGGCGAGGGAGTTGCTGGTGCGGCGGAAAGACGCGTTGGCGCAGCAGGCGCTGCCGCTGGTTTAGGAGGCAGCTACTAGAAAAGAGAGTGACTAGGAGTGATGTAAGGAAATCTGCGGCACTGTGGCGGTTGGGAAGATGATGTAAATAGCAAGTGATTCCGCTCTGCATTGTCACAATAACCTATCTAGCGCCTCAAGTTCTCTCCAGTAGGGTTGGTCAATTGTGAATTTACTGTAGAACTCGATTGTAGCGTTGTACATGATTCACATTCGCGTACAGCTCGGGATTCCCAAGATGAACCACATGGCAAATCTCGCGCACTGCTGTCGCCGCAGCGCCGCTAAAACTGCTCCGCACAGTCAGACAGTCTCGGAGAGCCATTGACGAATCGTTCTTGGCGCTTGCTGCACCCAACAGCGTGTGTGTGCAGGACAGCATTTTGCCGCAGATAATTCAGTATCATGCTGGCCTCGCTCTGGGATCACCATCGCTTTTTGTGCTAGACCTCGCTCAGCTCACACGTTGTGGCCTTGCTCCTCGGTGATCGCTGTGGCCTAGCGCACCTAGTGCCACGACGCTAGTGCTGGTGTGCCGCGCTGTGCCGCGCTCTAGCGCCGTGTCGTGTCGTAATGACTCAACCTAGTAGTAAAGCGCACATGTTCGCCGAGGCCGCGATGCCGCGTTTCGCGGCGAATTACGCGCCGCTAACCCCGCTAGCGTTCCTCGAGAGGGCGGCGCGGGTGCACCCCGAGTCGCCGTCCGTGATCTACGGCCGGCGGCGCTTCACGTGGTCGCAGACGTTCCTCCGCTGCTGCCAGCTCGCGGCGGCGCTGGAGCGCGCGGGCGCGCGCAAATACGACCGCGTGGCGGTGCTTGCGCCGAACGTGCCCGCCATGTACGAGGCGCAGTTCGGCGTGCCTCTAACGGGGGCTGTGCTCGTGTCTGTCAACGCCCGCCTCGATGCCGCCTCTGTTGCGCGCATTCTGGCGCACAGCGATAGCAAGGTGTGCGGTTCCCTCTCATTGCTCTTGGATAAAGAGACGACTTTTGAGGCGCCTCAAAAGTTCCCTCTGATTTTTGAGTCGACTCATTGCCTGTGCGGTTCCCTCTCATTGCTATCCCTGCCCCCTCAGCCATCTCTTTCCTCTCTGCTCTTCGCCACACGTCCCGTCCTACCCCTGCTTCCTCAATCTTTCCCAAAACAGCCTTCCCACGCTTCTCGTTCCCCTTTCCCCATCAACCCCCCTCTCCCCTACCCCCGCCCGGTGGACCAGCACTTGGCATCTCTTGCTCTCTCCGCGCTCTCCCTACTTACCTCGGCCCCTCGCTCCTTCTTGTCACTCACTCTGGCTCTCTCTCCTTCCCTACGTTACCCCCGGCCCCCCCCCCTGACTCCCAGTTTCTCCTAGTGGACCAACACTTGGCGTCTCTCGCCCTCTCCGCGCTCTCCCTTCTCCCCACCACAGCCTCACCCACTCACACCGTCCACGTCCGACCAAAAGTTGTGCTTATAGCGGATGGCGAGGAGCCGTCATCTGCTGACATGGCGGATCCGGGCGGCGAGCAGGCAGATATAGAGGGTTTGGGAGCGGTAGGGGAGTATGAGGAGTTTATTGCCTCCGTGCCGTTTGTTGGGCCTGTGGGTGGGGCTCAGCTTGCCACTGCTCTTGCTGCTGCTGCTGCTGCTGCTGCTGATGGTGGTGTTATTACGTCTGCTGCTGATGATGGTGCTAATGGTGCTGATAGTGGTGATAGTGTTGATGCCTTCGCCTCACGCCCGCAGCTGCTCCCTCTCGTCGCTGACGTTGCGAATTCTGACTGGTGGGCGTCGCACCTACCGCAGGACGAGCAGGACCCCATAGCTCTCAACTACACCTCAGGCACCACGTCAGCGCAGCCCAAGGGGGTGGTCTATTCCCACCGCGGCGCTTACCTAAACGCGCTAAGTGCCGTGCTCATGGTGCAGCTGCGCACGCACGCCGTTTTTCTACTATCAGTCCCGCTTTTCCACTGCAACGCGTGGTGTTTCTGCTGGTCGCTGCCGTCTGTCTCCGGCACGGGTGTGCTTATAAGGAACGTGACTGCACGGGCGATCTTTGCAGCAGTGGCTGAAAGGAGGGTTGAGGTGATGGTGGGAGTGCCAGTGGTGCTGAACCTGATGGTTAACGCAGCCGACCAGGATAAGGCGTTGCTGGGTGCGAGTCGAGGAGGGAGAAATGGGGAGAGTTACAAAGATGAGCAACCGCATAGGGTTACCAGCAGGGTTACAGTCCTCACAGGAGGTGCCCCTCCTCCTGCCGCCATCTTGGCTCACATGGAGCAACTGGGGTTCGATGTCATCCACTCGTACGGGTTAACCGAGACGTACGGCCCGGCCATGTTCTGCGACTGGAAGCCACACTGGGACGCCCTCCCCCTGCCCAAACGAGCCAGAATCAAATCCCGGCAGGGCGTACGGCATATCGGGCTGCAGAGCGCTGCAGTGCTGGACCGGGCGACGCTCCGGCCTGTGCCTATGGATGGGGTGACTATAGGGGAGGTGGTGTTTCGGGGGAACACAGTGATGAGGGGGTATTTACATGGGAGAGAGGAGACACAAGTTGCATTTGCCGGTGGCTGGTTTCGCTCTGGTGATCTGGCGGTGGTGCATGGGGACGGGTATGTGGAGATTAAAGACCGGTCTAAGGATATTATTATCTCTGGAGGGGAGAATATTAGCAGTATTGCAGTGGAAGGGGTGTTGTACCGGCATGCAGCAGTGATGGAGGCAGCTGTGGTGGCTAGGCCGGATGACATGTGGGGGGAGACTCCCTGTGCTTTCGTGGCCCTCAAACCTGGTTACAGGGTTACCAGTAAAGCCCCGACTGATGCTACGATGGCTGGTGTTAGAGAGGATGCTAGCAGTGCAGGGGGGTCTGAGCAGGTGGTATCTGAGGAAGATATTATTCTGTTCTGCAGGGAGCACTTGCCCCATTTCATGGCTCCCAAGAGCGTTGTTTTCGGCCCGCTGCCCAAGACTGCAACGGGCAAGATCCAAAAGTTTCAGCTGCGGGAGCGAGCAAAGCAGCTGGGGTCGCTACCTTGGAGGGAGCACAGGAGCAAGCTGTGAGGGGTGGAGAGGGGTGGAGAGAGGGGGGGAGAGAGGGGGGGAGATAGGGGGGTAGAGGGTAGAGGGGGAGGGCGACAGGGCAGTGTAGAGTCTTGAGACTCTCAAAGCAGCTGGGGTCGACGCCTTGGAGGGAGCACAGGAGCAGGCTGTGAGGGGCGGAGATGGGGGGGGTGGCAAGGCGACAGGGTGTTGAGAGACGTTTCAGGGCAGCTGGGGTCGCTGCCTTTGAGAGAGCACAGGAGCAAGCTGAGAGGGGTGAATACACGGAGGGGGACATGGCTTTCTTGAAACTTGGACTTCAGGGCTGCGAGGTTACCAACCACGCTGGAAATGTTTGAGTTATGTGAACAAGGAATTGTGTGAATAATACCATATGTTCGCAAATTCTATAACAAAAACAACAACAGAATATCCAACAAGGGGCTACCTACTTACAACCCTACCTACCTACCTACCTACCTAGATAATATTCAGGCGCACTGGAAGGTACAAAGGTGACTCCCGATGCTGGTGATTATATCAACAGTACCCCCCCTCCCGCCCACTGCCACAAGCTGCCAAGGGCGCACCGAGTGAGGGAGAAAAGAAAGAGGTGTGACATTAGGGAGGTGTGATATTAGGGAGGTGTGACAGTGACATTCGGCAGTGTGACAGTGAAATAGCAATGGGATGAAGGCACAGAAGAAAGGACGTGGATGCAAGTCAACGTGAGAGGGTGGTTTTTGGGAGGGTGGTATCTGGGAAGGTGGTACCTGGGAGGGTGTTACACCCAACCTGGGACATTTTCACTGCGCGGAGCTGGGGGTTGGGAAATTTTCTTTGTCACCCTGGCCGTTTCTGAGTCGACTGAATAATAGACTCATAAAACACGGGTTATCTAGGGGCTCCGGCCCTTTGCCTCTCCGCCTCCGCTTGTTTGGCGCGGGTCCTAGATTTCGAAAATAGAAAGCACCAAAATTGGGAAATATTGCGCTGTAAACATCATACGTCTAGAAACCCAATCCCGCTCCTTTTCCAGGGGACGCTGAACCCGTCACTTAGGTCATGGCTTTTGAAGGTGACTACCCTTGCACTGGCACCCCGGTGAAAATAGGGGGATAGAAAATATCGCAGGTTAGGTGTACCTGAGAGGGTGCGTGCGAGTGAAGGGAGTAGATAGACGGCGTGGCCGTGGCAGTTTGTGACTTGAGCTGGCCGGCAAAAGTCAACCGAGTCAACGCAGGGCTGGCCCCTGCCACTAGTATCTGATGCCACACGCATAGAAAGAGAGGAGGGGGAGGAGACGACAGAGGGAGGATAGAAGCGAGGTGAGAAAGGGGATGAAAATGGTGGTGAGGGGGGTGGTGAATATGGGGGGAAGAGGGATTGCGATGGGAGTGTTGAGTGGACTGTGGAGTGGTTGGTTGAATGGGACGCAAGGAGAAGTAAGGGCGAGTAAATTAAATGTAGTATTAAAAGGAAGATTAAATGAGAATCACGTGCACACTCCCCCACCTGCACACTCCCCCACCTGCACACTCCCCATATTCACTCCCCCACCTCACGGGCACACTCCCCCACCTCATCTCTCTCACCTCATCTGTGTATCTCTCACCTCCTCAGTATCCCTCCCTATGGCCACGGCATGCACAGGGGCGCCCAGAGAGACACGCAGCAGCGCAGAAGAAGGCGCTTGCAGGGAGAAAAGAGACGCTGTGCCGCCGCCCGTGCCACAGAGCTGGTGGGAGGCAGAGGGAGGGAGAGGAGGGGAGAGGGAGGGGAGAGCCGGGAGGTGGATGGGAGGGAGGGTGAGACGAGGTGCGAAACGAGTATGAGAGGTAAGGAGATGTGTGAAGTGTGGAGGAGGGGCCTGCTGCCAGGCTGACTCTTCAAGTCGACTCATCAGGCTGCGGAGGGACCGAAAACAACCACCAGCCACCAGCCACGTGAAAACAGCACACCACCAGCCACCAGCCTCGTGAAAACAGCACACCACCAGCCACCAGCCACCAGCCACGTGAAAACGGCACACCACCAGCCACCAGCCACGTGAAAACAGCACACCACCAGCCACCAGCCATGTGAACTCATCAGACTGTGCTAAGAGAGGCAAGAGAGAGAGAGAAAGATGACTCACCAGCCACGTGGATGAGGCATCTACTGACAGGCTGCTGACCCACGGCGAGGAGGAGGAGGAGGAGGAGAGTGAGGAGGAAGAGAGAGAGGAGGAAGAGAGAGAGGAGGAAGAGAGGGGTACTTGGCGCGCAGTGAAGGGGTTGAGACAGACCACAGTGGTTGCAGTCCGGCAGTCTGGCGGATGGAATGAGAGGCGGGGGAGATCCGGGGTAATGACGGGCCAAGAGATGGGGGGGAATAAAGAACCGATTGGGAAGGGCGCTGGCTGAGTTGACTTTCAAAGGTCCGATAATTGGTTGGAGATTTTTTAGTCGACTCAAAAATCACCTTCCGATAATTGGTTGGAGGAGAAGCAGAACAGGCGGAGGGTTGGGGCAGGGGGTCGGGGTTCAGGGAAAGGGGGGGGGGGGGGGGGATAATTAATTTGCCTTGAACAGCAATCTCAAGCCCATCCAATGCACGCCAGTTGGTCCAAACTCATCAACATGCCTGCAACACATGGGCCATGTGCCAGCTCATACCATCCCAACATATGATGGGCCACATGTCAACACATGCCACGTCACACCATCCCACCAGCCGCACCCTAAACCCTAACCCACCCCATACTCTGCACGTGCCATCTTCAGACCCCGTCATGATCTGGCGGCCAGGCGAGGGAGCAGACGAAGGAGGGAGAAGAAAGGGAGGAAGCGGGATGGGGGACCGGGAGAGCAGGGAGAGGAGAACGAGAAGGATGAGATGAGGGGAGGAGAATGGCCAGGAGAAAAAGCAGAGGGCTTGCATAAGAAAGAGACAGCCACCTGTGCTGTTTTTTTTTTTGCTCGGTTTCTTTCGGAGGACTCAGCCATCCGATTGGCCGAGCTGCAGCTAGGAAGAAACTTTTTGCAATCCAGTTTTGAGACTGTTTCAAGGCTGTTTTCTTCTCTCTCAAGTTTTGTTTTGCCCAGTTTCTCCTCAGATAAGGTGGCCTCCCTTATTTTAGTCTGATTCTGACCTACTACCTCTGCTCTGCTGTTCACGCCTCACACCACCTGACTCTGTTGTTCTCACCTGGCTCTGTTGCTCTTACATGGCACTGCTGCTCTGAGTGGGCTCTGCTGTTCTCGCTCGGTTCTGCTGTTCTCACCTGGCTCTGTTGTCCTTTCACCTGGCTCTGTTGTTCTCACCTGGTTGTGGTGTGGCCGAGCCACCACACAGTGCAGGTAATCCGAGTGGCCTCGGAATTCAGACACCTGCTTTTGAGTCTCCTGAAGTGAAAGCGAGGGGATGGCGAAGGAAAACGAGATTGAGATGTGTGTGGGAGAGTGGGGGGAGGGGGTTGTTCGGGGGGTTGCTCGGGGGGTTGTTCGGGGTAGTGGTAGCAGGGGAGAGGACAGTTGCTTTACAAGAGAGTGATATTAGGGAAGAGAGAAAAGGGAGCAAGAATTAACATAGCTTGTGAACGTTCATTGAGTACTTTACTGGCCGGCGCATCATCACACGTTCATCACACTCCAAAGCACCCACCAAGTCCCATGCATATGCACACCCGTTGCCTGCTGCACTGTAGAGGGTGTTCCCCTGCAGTGGCAGTGCAGGGGAGAAAGAGGGGCCGTGGGTGGACGGATGGATTGGAGAGAGAAGAGGCAGTGAGATACAGAGAGGAGGATAAACTGGTGTGGAGAAGGGGCATAATAAATGCACCACGCAATACATACATACATACATGCATGCATGCATGCAGACAGACAGACAGACAGACAGACAGACAGACAGACAGACAGACAGACAGACAGACAGACAGACAGACAGACAGACAGACAGACAGACAGACAGACAGACAGACAGACAGACAGACAGACAGACAGACATACATACATACATACATACATACATACATACATACATACATACATACATACATACATACATACATACATACATACATACATGCATGCATGCATACATACATCACGCACCATGCAGCCATACCTGTGAATCAGCATCGATGGCATTGGTTTCAGGCACCACGGCCATGCCTCTAGCAGCTGGAGACGTGGTGGGCGGGTTGACCAGGTCAACGCACGGGGACGCCTGGGGAGCTGGGCGGAAGGGGGAGTGGTGTGGGGGAGATAAGGGAGGAGGGGGTTGACCAGGTCAACGAATGGGGACGCCGGGGTGGGGGGCTGCTGCAAGTGGGGGCGTGTGGAGAAAGGAGAGTGAGGAAGAGAAGGGGCATGTGTACATCCCGCCTCTACATCCGGACATAAAGGTGGATGGAAGGGCCACATGACGCTGCATTCAACGCTGCTGAGGACTTGTGAAATGAGATTTTCCATAGCTCCGAGTGTGGTGGTAACTGTAGGCTTGAGATGCGTCGAAAGGCACCAAATAACTACAGATTCACTTCACACCTGCACACCTGCACACCTGCACACACCTGCACACACCTGCACACACCTGCACACCTGCACACCTGCACACCTGCACACACCTGCATGATCAGAAGCCGAGGCTGAACTTGAAAGGAGGTCGGCCCACCGCCAGCCAGCAACGCGACCATCATCCCCACAACTGCCACGTCAGCACAACAAACAAGCCGTCAGCACAACCGGCACTTGCGACGTCACATTAACGTGCGGCTGTGGGGAGCCAGCACTTTCTTGCTTTCGAGGCGCCTCAAAAATAGACTCCTCACGGCTGTGGGGAGCCAGCAGGTTCCTGCTTTCTTGACTCGTAGGTGATTTTTTTGAGTCGACTAAAATATCTCTTTCTGGACTCGTAGAAACCAGGAGGCCGGATGCAGCGCGAAGGAGAGTGGGGCGTGGCGTGGGGGGGAAGGCGGTTGTCTGTGTCTTAAATAGCGCCCACCCACCCACCCTCCTTCCCCCTTCCCCCTCCCCCCCCCCCCCCCTCCCCCCCTCCCACAGTGGAGTCATTTTTTAGAATTCTTTCTCCCTCCCCCTACCCACCTGAACAGCAGCGGCTGTCCCCCCATGGCGCATGACTTGAGCCCGAACGCTGCCCCTCTGTGCGCCTGCACCGCCGCCACAGGCTGCGCTTCCCCCACGCGCCTCACCCCCTCCCCCGCGCCCCCCCAAGGCCCGCCGCCGTCCTCTCCTGGCGCACGCCCGCGCTGGCGCCGGCGTGGGGAAGGGGGGAGGCGGGAAGAGCGGAGGGGAAGCAGGCGGAGGAAGAAATGGGGGGTGAGTGAATGAAGAGGGAGGCGGGGGGGAAGGGGGAAGGCGGATGATGCGGAGGAAAGGGGCTGAAGGCGTGCGGGGCGGGAAGGGGGAAATAATGTTTTTCTCTCTGGGATGGGAAAGCAGGTCCCTCCGCCGATCCCGGCATTTTAAGTACCTCCGAGGCGACTAAAGAAGCCAGAGAGTGCACGGACACGCGTCCGCTGCTCGAAGCGCATGCGACGAATCGCGGCGCTGCTGACGTGGACGACCACGTGTCGTCCCCCAGCTCTCCAGCTGGCATGCTGACGTGGTCGCCCGGAACGAGCAGCGCCGCGTAGATCACGCTCCCGGCTAACTTCCGCTCGCGCAAAACGCGCGCGGCATAAGCCGAAGCGTCGTAGTTGCGGCAATCCATGGCGGACAGAGGAGCGGCGAGTGCGGATCGCTGATTCCAGCTCGACATAGGAGGATCGCCATGGATTCTGTGCGACAGATGCGGTGCTCCCGCTTCTTCAATGCCTCCCGAACATGCGTGCCGGCCCTTGAATACCTCTTCATCGCGCCAGTCCTCGCCGTAATCCACGGCGTCCACCTCCATGCCGCGTGCTCTGACAGGGTATCCATCAAAGCATGTCTGGGACGGTGCATCCGCATTCATCATTAACAAATATAATTTGATCCAAGCTACGTCGTACCCGCGTGGCCTAATGGATAAGGCATCTGACTTCTAATCAGAGGATCGTGGGTTCGAGTCCCATCGTGGGTGCGCTTTATGAAATCGCCTGTCTATTTTTCCCCTACACAAGACATTTAGCGGAGTTTCTGGTGGCGTTGTCCCTCCCTCTTGTTGCACACTGTGGTCCTACATCCATAATGAAAATTGAGGGGTTCACTTACGGGTCCAACATATTATGGAGCACTGCCTCTCAAAATCGCCTTCTCTACTTGTTTACACTATCTCATGAGTATATCGATAGTGTGCACTATGAGTTTGTCCATAAAACCCCACGGCAAAAAAACGAAGCAGTTTTCAAGCTGGGATCCGTCTTGATTTCGCCGCTCCTCACACCACCGAAGGAGTGGGGTTGGCACAGGGGTTAGCTTGCAGGCAGAGCAGGGGGCCATAGGGTGAGGGAACACCTAACTGACACAGAAAGATTGCGTTTCTTCTACGGCAAATGCCATGCAACGAGACATCCAATGACAAGTGCCTGTCTCTGTATCCAGCCAAGGCTCCAAAAGCAGGTACCGTATAAGAAGAGAAGTACATCAAAGAAAAAGCCTACAGTAACCACTTGTTGCAAGTTAAGTGAAGATGGTTACCACATCACGGCGGTAACCACGGACCATAAGCAAGCGCGGAATGTTGTTGACAAGGAGGTCCATGTACTCCATATAGCAATAGGGGGGATGGTTCTGAGGTGGCGGCGGCAGGCTGACGAGCACCACGGCAGCCATGCGCGAGTATCGCAGGATGATGGAGTTGAGCTTGATGGTGGTGTAGAGAAACTTGTTCACCTTGCTCTCGTCCAAAAGGGAGCTGTGCGCTTCAGCCTCGGGGTCATCATTCATTCTCTTCGCGATGTTGCGACGCGCCTAGGGGTGGGGGTGGGGATGGGGATGGGGACAGGGTGGGGAGGGGTGGAGTTGAGCTTGAAGGTGGTGTAGATGAACTTGTTCACCTTGCTCTCGTCCAAAAGGGAGTGGTGGGACTCAGCCTCGGGGTCATCATTCATTCTCTTCGCAATGTTATGACGAGCCTGGGGGTGGGGGTGGGGATGGGGATGGGGATAGGGACAGGGTGGGGAGGGGTGGAGTTGAGCTTGATGGTGGTGCCTGCCCCATTTGCTCTTCTCAACCCTGCATGACTCGCTGCAACTGCAACCACTCACCCTGGTAAACGCCTCCATGGCGCCTTGCCTAGTCAGCTCCGCCTCAGCCCCCTCAGCATCCGACACCACGTCCTCCCACGCCTTCATGGAGCTCACTATCCCCAGCGCCTCTGTCCCACTGACGCTCCTAGATCCTTGCATGCCTCACCACAACCACTCACCCTGGTGAAAGCCTCCATGGCACCTTGCCTGGCGAGCTCCGCCTCTGCCCCCTCGGCGTCGGACACCACGTCCTCCCACGCCTTCATAGTGACGACGATGACGTCTGCCTGCATGCGCAGGTCGTACAGGAACTTGCTCACGTCCAGCTTCAGGTTCTCGGCTCCTGTGTCCTCCTCTGCGATGCAGAACACCTGGGGGCATGCAGGAGAGGAAGGGGAGAAATGAAGGACATGGGTGAGCACTGGACATATCTTGGTGCTTGCTCACGTCCAAATCAGGTTCACAGCGCCCCTGTCCTCCTCCCCTATGCAGAACACCTGGGGGCATGCAGGGGAGGGGGGAGGCTTAAAGGGGTTTAGTAGGAAGGATGAAGATGGTGCTTGATTCATCAAGTTCAATGCAGCAAGGCCCAAGTAGCAGCAACAGACCTTGACCTTCGGAGGCAGATACACGCACCTGGACCTTGCTCTGCCAATGGCGCACCTGGACCTTGCACTGCCAATGGCGCACCTGGACCTTGCACTGCCAATGGCGCACCTGGACCTTGCACTGCCAATGGCGCACCAGGACCTTGCACTGCCAATGCCGCACCAGGACCTTGCACTGCCAATGCCGCACCAGGACCTTGCACTGCCAATGGCGCACCTGGACCTTGCACTGCCAATGGCGCACCTGGACCTTGCACTGCCAATGGCGCACCAGGACCTTGCACTGCCAATGCCGCACCAGGACCTTGCACTGCCAATGGCGCACCTGGACCTTGCACTGCCAATGGCGCACCTGGATCTTGCAGTTTTCGAAGCTCTCCTTTGCCCTGAGCAGCTGTGAGAGCAGCAGCATGATGCCACCGTCCCTGACGATCCAGTACAGGTCGATGGTGCCGTACTGCTTCTGGTACTCGCCCGGCCACTCGTCCAGCCCCTTCACAATCACACACGCCTTGTTCGCCGTGTTGCAGTCGTTGATTATGTTCACAAACGTCCCGGGGATGTCTCTGTGAATGGCATGGGATGGTGCGGATGGGACACAGTGGGTGTCTATTAGATCGGTTCAACACCTGCCTGCCCCGTTCGCGGTGTTGCCGTCATTGATTGTGTTCACAAACGAGCCGGGATGTCCCTGCGGTTTGTAAGGGGTTGTGAGTGGGCGCATGAGCGATGCCAGGGATAAGGTGAGAATATGCAGTGGAAATTAGATTCGACAGTCCATTCCCTAAAAAAGAACCCAGGGACTTCGACAACCGAAGAGCACATGAGCAATTGGGGAATCTAAGAAAAGAACGCATACGCAGGAAACAGCTTACCTCTGGATGTCTTCACGCCAGATCTCAGGATAGCGCATGCACACAATGTTGGGCTTCAGATTAGCGAGCCCCATGGTCTGGACAGCGATGCCGAAGCCGTCGTTCAGGGAGTCAGCTTTTGAGATGCCACACGAATGCACAGCTCACCTCTGGATGTCCTCGCGCCAGATCTCAGGGTAACGCATGCACACAATGTTGGGCTTCAAGTTAGCGAGCCCCATGGTCTGCACGGCGATGCGGAAGCCCTCGTTCAGGGAGTCGGCCACGATGGCCTCCGCCACTCCCTCGCAGCGCTTGTAGTCGATGTAGCTCAGCAGCAGGTGAGACGCCGACCGCGCATCCTCCGCCCGGTCCCTGAAAGCAAGGAACGAGTGAGTGAGGGAGTGAGGACATGGGTTAGGGCGTCCGCCACGCCCTTAGAGCGCTTGTAGTCAATGTAGCTGAGCATGAGACCGCTTGCTGACCGCGCATACTCCGCCTGGTCCCTGCGAGGAAGAGCAGAGGGAACGATTTAGTGAGGGAGCAAGGAAACGGATTAGCCCCTCTGCCACGCCCTCACAGCGCTTGTAGTCCATGTAGCTCGGCAGCAGGTGGCTCGCTGACCGTGCACCCTTCGCCAGGTCCCTGGTGCGAGAAGGTGCAGATGGATGGGGTGGTTTACAGGGAGAGCAGGGTCTTGGAGACACAGACAGGTTGGCACGTGAGATCCGCCCTTGCTCTTCTTGCAGTCAGAGAGGACTTTAGGGGCTGTGCCGAGCCTTGCACGATACCGAGGTTTAGGGTATGGCATCATGGACGGACCGTGATGTGGGGGACTAGTTCGAAGGCGCCTCTATTCGCATCTGAACACGCCTGAGTTGCACCTGAATCTGCCCTCCAAGACGGTCAAGAAGATTGCCATTTTCGCACCCTTTCTTCTTCATGCAGTTGGCAAAGTCCGCCAGCTTGGGGTGGCACAGCATGTGTCTGTGTAACTGTTGACTAGACTCTGTCACGGCTGGGCTGAGGCGCACCTGAATCTGCCTTCGAGGATGGTGGCGAAGATGGTCATTCCGCGCCCCTTCTTCTTCATGCAGTTGGCGAAGTCCGCCAGCTTGGGGTGGCACGGCATGTCGGGGGGCAGAATGCCCCACGGCTTGCAGAAGATGAGCGGAATGGGGTACCAGTTCTTGGGGTGCACCTGACTCGCTGGGGGAGGGGGAGAACGGGGAGGGGAGGGGGGTGGGGGGGGGTGGGGAAGACACAGAGAGGCGCGATGGGGAGTGACGTTCCAAACGGCTTGCAGAAGATGAGAGGAAAGGGGTACCAGTTCTTGGGTTGGGGTGCACCTGACTCGCTGGGGGAGGGGAAGGGGAGAGGGGGGGTGTTGTTTGGGGAAGACACGGAGAGGCGGGATGGGGAGTGAAGTTCAGAGACAAGCCGCTTCGCGGCTTGCAGAAGATAAGCGGGATGGGGTACCAGTTCTGGGGTGCACCTGACTCGCTGGGGGAGGTGAAGGGGGAAAAGAGAGTGGGTGGGTGGAGGAGGGAGCAGGGTGGGGGTGAGGATGGGGTTAGGGGTAGGGTGAAGAAATAGAGGGTGAGGGAGTGCAGTTCAGACACAGGATGGCCCATGGATTGCAAAAGATGAGGGGGATGGGGTACAAGCTTTTGGGGTGCACCTGACTCGCTGGGGAAAGGGAAGGGTGAATGGCAGGGAAGAATGGATGCGGGATGAGGAAGGGCGCGGTTTAGACACAGATGCACCACGGCTCACAGATGTAAGCGGGATGGGGTACCCAGAAAAACTGCACGTACCCCCGACAAGCTTGAGGAATTTGAAGCCGTCGCCCCAGTCGCCAGCTTTGATGTAGGCGACTACAGCACTTACATTCTAGCATAGGCAACAGGTGAAAAGAAAGTCTTGAACATACCTAAGGAGGAAGAGAACACACCTCCGAGGAACTTGAGGGAGCGCAGGGCGAGTTGCAGATAGGCGGACTTGAAGCCGTCACCCCAATCGCCGGCCTTGCCCTTGAGGCTGACGTAGTAGTAGATGAGCACCGCCAGCAGCAGGCAGAGCAGCGTGAAGAACCACGATATCATCAACATGATCGCTGCAGGGAGGGCAGGGGGAGCGGGGAGGGGTGGGGTGGAGGGGTGGGGGAGGGGGGAGGGGGGAGTCGTGTCGAAAGAGAGGGATGGGTGGTGTCATTTAACGTAGCAGGTGATGACAAGGCAAGACGCGCGAAGACACTGCAAGGCGGTGGCGGGAGGAGGAAAACAGGAGACCAGGATGATAGGAGAGTAGGATGACAGCTCAGGTGGATAAAGGCGCCATGGAAATGCGGAAGTGCAAGCATACAAGGGAACGAAAGATCTGGCACTTACCAACGCGGAGGATAGCCCCTGCAAGCGCGGTGAGCGTGTGATGCCACTTCCGGCGGGCCCGCCACAGCGGCGCATCCAGCAGATCGAACAAAAAGCACGAAAGATTCACCCCCAGATCGCCACATAATGCTACGAGTCTAGAAGAGCCGTTTCGAGGCGTTTTGAGCCTTACCAATGCAGAGGACAGCTCCAGCAAGGGCGGTGAGCGTGTGATGCCACTTCCAGCGGGGCCGCCACGAGGGCGCATCCAGCAGATCCAGGAGAAAGCACGACAAATTCACCCCGAGATAACACAGCAGGAAGAACATGGTGATGACGGGCGTCACATAATCCACGTCTCCAATGCACACAAAGCCCGCACAGATGAGCAGCGTGCAGAGCGTGGCAAGGTACGGCTCCTGGCCCTCCTCTGTTTTGAACCAGTCGAGGATGGGCAGGATGTCGTCGTTGGCGATGGCTGTGAGCAGGCGAGGCGCGCTCATGAGGTTCTGCATGGCGGCGCCCAGCGTGGAGAGGATGATGCCGATGTACACCACCGCAGGGGACGGCCAGGCTAGGGTCGCAGTGAGCAGCCTGTTGAAAGAGATGGAGTGATGGGGAAGACAGGGGAGAAGGGGTAACAGAGCAGGCGGGGAGGGGGGGGGGAAGGGAGTAGCGTTCATGAGGTTCTGTATGGCGGTGTCTAGAGAGGAGAGGATGATTCCGATGTAGACCACTGCAGGGGACGGCCAGGCCAGCGTGGCTGTGAGCAGGCTGGAAGGAGAGAGACAGGGGGAGGGAAAGGAGGGGAGGGAAGAATAGGCCGGTGCTCATGAGGCCCTGCTGCTGCTTATGCACCATAGGAGCCTGGGCCCTTGTCCCTCTCCCCCTTCAGCAGTCCGTCAGTAACACATTCGATTCCCCACTCCCCTCTCCCACCACCACCCTTTCCCACTCTCTCCCCAGTGAGCAGCAGGTCCCTTGCCGCCACAGAGCCGAACATGAAGTCCTTGAAGGCGTAGAGCAACGTCAGACGGCCAGATCACACACGCTTCCAATCCCCTTCCAAACCCCTAGCTTCATCCCTTCCGCTCGCCTTCCCTTCCCTCCCTCTCCCCTCATCTCACCTGTCAGTGAGCAGCAGGTCCCTTAGCGCCACAGATCCAAACATGAAGACAGCAAAGACGTAGAGCAGAGTGGTGGTGCCGATGGCCCAGAGGGTTCCGATAGGGATGGACTTCTGCGTGTCCTTGAGCGAGGCGGACCGGTTGCTACCCGCCATGATGCCCGTCACGGCGGGGTAGAAGAGACCCAGCAGCTGACTGCAGGGGGGACCAGGGAAGGGGGGAGAGGGGGGAGTATGGGGAGGGATGAGAGGGAACGAACCGACTTCTGTGTGTGCCTGAGGGACGCCGGCCGGTTGCTGCCGCCATCACTGCGGGGTAAACGAGACCCAGCAGCTGACTACAGGAATACAGGGGGGGGGGGGGGGGTAGGAGGGAGGGAGGGACGGGGAAGGAAAAGAAAGAGCGGAGGGGGGGGGTTGACGGAGGGAGATCTCTGAGGCATGAGGTTGAAACGGCATGCAGTGCGATAAACAGCAAGTGTGACAGAGAACAGTCCTAGCAGCTGACAGCGGGGCAGCGGGGACGGGAAGGTGGGTGTGGATGAAACGAGAAAGGGCTGGTTTTGAGGCGCCTCAAAACAAGGTGGGTGTGGACGGAACGAGAAAGGGCTGGAAGGAAGGGTGCGTTGCGTGTGAGGGTGGAAGGCAAGGCCATGGGGCTCACGTGAAGGTCCAGTCGAAGTTGCCATTCTCATGGGGAATGCCGTTGGCGTTGGTCTTCTGGTAGTCCGACGCCCAGTTGCTCGACAGCGTGCTGGTGCTCAGCCCAGTCAGCCCCTCTGCGGTTGCCCATTCGCACACACACCGACACACACACACACACCGACACACGCACACACACACACACGTGAAGAAGCACACATGCGCAGACGCACATAAGCACACGTCCCACATGGTTGATCATACTTGTGGATGGTTGTTCAGGTTAACAGGCAGCAGGGGATGACAAGTGTCAGAGCACAGCAGAAAGGTGTAGAGGAGGGGTGAGGGAGGCGAGGCGACAGTACCTGGGCTACCACTCGGGGACGCAATGATAATACCAATGAAGATACAGATCATAGCGAGGATGGAGGGCACGAGGAAGAGAGGGGAAGGACGGAACAGTACCTGGAGAACCACTGCGGGGCGCCACGATAATCCCAATGAAGATGCAGATAATAGCGAGGATGGAGGGCACGAGGAAGAGCGGCCCGACGCGCACGACAACGCGCACTCCCCCGAGCACGACGATGCAGAGCACGACGGTGACGATCACCCCGTACACCTGCATGTCGGCCGTCGACGCCAGCTCCACCGTCGAGTTGGTCGTTGAGTTCAGGCCAAACGTCACCTGCTCCGCTGTGGGGCGCGTGAGAGAAGGTACAGGGCATGTGGGGAAAGGGCGCGGGAGAAGCTGACTCAACGACCGACCACTGACCCCGGACATACCGGGTACATGGGGAACGGAACGGGTGGAGGATGGAGGGGAGAGCGGAAGGACACGGGGAGCTGTGCAATAGGGTGGGTAGGTGGGTAGGGTGGGCCAGGGGGCAACTCACGTGGAAAGAGGGACATTTGGGGGAGCCAATCCAGCAGCGTTTCGACCGCACCAAGAATGTATCTGCGCAAGAGGACGGCGCAGCAAGACGAAGGGACACGTTGGGCGAGTGAGAGGCGCACTCAGAAGCGAGTAAATCAGCTTGCGATGGCAAGATTCCAGAGTCTACTGAGGAAAAGCTACAGCGGCTGGAAGGACTTGTGTGGAGCACTCACAGGGAGCCAGCGACTGCATTGCCGAGGAAGAAGCAGAGCCCTATGCTCACTCCCACCTCAGGCCCCAGCGCTCGCCCTATCAGATAGTAGGGGCCGCCTCCCTGCAGCACACACAACGAAAAGAAGCGGCTCAGGAAGGGACTCCACTCCTCATCTCGACTCTACATGCCACCGCCAGAAGGGGACTGGGCGGGGTTGAGAGAGAAGAGCGCGTAACGATTCACTCCTCGATTCCTCTTCTCGATGAAATGGTCCGTATCGTTTCCAAGTTCTTCGACTACTCTGGACTAGCTCTTTCCCCGTATGACCCGTGAACTCGCTAGCTCTCACCTTCATGGCGCCGTTGGTGGCGATGGCAGAGAGGGAGAAGCCGGTGAGGACTGTGCTGAGGCACGTCAGCGCAACCAGCAGCAGGCTCTGGCCGATTCCCGCAATGCCCACAATCCTGGCCGCATACGAACACGCGGACACAGCGAGGGAAAAGCGCGTGAGGGAATGTAATGCGTGAAGCAGCGTGAGAAAGGCAGGGAAAACTAGGCGTGAGCATATAACTATCGAGTAACCCGGCGACTGAACAACCTGATGGTTGATTGAGTGGCACAAGTGGAGATAACGGGAACGTCAGGGAGCCGTTCGCTGTACGTACCAGGAAAGACGAATGTAGAAGATAATTCCGAGAATGTTTTGAACGCACGGGATGTACACGCCGGTTAGTGTACCCAGCTTCGCTACTTTCATACTCTGCACAAGACAAGAAGCGATCAGGTGCGTTTAGCCACATTACGTTCCAAAACAGATAATCCATCTCATGTGCCTCATCCTTGAGCAAATTAACCTTAGTACGATTGCTCTCAACCCAGGTTCAGGTATTAATGGAGTGGACATACCCTGTCGGAACCCCGGTGAACGTGCATCTCATCACCGTCACCGCCGCGGGGACTCATGGGATGCTGACCAGCCATCCTGCACGTGCCGGTCAAACCTCATTAGCCAGAGTTTGAAAGATACTAAAAGAAAGAAACGAAATGACGGAGGATTGGGAAGGGAAGCGGAATGGAAAGAAGTGGAGTTATTCGTACCTTCTCACGCCGACAGCATCGACGAGAGGGTCGCTCTCGAAAAGCTCGAGCTTGGACTCCCTCTCCCTCACGACGCTGACAGGTGGAGCCTCGTCCATTCCCTGACCATCCTCCATGGATCTCCTGAAGACGAGAAATCGAAATTAATGAAAGGGGAAAAAAAAGAGAAACATACCCTATCGTCATTTCATTCTAAAAATTGGTCCTAACTACAGGGTTGAATTTACTGATCGCGTTAATCAACTTCTACTGGGAATGCGTTGAAAACTTGTCCTCCTCAGATGAATCTTATGCACTGTGCGTATAATGTCGACCACCTGCCACGTCAGCACTTACCCCTCGTCGCCACCAAGATCAACGGCGGACATCTCGAGGACTTGCTGCTGACCGTCCGGGCCTCTCCCGGACCCAACTCTCTCCGGCTCCATACCGATCTATGCTACACGACTCGCCAGCGATCACAATAATCTAGCCTACTAAAATCTACAAAACAGCAGACGTATTCTAGACCGTCCTTGTTTCAGACCGTCAAGGACAAGGGTTCACAAACATGGAGCCGAGGACCCGCGGATCCAGTGGAGCAGGAAACTAATACTGCCTGAGCAAACTTCTAGGCTGGCTTCAGGAAAGCTGAATCTTGCAAGACAGCCAAGCACCAGCAGAATTCAGAAAGCAGTGGTCCCTAGAAAAGGCCCATCAGAAAGGCTTGGATCTGGCCAGCTCTGTAAAGTTCGTGAGCTCAGGGGCTTCACCAAACCAAGGAGGTCCGAAGCTGCTGGTTTGCCTCGACCTTGATTCTGACCTGCTTCGACATTGATTTGGCTGTGTGACATCTCTGAAATGTCAGAGACACAGTGACGACGACCCTCCAAGAAGGGGTCCACCACAAGGAGTTTCCCGCCTTCGGCACAATCAGCTGGTTCGTCCAGGATCCTGGCCCTTGAACTTGCCTATATCAATCGCGTCCGTCCATCATTTTGCTATCCCAAGCCCAGGCGCATTTTTTGCCAAGTGCCTGACATTCTGTAACAAATATTTGTAAAGTGTACTCAAATTCCGTTCTAGTTGATATATCCGTGCAGCGAATCACTCTCTAGAAAACCATTGGCGTGTGCTTCCTGCTGATCGAAGTGCTTTGCTAATGGCACTCCAGTCATTAGTCCGTCCATTTATTAGTCGCACTGCACAAAAGCTTCATTTGAAAGTCAGCGAAGAGTAAGCCTTCGGCGCTCGATACCCATTTTTGTTTCGACAACGGTTATCCCGCCTAAAGTGACGTGGCTGATATCTCGATAAGCCGCGAACTTCCGTCGCGATGCTTCATCATAAGCAGTTCGTACGCAAGACCCGCAAAGGAGCCATACAGCGGGTGCGTGGTGGAAGTAGTGCGCAGTGGAAGTAGAAGTGCGTAGTGGGAATAGCAGTGCTAGTAGCGGCTCACTACTCGCGTTCTATAGTCATAGCCATGGCGCGGGGTATCACTAGGATTCGCGTTATAAGCAGCTTCGAGTGCAGCCAGTGATTGCATGCAGGGAAATGGAAATTCTGGATAAATAGCGCATTACAGTAGCATCACTAGTTGTACCGGCCTTCCTCATAGTGATCGTACAGGTAGGCCTGGCGGAAACGCGTTTCCGTGGACAGGAATTCAGGGTTTGAGGGTAGGAGGTTCAGGGTTGTGCGGAGCGAAGAGATCCCGCATCGTGACTCAACCTCTCGTAATCATCACTGAACGTTAAAAAGGACGGCAGAATTGCTATAAAGTATTTGGGCGTGATTCTCAGGGTTCTTAGGGATTCCTGACATAGCAATTTCCTTTCCAGTAAGCCTTACATTCGCTTCCCGTCCACATACAGTGTATCCCTCTCCTGGGGGTGATTAGGTGGTCCACGAGCGCTGCCTGCGCGCCGAAATTCCTTTTGACTTCCTCGTATGCGCCATAGCCCTAATTCGTAACATTTCCCTTCTTTCCTTCTCCCGCCCCCTCCATGACCTTCTGCCCGTTTCTTTCTTGTTAACGCCACCCTCGCTGCTGCCGCATCAGGTGGTGCGGGAGCACTATCTGCGCGACGGGATTCCTTGTGGCGTGCTCCCCTGCGCCAAGCCCCAACGCATTAGTAATCTCCGTTCGTTTCCCTCTCCCGCTCTCTCCATCCCATCCCTACCCCCTCATTTTCTCCTCAACGACATCCGCTGTTGCGACGCCAGGTGGTGCGGGAGCACTATCTGCGCGACGACATTCCCTGTGGCGTGCTGCCCTGCGCCAATTCGCCCGCCACTTCCTGCGACAAGGACTCCGCTCGCCTCTCGCCGAACAACGAACCCATCCTCGTTATAGACACCAACGTCGCCCTGCACCAGGTGAGCCCTGTGCATGAAAGCAGAGCGCTCATGCTAGAATGCCAACAGGGGCTAGGTCCTAGCTTAGACAAGACGTTATCCCTGCCATCCCAGCCGCAGATTGACCTCTTGGAGAACGTGGCAATCGGCAAGGTGGTGGTGCTGTCGGTGGTGCTGTCGGCTGTCGGTGGTGCTGTCAGTGGTATAGGAGGAGCTGAAGTTGTTGGGGCATCCCCCCATACCCTCTCCCCTGCCACCCCCCCTTGCCCCTTCCGTCCTCGCCGTCATCAGATCGACCTATTAGAGAACACCGCCATCAGCAACGTGGTGGTGCTGTCGGTGGTGTTAGATGAGGTGAAGAGCCGCAACGTGGCGGTGCATGGCCGCCTCAGGGCGCTCGTGGCGGATGAGAACCGGCGCTTCTTCGTCTTCTCCAACGAGCACCACAAGTGAGTGCGAGCATTGCTGCATTCTTGTCCTGAGGCGACTTACAAGAGGAGCCGCATGTTCAAGTGGGTGCATTCCCTCTCTGCATCTTCACCTGGCTGGCTTACCGATTGCCATCATCATTTGCCCAACCTTCTCGTCCCATTCCCCTCCAAATTCAACCTCCTTGCTCCGTCTCCATTCCCCCTTTCCCCATCCCACTTCCTTTCTAATTCTCCTTCCCCCCCGCCCCTTCCCCCCCCCCCTTTCCCCCCGCCCCTCCCTCCCCCCCCCGATGCGTGCTGGGCGCGCCAGGGACACGTTCATAAAGGGGGAGCCGGGGGAAAGCCCCAATGACAGGAATGACCGAGGTGAGCGCCCTGCTGCCCCCACTAAGGGAAATGGGAATGTCTGTTGAGCCAACAGAGGCGGGGCTAGTGCTTGGGGAAACGTTGGTGTGGTGAGGATGAAAGCTGCTCCGTCATCTTCCTTCTCACCTCCTACTTTTCTTGCCTGGATTTTCCTGCCCTTTCCTGCCCTTTCCTGGCCTTTTCTGGCGTTTCCTGCCCTTTCCTGACTTTTCCTGGCGCTTCTTGGAATTTCCTGGCGTTTCCTGGCTTTTCCCAGCGTTCCCCAGCTTTTCCTGGCTTTTCAACCTCTCCCCATTTTCTTCACCGTCGCTTTGCTCCGCTACCTCTGCCTGCCCACACTCCGTCCAGCCATCCGGGTGGCAGCGCAGTGGTACCAGCAGCACCTGGGCGGCAAAGTGCCGGTCGTCCTCATAACAGACGACAGAGCCAACCTGGCGAAGGCGGTGGCGGGCGGCATGAAGGCGATGAGAGTGCGCGAGTATGTGGCGTCACTGGGGAGTGTGGAGCTGATGGACCTGGTGGTCAGCGCGGGGGATGGGGAGGAGGGGGAGGGCGGGGAGGGGGATAAGGCGGCTAGGGAGGAGGAGAACCGTGGGCTCCGGACGAATGTATCACGGAGCAAGAGGAAAAGGATTTACACTGATGTGAGTGGTGGGGTGGTAATGTCGTCCTGTGGGATGGATGGGATACACATGTGCGGTCTGGTGAATGTTACCAGCAATTGAGGTGGTGTCGCTGCATCCAGTTTCTTGCCCTGGTGTATTTTGAGTCGACTCAAAATACACCTCAGCAATTGAGGTGGTGTCGCTGCACCCACTTTCTTGCCCTGTATCTCACCCCTCTCTGCCTCCCTCTCCTCATTCAGCACAAGCCCATGTCGGCCATAACAGCGGGGCTGCAGCGCGGGGTGTATCACCAGGGCAAGCTGCGAGTCAGCCGCTACAACTGCTTCGAGGCGTTTGTGGGGTCCGAGTCCCTGGGGGACGAGATCCTCGTTATAGGCAGATGCGATATGAACCGCGCGGTGGATGGCGATGTGGTGGCGGTGGAGTTATTGCCAAGAGACCAGTGGAAGGAGCCGACCAGTGGGGCGCTGAGGGAGAGGGAGGACGACCACGATGATGCTGCTGGTGAGCACCGGGGGTTCCTGCTGTGATCTAAGGTTTTTTCCAAAGGTGTGGTGGATGGGGACGTGGTGGCTGTGGAGTTATTGCCAACAGACCAGTGGAAAGAGCCGACGAGTGGGGCGCTGAGGGGGAGAGAGGATGACCACGATGACGCTGCTGGTGAGCAGGCGCTGCTGGTGAGCAGGCGCTGCTGGTGAGCAGGGGAGCGAGGTACTCTTCTAGTTTTGGTTTCTCTCTCTCTCGTTCTGGTGCACCAGTGGTGTGGTGCTTGAGTCTTGTCAAAGGTGGGGTGAAGGGATGGGGATGTGCTGGCTGTGGGGCTGCTGCCGAGGGAGCAGTGGAAGGAATTGACTAGTGGCACGCTGAGGGCAAGGGACGCTGCTGGTGAGTTCTGGGGTGGGATGCTCTTGTCTCTCTTTCTCTTTTCTTACCTGTGTTGACCGTCAGGGCTTTACAGGGTGTGGTAGACGGATGGGGATGTGGTGACTGTGGGGCTGCTGTCGAGGGAGGGAGCAGTGGAAGGAACCGACCAGTGGGGCGCTGAGGGAGAGAGACGTAGACCACAATGATGTTGCTGGTGAGCAACGGGGCCGGGTACCTTTCTTTTGTCTTACCTTCTGTTGTTTAGGAGGCTTAAACTGTTCTTTCCTCGACCTGGTCGTTTTCTCTCCTTCCAGTTCTGTTTCCTCTCCTGTGATTCTCCCCCCTTCCCTCCCTTACCCTCGTTTTGAGGCGCCTCAAAACTCTCCTGTGATTCTCCCCCCTTCTCCCCCTTACCCTCGTTGTGAGGCGCCTCAAAACTCTCCTGTGATGCTCCCCCCTTCCCCCCCTTGCCCCCTCCCACTTCCCATGTTCCTCTCGTTCAACCACCACAGCAGAGGAGCAGGGGTTGGGCACTCAGTGGGCCTTCCTCTCTTCCTCTCTTTCTCTCTTTCTCTCCCACACTAAATGTTCCTCTGCTGGCAATGCGCCTTGCTCTCCCTGCTCTGCTCCCCCTCCCGTTCTTCCCCTCTCCATCTCCCTCGTTCCCTGTTCTTGTGACCACCAACCACACCAGAAGAGGAGCAGGGCGAGGAGGTCTCGTCTCCGTGGGCCTTCCCCCCGCCTCGGCTGACGACGCCCCTTCCTTCCCACATGTAGCAACTCTTTGAAGATTAGACTTTCCCTCACTATGTCTTCTCCCTCTCTCCTTTCTCCCGTGCTACCCACACCAGCTGAGGAGCAGGGCGAGGAGGACTCGGTGGGCCTCCCCCCCGCCTCTGCCGACGACGCCCCTTCCTCTCTCTCCTCTGCTGCTGCGTCCCTCTCCCTAAACAAGGGGGACGAGGGCAAGGGGGAGGGGGATGGCGGAGGTGGGGGGAAGGGCGGGGGAGGGGGAGGGGGAGGGGGAGGGGATGAGGGGAGGAAGGGACCGTCGGAGCTGGCACGGCCTACAGGGCGAGTGGTGGGGGTGATCAAGCGCAACTGGCGCACGTGAGTGGGGATTTGATGGGCGGGAAAGTGTATGAGTTGCCTGGTGGTGCGCTTGTGCTTCTGAGGTTGCCTGGTGTGGCTTGTGATTTTGAGGTTGCTTGTGCTTATGAGTTGCCTGGTGGTGCGCTTGTGCTTTTGAGGCGTCAAAAGTGGTTGGGGTGATCAAGCGCAACTGGCGCACGTGAGTGCGGGGGGAAGGCGAAGTGCAGTGGGAGGGCTTGCTGTGTGGTGCTCTGTGCATTCCTCTCCAGTCAAGTGTCACTCCTGTCACGCCTCGCACTCCTCTCTCCCCTCTATCTCTCCCCTCTATCTCTCCCCTCTATCTCTCCCCTCTATCTCTCCCCTCTATCTCTCCCCTCTATCTCTCCCCTCTATCTCCCCCCTCTATCTCTCCCCTCTATCTCCCCCTTCTATCTCTCCCCTCTATCTCCCCCCTCTATCTCTCCCCTCTATCTCCCCCTTCTATCTCTCCCCTCTATCTCTCCCCTCTATCTCTCCCCTCTATCTCTCCCCTCTATCTCTCCCCTCTATCTCTCCCCTCTATCTCTCCCCTCTATCTCTCCCCTCTATCTCTCCCCTCTATCTCTCCCCTCTATCTCTCCCCTCTATCTCTCCCCTCTATCTCTCCCCTCTATCTCTCCCCTCTATCTCTCCCCTCTATCTCTCCCCTCTATCTCTCCCTTTATCTCTCCCCTCTATCTCCCCCCTTTATCTCTCCCCTCTATCTCTCCCCTCTATCTCCCCCCTCTATCTCTCCCCTCTATCTCTCCCCTCTATCTCTCCCCTCTATCTCTCCCCTCTATCTCTCCCCCACACCCTCCAGCTATGCAGGTTCCCTGGCCCCCATGCGCACGGCCCCAGCCTCAGCAGGCGCGTTGGTCCGAGCTCTCTTCGTGGCTGCCGACCGCAGGGTGCCGCGCATCCGCGTCGAGACGAGGCAGGCCGCCCAGCTGATGGGCAAGCGCATCCTAGTGGCGATCGACAGCTGGCAGCCTGACAGCGCGTTCCCATCGGGGCACTATGTGAAGACCTTGGGGGACATCGGCGACAGGGAGACAGAGAGCGAGGTGAGGGAGGATTAACAATAGGGGGAGGGGGTGTAGGAGGTTGAAAAGGTGGGAGGAGCTTTGGGGAAGGGAAGGGGGAATGGGAGGGGGGGGGGGAAACACAAAACAAGGGAAATCAAGAGGCTGGCAGCCCGACAGGTAGGAGACCGAGGGAAGAAAGAAGAGGTGGGGAGTGGGACGTGAGGGGTAGAGAAAGAGGTGGGGAGTGGGACGTGAGGGGTAGAGAAAGAGGTGGGGAGTGGGACGTGAGGGGTAGAGAAAGAGGTGGGGAGTGGGACGTGAGGGGTAGAGAAAGAGGTGGGGAGTGGGACGTGAGGGGTAGAGAAAGAGGTGGGGAGTGGGACGTGAGGGGTAGAGAAAGAGGTGGGGAGTGGGACGTGAGGGGTAGAGAAAGAGGTGGGGAGAAATGAGCTTGAAGGGACGTCCACCTTTGTGAAGGAATGTCCCGTCCTCCCCCTCTGCCCTCCTCCCCCTCTGCCCTCCTCCCCCTCTGCCCTCCTCCCCCTCTGCCCTCCTTCCCCTCTGCCCTCCTCCCCCTCTGCCCTCCTCCCCCTCTGCCCTCCTCCCCCTCTGCCCTCCTCCCCCTCTGCCCTCCTCCCCCTCTTCCCTCCTCCCCCTCTGCCCTCCTCCCCCTCTGCCCTCCTCCCCCTCTGCCCTCCTCCCCCTCTGCCCTCCTCCCCCAGCTGCTGCTGACGCGCCTGTGCTGGCAAGTGTTGGCGTGCCTGCTGGCTCTCCCCTGGTCCGTGTCCCCTGCTGACGTCACCGATGCTACGAGCCCGCCCTCATCATCCTCCACAACCCACCCCACCCTTTGTTTCCTTCCAGCTGCTGCTGATGGAGAATGACATTGACGCGCGCCCCTTCTCCCAGCAAGTGCTGGCGTGCTTGCCGCCTCTTCCCTGGTCCGTGTCCGCTGCGGACGTGACCGACCCGAAGAGCAAGCGGGAGGACTTGAGGCACGTGCGCGTGTTCAGTGTGGACCCCATCGGGTGCAGGGACATCGACGACGCTCTGCACTGCGTGCCTCTCCCTAACGGGAATTTCGACGTGGGAGTCCGTAAGTACCCATCTTACCGTGAGTCTCCGCATGTGAGGCACGTGTGTGTGTGTGTGTGTGTGTGTGTGTGTGTGTGTGTGTGTGTGTGTGTGTGTGTGTGTGTGTGTCTGTGTGTGTGTGTGTGTGTGTGTGTGTTCAGTGTGGATCCCATGGGCTGCCTGCACTGCAGGGACATCGACGACGCTCTGCACTGCGTGCCGCTCCCCAATGGCAACTTTGACGTTGAGTTTTGAGGCGCCTCAAAACGTTGGCGTTCATAAGTTTCTGTATCCACGCGTGTGTGCTTATTGATGATATGGGCGCCAATATATTGAACACGACTTTTGAGGCGCCTAAAAAATGGCAACTTCGACATTGGCATTCATACGTTTCTGTATCCACGTGTGTGTGCTTATTGATGAAATGGGCGGCAATATATTGAACAGGTGTAACGCTTCTATTAGAGAGGTGGGGGAGAGGGGGGGGGAGAGGAGAGTGGGGGGAAGGGAGCACAAAACGTTTCTCAGCAATCTTTTATTACTTTGGAAATGAGTGTTTCCGCGCCTATTGCTCTGTCTTGCGATGCTGCTTCCTCCACTTCGTCCCCTTCCTTCCAGCACCCTCTCCATATCAGCTACCTCGTTTGCCTCCTATTACCCCCCCCCCCCCCTCCCCCCCTCGCCCCCCTGCGTGAGGGGTCTATTTTTGAGGCGCCCCAAAAATCGTTTCCCTCCTATCACCCTCCCCCCCTCGCCCCCTCGCCCCCTCGTCCCCTCGCCCCCTCTTCCCCTCGCCCCCTCGCCCCCTCGCCCCCCCCCCCCCCAGACATTGCGGACGTGACCAATTTCGTGCTGCCCGGCACGCCGCTGGACATAGAGGCGTCGCAGCGAGGCACGTCCGTGTACCTGGTGGAGCGCCGCATCGACATGCTGCCGAAACCATTGACCGAAGGTAAGTTAGAGGAGAGCGAGATGCAACGGTGGGGTGTGGTGGATGATAGGGTGGTAGGGTGAAGTGCCTTTGGCGTCTGTGCTTTTGGCGTTCGTGCGTTTGGGTGGAAGGCGCTGTTAGTGCATCACTGATCGCTGCACTCTTGCATGCATCCATCCATCCTCCCACCATACTCACACATGTGCCCACCTCACACCATACTCGCACCCTCCCACTTTGTTGCCCATCGTCCCAACCCCGCCCAGACATCTGTTCCCTCCGCGGCGGTGTGGAGCGATTGGCGTTCTCCTGTATATGGGTTAGTGCTGCCGTCGCTAGAAACATATTGCTCTCATTCCTGTGTCAGTGCATATCAGCTCGGGCTGTTTCCGTGCCAGTCACTGACCCACCATGAGTGCATCATGCGTGAGTGCATGCCAGTCACTGACCCACCATGAGTGCATCATGTCACAGATACCACTTCTGCTGCTTCTGCCACTGGCATTGACAGCATGGCTTACTGTCAGGAGCACAATCTGACTTTTGAGCTGACTCAAAGGTAGCACATTCTGGCATGTGTACAGCTCGTTATGATGCGCCTGCCTGCGGTCGTGGCGGTGCGGTTCACCAAGAGCAGCATCAAGCGAGATGACCCCATCCCTCTTTTCCCATTCCTTCCCATCCGCACCCCACCAGGAGATGACCCCCGAGGCGGAGATCGTGGCGGTGCGGTTCACCAAGAGCATCATTAAATCCGCTGCTGCGCTGTCCTATGTGGAGGCACAGGCGCGCATGGATGATGAGTGAGTGGCAGATGGATGACACCATGCATGGATGATGGGCGAGTGGCATGCATGCATGGATGATGGGTGAGTGATGGGCATGCATGCATGCATGGCGGATGGGTGAGTGATGGGCATGCATGCATGGATGATGGGTGAGTGATGGGCATGCATGCATGGATGATGGGTGAGTGATGGGCATGCATGCATGCATGGCGGATGGGTGAGTGATGGGCATGCATTCATGGATGATGGGTGAGTGATGGGCATGCATGCATGGATGATGGGTGAGTGATGGGCATGCATGCATGCATGGCGGATGGGTGAGTGATGGGCATGCATGCATGGATGATGGGGGAGTGATGGGCATGCATGCATGGATGATGGGTGAGTGATGGGCATGCATGCATGCATGGCGGATGGGTGAGTAATGGGCATGCATGCATGGATGATGGGTGAGTGATGGGCATGCATGCATGGATGATGGGTGAGTGATGGGCATGCATGCATGCATGGCGGATGGGTGAGTGATGGGCATGCATGCATGGATGATGGGTGAGTGATGGGCATGCATGCATGCATGGCGGATGGGTGAGTGATGGACATGCATGCATGCATGGCGGATGGGTGATTGATGGGCACGCATGCATGGATGATGGGTGAGTGATGGGCATGCATGCATGCATGGCGGATGGGTGAGTGATGGGCATGCATGCATGGATGATGGGTGAGTGATGGGCATGCATGCATGGATGATGGGTGAGTGATGGGCATGCATCTATACGTCCACACTACCTTATCTTACGTCCCATCCCCCAGCAGCTGTCATCCCCCAGCAGCTATCATCCCCCAGCAGCTCTCATCCCCCAGCGGCTCTCATCCCCCAGCAGCTCTCATCCCCCAGCAGCTCTCATCCCCCAGCAGCTCTCATCCCCCAGCAGCTCTCATCCCCCAGCAGCTCTCATCCCCCAGCAGCTCTCATCCCCCAGCAGCTCTCATCCCCCAGCAGCTCTCATCCCCCAGCAGCTCTCATCCCCCAGCAGATCTCATCCCCCAGCAGCTCTCATCCCCCAGCAGCTCTCATCCCCCAGCAGCTCTCATCCCCCAGCAGATCTCATCCCCCAGCAGCTCTCATCCCCAGCAGCTCTCATCCCCCAGCAGCTCTCATCCCCCAGCAGCTCTCATCCCACAGCAGCTCTCATCCCCCAGCAGCTCTCATCCCCCAGCAGCTTTCATCCCCCAGCAGCTCTCATCCCCCAGCAGCTCTCATCCCCCAGCAGATCTCATCCCCCAGCAGCTCTCATCCCCCAGCAGCTCTCATCCCCCAGCAGCTCTCATCCCCCAGCAGATCTCATCCCCCAGCAGCTCTCATCCCCCAGCAGCTCTCATCCCCCAGCAGCTCTCATCCCACAGCAGCTCTCATCCCCCAGCAGCTCTCATCCCCCAGCAGCTCTCATCCCCCAGCAGCTCTCATCCCCCAGCAGCTCTCATCCCCCAGCAGCTCTCATCCCCCAGCAGATCTCATCCCCCAGCAGCTCTCATCCCCCAGCAGCTCTCATCCCCCAGCAGCTCTCATCCCACAGCAGCTCTCATCCCCCAGCAGCTCTCATCCCCTAGAAGCTCTCATCCCCCAGCAGCTCAAACCCCCAGCTGCTCTCATCCCCCAGCAGCTCTCATCCCCCAGCAGCTCTCATCCCCCAGCAGCTCTCATCCCCCAGCAGCTCTCATCCCACAGCAGCTCTCATCCCCCAGCAGCTCTCATCCCCTAGCAGCTCTCATCCCCCAGCAGCTCAAACCCCCAGCTGCTCTCATCCCCCATTAGCTCTCATCCCCCAGCAGCTCTCATCCTTTGCTCCCTTGCTCTGCTTTCCCCCTCCCCTTCTCCCGCTGACGTTATCATGGCATCAGGCGCATGCATGATGACCTCACAAGGGATCTTCGCAACCTCAACCGCCTCGCTAAGGTGCCACGATCATAGGATTCTGTGCCATGCCATGGCATGCATACACACTCCAGCTACTTCATGCCAACCCATACCATGCTGTATTATGCACAGTCATGCCACGCCATGCCGCATCTCATTCCCTCTTCACATGTCTCATCCCCATCCCCACGCCCCATCCCCACACCAGGTGATGCGGCAGCGCCGCATCGACAGGGGGGCACTCACTCTTGCGTCACCGGAAGTCAAGTTTGAGATCGACACTGAGACACACGACCCCCTCGACGTTGGTACGACGCCCCTCTGCCCCTCTGTATGGTGACGTGCCTGCAGTGTTGTTTACTCCGCCGCTGCCTCACTCTTCCCCGGTCTCTGCCATTCTCCCCCTTCTTGACTCGTCATGTCATGCTGCCAGCCTGCGTGTTCTGCTTGTTGATGGTATTTACTGACGATGGCAGCCCTTCCATTTCCCCACCTTTGACTTTTTTGCTCTTTGACTTTCCTCAGCCTTTTCTTTGGCGCCCTCCCTATCTCTCCCCCCTCTCTCCAGGCATGCGGAGTCTATTTTTGAGGCACCTCAAAAATAGTCCCTCCTATCTCTCCCCCCCCTCGTTTTGAGGCGCCTCAAAAATAGTCCCTTCCTATCTCTCCCCCCCCTCGTTTTGAGGCGCCTCAAAACTTGTCAGTGGCGCCCTTCCTATCTCTCCCCCCCCTCGTTTTGAGGCGCCTCAAAACTTGTCATTGGCGCCCTTCCTATCTCTCCCCCCCCTCGTTTTGAGGCGCCTCAAAACTTGTCAGTGGCGCCCTTCCTATCTCTCCCCCCCCTCGTTTTGAGGCGCCTCAAAACTTGTCAGTGGCGCCCTTCCTATCTCTCTCCCCCCTCTCCAGGCATGTACCCGGTGCGCGAGGCCAACCACATGATCGAAGAGTTCATGCTGGCAGCCAACGATCCCTTTCCCCTTCCTCTGCCTCTCCACCCCCCTCATTTCCTTGTCAATCTCCAATACACCATAACCCCCCCCACCCACCCCCCACCCCCCTCTCCAGGCATGTATCTGGTGCGCGAGGCCAACCACATGATCGAAGAGTTCATGCTGGCAGCCAACGTGTCCGTGGCAGAGAAGATCCTCCAGCACTTTGCCTCCTGCTCGCTGCTCAGGTGAAAACTCAGGTCGCATGGAGGCTCAGGTGAAACCTCAGGTCAAATGGAGAATCAGGGCGGATTTCAGGTGTAGTTTAGGGTGCTCTGTCCTTTCTGCACCCCCACGTCTCCATGCTAACCGTCTAGCTGGCTGCCTTTTTTTATCCAGCTGGCTTCGTAACCCACGTAAGTTTTTTTCCCTAACCAGGCTCCCTCTGCTCTCAAGCACGTAGTCTCACTCCATGGGGGTTCGTTGTGTTGTGGTAATCGACAGATGCTAATGACATTGAGGCCTCAGCAGCCCACCCTGATTCCACCTCCATGCAGTGCGCCCCCACCGTCGTTGGCCCCCATGTGCATGCGGCACCCCATGTGCAGGCGGCACCCCATGTGCATGCGGCACCCCATGTGCAGGCGGCACCCCATGTGCAGGTGGCACCCCATGTGCAGGCGGCACCCCATGTGCAGGCGGCACCCCATGTGCATGCGGCACCCCGCCCACCCCTCGCGCAACATGTTTGAGCCCCTGCTGTGCACGGCAGAGGCGGTGAGAATTTCTGTTGACACCTGTTTCGCTGCCTCAAAGCAGTTAACACCTCCCCGTGCTGCACCTTCCCCTTAACCCCTCCCACACAGGCGGCACCCCACCCCGTCGCCCAACATGTTTGAGCCACTGCTGAGGACAGCAGAGGCAGTGGGGATCTCAGTTGACACCTCCTCCTCCAAGAACCTGGCTGACTCGCTCGACCAGGCTGTGGTGAGCTTCTTTCTGCTCTTACTCGCTTCTCTAGCCTGACTCTCGATGGCCTTGATTGACCATCCAGCTTTCATGGTGGCCCTGGAGGATAGTTCCTTGTGGTGCCTTCATATGGATCTTTCAAATCTGGCTGCCTTGGGTCACTCTCGTCATTGCCACCTCTCCTTTGCTCCGCTCCTCATCCCCCCCTATCCAACCCGTGTGCGCTGCGCCTCTCTCCCCACAGGGCCCTGACCCATACTTCAACAAGCTCATTCGCATCCTCACCACTCGTTGCATGACTCAGGTGCGTGATACGCTTGTGCATGGTACATGAACACGTTGATGGTGCATGCCGCTCGTGATGGTGCATGTTTGCTGCCCCATCTACTCTACTCCCTCTCAGCACACCCTTCCCCTTTCCACTTCGGCATCACGGACCCCCCAACCCAACTTTTCTCCAGGCGGTGTATTTCCCCAGCGGCCAACTGGCCCCTCCGGAGTACCACCACTACGGCCTTGCTGCTCCCATCTACACCCACTTCACCTCGCCCATTCGCCGATATGCCGGTGAGACATGTGGCAGCAGGAGTGGTCTATTACGTTCCCACCTCCTCTCCCTCGCTTCTCCCCTCCTGTTGCTTGTCTGTTCGCCAATCAACCTTCACCTCTCTCTCTCTCTCTCTCTCTCTCTCTCTCTCTCTCTCTCTCTCTCTCTCTCTCTCTCTCTCTCTCTCTCTCTCTCTCTCTCTCTCTCTCTCTCTCTCTCTCTCTCTCTCTCGAACGGTCCTTCATTGCTGGGAGATCCTGGGTACAGGCGAGGCATATAAGGTGAGTACAAGCATGCTCGGTGTTCATGGTCTAATTCTAGTCCCGGGCTACTCCCCTGGGTGCTCTATGACCGCGAAGCAGTCCCCAAGGGACATGCCCGCCTCAGGGGCACCTAGGGGCGGCTCCTCAAGTGGCGAAGCCTCATTCACCTTACCGAGGTAGGTGAGGGCTTGACCCCGCTGGAGGGTGACAGACCAGCGCTGGCGGAACTGGCTGAGCAGTTTAGCCGCCTGGTAGGAGCTGGGGTCGGCATTGAAAAGGCGGCGGGCGGCCGTGTGTGCGAGGAGTTTGAGGAAGGTTGGTACTTCCGCGCAGGGGCAGCCATACGTCTCGACGGCGAGTGGGAAGAAACCGACGTATGCTGCCCGGTGGCGGTATTCGTCGGTCTTCTTGTCCGCTTGCTCCCGGGCCATGTAACCGCGGCCTTTGCGCTCTAGCGGGTCCCGGGAGCTGACTGGGTCGGTGACCGTGACGTCACAGATCCAGACCGCCCCCGAGTCCCGGTCACGTATGGCCAGGTCGGCGGTCTTGCCGTCGACCGGGTTGTAGATCGCCGTTTCTTTTGTGACAATGAGCTGTGCGTCTCGCCCCATGCGGACGCACTCATCTCGGAGGGCGTTGTGCGTGTCGGTGCGACCGTGTCCTGTCCCACAGCGGAGGAGGTGGTTTGGTAGGCGTGGGTCGATTATCGCGACCTGTTGCGCACAGTTGCAGACCCTGGGTGCCGGGACATGGAGGCCCATGCGGAACGCCAAGGCGAAGGCATAGTGAGGCGGCGCCAGCCGAAGAGATGGGAATAGGGGGATGGCGAGGAGCCAGTCGCCGGCGCCATACCCAGTGAGGGAGAGGAGCCGCTGGGTGTGGCCGCTAAGGGGGTTGGGGTCCATCACCCGTGACGCAGCCAATTGATTGGCGAAGCGGGCTGCGTGCACCTCCAGGGCCAATCGATGCTGGAGAGGTTCGTCCGAGGGGTCAGCCCGCTCGGCCTGCAGGAGCGCTAGGGCTGGAGCTGGGAGGGCCGACTCACATTTCGCCAGCCAGGTATGGAGACGCGAGGGGCCATTGAAGGGAGGGGCCAGGGAGCATGCTGCTGCGGCGAGGGGGCCTGTCGGGTCCGAAGGAAGGGATATGAGCAACCGGTGGGCCTGTGTGACGCTGGTGAGGAAGGCGTGCGGGCCCTCCACTGCGGGGTCTGCGAGGCCAAGGCCGCCTAGAGTGGGGGGCAGAGAGGCCTGTTGCCACGTGCGCAACCGCTCCAGTTCACCCCGTGGGAGCTGAAGGTTGCACGAGAGGAGGAGGGTATGGAAGAGCTCCTGGCCCCAGTTGGACCATTCCTCGGTCGGCAGCGGGTCTAGGGGGTTGGTGCGGGTGAGATAGGATACGCGTCGTGAGACGCAGCGGTGGAGGAGGAGGCCCGCGGCCTGGGGATCCATGGTCGCTAGGTCGGGGAGCGGTCTGGCCATGTCAGCGAGCTGCTCCCGAAGGAAAGCGGCTGTGGCTTCAGTAGGGCCGAGGTGGCTGCCGAGGACGCGAAGGCCGTCGGCGCGGAAGGGAATGCCCGGGGGGAGGACTGGGCTGGGGGGCTCGAAAGCTGACCACGCCGCGCACTTTGAGGGGTTGTGCACGAGGCCCAAGGGGCGTAGGGGCGTAGATGCGTGAATGCTGACGCACACGCCGATGGCTCTCCAAGTAGTGTGATGTCGTCGGCGTATGCGAGGCAGAGCACACTAGGGAACGCTGATGCTGTCGCCTGGAGTGCAGGGTGTAAAGCCGCAGCGAAGAGCAGGGGGCCCATAGGGTCCCCTTGGCGGACACCCCGGGCACTGAGGAGGGGGTCGTTGCCGAATCCCGCGTCTAAGAAGAGGCGGGACGGTGCTCCGTAGGAGAGTTTGACGAAGGGGAGAAGCGGCCGGAGGGGCGAGTTGTAGAGCCCCGCCACAATTGCGGCCCTGTCGACGCTGTTGAAAGCATTCGACACGTCGACCTGGAGTACGAGGGCGGTCGGGAATTCAGATGTGTAAGCGCGGGCGCCATGGATGATCGCCTCGCCACCCGCGCGAACTGCTACCCCAAACTGCAGCGGGAGGAAATGGGTCTGCGCCTGTGCTGTCATGGTGAGGAGGCCCACCTTCGCCACGAGGCGGTGCAGGCATTCGCCGATGGCGATAGGTCGCGTACCGCCTCCAGGCTTGGAAAATGCCATGAGGCGGCTGGCAGTGAGTAGGGCGGCAATTTCCGCGGTGGAATCCCCTTTGAGCAGGCGTAGTGCGAGCTCGTGTAGCTTGCTAGCGACTGAAGTATTAGCGAGGGCAGCGTCGCGAATGTGCTCGAAGCACATTCCTGAAGGCCCTGCGCCCACTCCGTTTTCGCAACGACTCAGCAAGCGAATGAACGCCTCCTGCGAGAAGGAGGGGCCTGCCTCCGATTCGTCGAGGGTGGGCCAGTCGATTGACTCGGTCAACGGGGCGGGGTGCTTGGATTTCAACGCCTCGAGGACGTCGGGGGTTGAGTCGCTGACCGGGGTCGAGTCCAGTGCCAGCAGGGCACGTCGGAGACTGCCACGGCGGACAAGCCCTTCTGCTCGCTTCTGCCTGCCAATGGAGTCCGGCACGTGGCGGGGAGCGGGGGGGTTATGCACAGCATCGATTGCTGACAGGTACAGCGTCTGCCAGTCGCCTGCGAGGAACTGCTGCAGTCGTTTTTCCACCGAGGCCCAATCGGGGTGCTTGGGCGAGCGCAGGCGAAGGGTTAGGCGAGGGACGAAAAGTAACAGGCGCCAACCGGCGAGGCTGGATGGGTTGTGTGCGATGTGTAGCAGAGGTGTCAGGAGTGCTAGGGCGAAGAGTTGGCGAAATTTGGGGGGGATTCTGCGGGAAATCGGGGGCTGGCGACTGTCGCAAAGCAGGTCGATATCCCATCCCGCCACCCCGGCGAACAGGGATTCGTTGGATGACAGCTCCTGTGGCGAAAACTGCCGAGGGGTCTGGATATCTGGCGAACCACTGGCGCGGGAGGGACGCGTATTTCGCGCACTCCCTCTGGCAGCCTGGGCGGGGGAGCCAGGTGGCTGTGGGTTCGCAGGTCTTTGTCCGCGGGATCTGAGCGATGGGGACGGATTCCTGCCTCGCCTGCGTGACAAATTTCTCTCCTCCAGGGCAGCACTGGACTCCTCCGTTGATGAGTCCTGGATCCTCGCCGGTACATAAGATGTGTCTCGTCTGTCTTCCTCGCCAGTTACCTCCCTTTGCCCTCCCTCCCTTAAAGCCCGGTTAGCAGCCTGCTGGAAGTCGTTCAGCGGGCCTCCATCCCGAGACAAGACGCCTGTCCGTCCGCGACCGCGCCCCCGACCTCTTTGGTCCCGGCTTCCACTGCGTGCTGCCCCTCCGCCCGACGCTCGCTGACCAGTCCGACGCACGGGCGGCTGAGGAAGGCGTCTGGGCCGTCCATGGAGGCACCCCGGAATGTGGTGGGAGCTGGGCGTCCCCGTCGCGAGCGGTCCCTGGATTTGGAGAGCACGGGGGAGAGCGTCCCCCGCCGAGATCGGGAGAGTTCCCCACCGCCCGCGAACCACGGTTGGGAGCGCGGAGTCCCCGTCTCGCCAACGAGCCGCCAGCAGACCCCAGAGCGTCTGTCTGGCAGCCGCCGCTCGTCCCCCGCACGTCACGAGCGGAAGGCCTCCGAGCGTGCGGACCAAGACCAGCCGGGGGCAGTGCAGCCTCCGCAGCAGCAGCTCCCGCTGGTCCCGCCGCGTCGAGGGACACCCCAGCGGGGGGCGCAAGCGGCTCCCGCCCAGCAGCGCCGGACGCCGCAGGGGCAGCGTGGGCAGTCTGGACAGCACCGCGGGTGGAGGGCCGGAGGGGGCAACGGGCGAGGCTCGGCCGCGGAGAGGCGGTTGGGTCGCGCTGCTGCGACCCTTGAAAACCTGTTCCGCTCGGTAGCACCGCCTCAGCCCCCGAGCGTGTGCCCCCCGCCGCAGATTCCGCCCGCGATAGTGCCTCCTCCGTATTCTGTGCCGCTGCAAGTGCCGTTCCGACCGCTTCCGGCGCCTGTGTCCGTGGCGCCACAGCCGCCCCCCCGTCAGGAGCATCGTCAGCTGCCTCCGCCGTCTGCCTCCTGGTACCAGGCCCGGCAGCTGCCCCAACATCACCTCGCGCCCAGCACACAGGTTGCACCGACGGATGTGCCGACCATGGGGACGCTGCCAAGCTGGCAGCCACCAGTGGTGGGGGCATCGACGGTGAGCTGGTACGAAGGACAGCGACAGCCGATGGCTCGGGCTGCCGCGCCCTTTGTTCCCCCCCGTATGGCGATGGGTTCGCCGACAGGAGTCGAGGGGGGGGCAGAAGCAGCGGAGACGGGGGGGGCGGAGTCCTCCGATGAGGGCTTTCCGTGTGAGGGGTCGGAGCAGCGCCGCCCAGGCGGGCTGCGGATGCCGCCGAGGGTGCAGGTGGAGCGGCTGCGAGGGCGGGAGCGACTCGTGGAGATGGCGGTCCCAGTTGCCACGCTTCGTCGGCTCTGGCACGCGCGGCGGGCGATGGGGATCGCTGTGGGGATGCTAACGGACTCGCACTCCGTACTACGGGGCTTAGCGAGCCCGTGCACGATGCCCCATGATCCCCTTCATCGCTGCGCGATGGCTGCAGCTGATCTCGCCATCGTGTCGACGCGAGTGCAGCCTGCGCCCGCCCGGGGAACAGTGTTGGACCCCCAGCTCCTCGCCGTGATGCGCGCAGTGTCGGCGAGCATAGATTCGGCTGCAGCTGTAGACATCGTTGGCGGAGCCGTGTCAGCGCTCCAGCTCCTGGAGGGCTATGTGACGGTACTGCTGGAAGAGGCGGGAGCGGACCAGCTCGCGTGACCTGCTCTCTCCTGACGTACGTGCGCGTGGTAGACGAGCTCACCAGCGCTAGAGCCTCGGTACGGCGTATTAGGCTCTCCATGTCGCTGGGGCTAGTTGTCGGGTGTGTGTGCTTGTGGTCTCCTTGAGCCGTGGTTGATGTATCCTTGTGTTGTTGAGTCTTAAGTAAAGTAGTTGCCAGCCCCTATCGCGCGGCCGCAGGCCGCGCTGCGAGCGACGGTGGCCGAAGGCCGCCGGCGCGAGCCGCCACCAAGGGAAGGAGAAAAAGAAGAAACCAAACTAAAAACAGAGGAATGAGAGGACTGAGAGCTCTAAATACTAAGGGACATAGGCTCTCTCTCTCTCGCTCTCGCTCTCTCCTCTCTCTCCCGCCACCAAGGGAAGGAGAAAAAGAAGAAACCAAACTAAAAACAGAGGAATGAGAGGACTGAGAGCTCTAAATACTAAGGGACATAGGCTCTCTCTCTCTCTCGCTCTCGCTCTCTCCTCTCTCTCCCGCCACCAAGGGAAGGAGAAAAAGAAGAAACCAAACTAAAAACAGAGGAATGAGAGGACTGAGAGCTCTAAATACTAAGGGACATAGGCTCTCTCTCTCTCGCTCTCGCTCTCTCCTCTCTCTCCCGCCACCAAGGGAAGGAGAAAAAGAAGAAACCAAACTAAAAACAGAGGAATGAGAGGACTGAGAGCTCTAAATACTAAGGGACATAGGCTCTCTCTCTCTCGCTCTCGCTCTCTCCTCTCTCTCCCGCCACCAAGGGAAGGAGAAAAAGAAGAAACCAAACTAAAAACAGAGGAATGAGAGGACTGAGAGCTCTAAATACTAAGGGACATAGGCTCTCTCTCTCTCGCTCTCGCTCTCTCCTCTCTCTCCCGCCACCAAGGGAAGGAGAAAAAGAAGAAACCAAACTAAAAACAGAGGAATGAGAGGACTGAGAGCTCTAAATACTAAGGGACATAGGCTCTCTCTCTCTCGCTCTCGCTCTCTCCTCTCTCTCCCGCCACCAAGGGAAGGAGAAAAAGAAGAAACCAAACTAAAAACAGAGGAATGAGAGGACTGAGAGCTCTAAATACTAAGGGACATAGGCTCTCTCTCTCTCTCTCTCTCTCTCTCTCTCTCTCTCTTCTCTCTCTCCCGCCACCAAGGGAAGGAGAAAAAGAAGAAACCAAACTAAAAACAGAGGAATGAGAGGACTGAGAGCTCTAAATACTAAGGGACATAGGCTCTCTCTCTCTCGCTCTCGCTCTCTCCTCTCTCTCCCGCCACCAAGGGAAGGAGAAATAGAAGAAACCAAACTAAAAACAGAGGAATGAGAGGACTGAGAGCTCTAAATACTAAGGGACATAGGCTCTCTCTCTCTCGCTCTCGCTCTCTCCTCTCGCTCCCGCCACCAAGGGAAGGAGAAAAAGAAGAAACCAAACTAAAAACAGAGGAATGAGAGGACTGAGAGCTCTAAATACTAAGGGACATAGGCTCTCTCTCTCTCGCTCTCGCTCTCTCCTCTCTCTCCCGCCACCAAGGGAAGGAGAAAAAGAAGAAACCAAACTAAAAACAGAGGAATGAGAGGACTGAGAGCTCTAAATACTAAGGGACATAGGCTCTCTCTCTCTCGCTCTCGCTCTCTCCTCTCTCTCCCGCCACCAAGGGAAGGAGAAAAAGAAGAAACCAAACTAAAAACAGAGGAATGAGAGGACTGAGAGCTCTAAATACTAAGGGACATAGGCTCTCTCTCTCTCTCTCTCTCTCTCTCTCTCTCTCTCTCTTCTCTCTCTCCCGCCACCAAGGGAAGGAGAAAAAGAAGAAACCAAACTAAAAACAGAGGAATGAGAGGACTGCGAGCTCTAAATACTAAGGGACATAGGCTCTCTCTCTCTCGCTCTCGCTCTCTCCTCTCTCTCCCGCCACCAAGGGAAGGAGAAAAAGAAGAAACCAAACTAAAAACAGAGGAATGAGAGGACTGAGAGCTCTAAATACTAAGGGACATAGGCTCTCTCTCTCTCGCTCTCGCTCTCTCCTCTCTCTCCCGCCACCAAGGGAAGGAGAAAAAGAAGAAACCAAACTAAAAACAGAGGAATGAGAGGACTGAGAGCTCTAAATACTAAGGGACATAGGCTCTCTCTCTCTCGCTCTCGCTCTCTCCTCTCTCTCCCGCCACCAAGGGAAGGAGAAAAAGAAGAAACCAAACTAAAAACAGAGGAATGAGAGGACTGAGAGCTCTAAATACTAAGGGACATAGGCTCTCTCTCTCTCTCTCTCTCTCTCTCTCTCTCTCTCTCTCTCTCTCTCTCTCTCTCTCTCTCTCTCTCTCTCTCTCTCGCCATCTATCCCCATCTACCCCTCTTTTCCCCTCTCCCCCTGTGTATGGCCGCGGTTGTGCAGATGTGGTGGTGCATAGGCTGCTGGCTGCAGCTATCGGTCTCACGCCGCTCCCCGATCAGACCAAGGACAAGAACGCACTCACAGCACTCACGGACAGTAAGCACCACCGCAGTCTATTTTACTATCGAGTTAGCTCACAGCGGGGTCTCCATATCACACTGATTCCTTTTCTGTGATCTATTTTTTTCTCCCTCTTCCCTTCCTCGCTTCCTCCCTCTCTCCCCCTCTCTCCCCCCCCCCCCCCCCCCTCCCCCTCAACTCCCAGACCTCAACTACCGCAATCGCAATGCCCAGATGGCGGGGCGAGCCTCAGTGGAGCTCCACACACTCATCTTCTTCCGCACGCGGTGAGCTCTTGGCGTTGAAGCCCCACACTCGCTCCTTTTCATACCGCTGGTTCAACAGCGTTCGATCGCAGCAGGCCAACTTAGAGCTCCACACACCTCATCTTCTTCCGCACGCGGTGAGCCATGCACCTCTCACACTCCTCACACCACCTCTCCACAGCCACATCGTCTCTTGTCTCAGACCTATTTTCCTCCTCACCTCTATCTCACACCCTCTCACTCTCTCTCACTCTCGTGCTCTCTCGTATCCATCTCCCCCTCTCATCTACTCCCTTGGCAGCCCAACGGATGCGGAGGGTCGGATAGTGATGGTGCGCTCCAATGGGCTTATCGTTTTCGTGCCCAAGTAAGTTCCACTATCTTGTTTTTAAGTTCTGTGCACTCGTGTGTGTAAGGCCCCAGGATATCTTCTGTGCTGTGTTAGCGCTACTCACACTCTCTGCGCAACCTGTGTTATGAATTCTTCTTGTGTTTGTTTGTATCTAGGTATGGCATAGAGGGGCCTGTCTACCTCATACCCAAAGAGCCTCCTAAGGGGAAAGCTGTTGCAATTGCTGCTGCCAGTAAGCTTGACGGCAATGTGGCATCAAGTGATTGGGTGGTGGATGAGAAGACACAGACGGTGGAGTCTAAAGACGGGAAGCGGCGGTTCAAAGTTTTGGACACAGTGACTGTGCACATTGAGGTCATCGAGCCACAGCCAAATCGTCCCAAGCTGTCGTTAACGCTAGTCAACCAATGTTAGCTGTGTCTCAAAACTAGACAGTTTTTTACAGGTGGATAGTTTGTGGAGCTACATATTATTGAGCGTGTCCATGTATGTGTACGCAGTCCTAAACATATCGGATATTCTAGAATTGCTGAAGGACGGAAAGGACCCGTAACCAGCTTTCTTCGCGACAATGCCGAAGATATCCATGTTCGGCAGCAAGGGAACCAACCATGCGTTGACTTCTGCGAATTTCGCTCAGACCAATGCCACAACACGGCGCGGTCTTTGACGACGAGAAGAATCCAGTTCGCAGTGTTCAAACAAGGGTTACCGTCGCTTTCCATACTTCTAGCATAGAGTTCGCAACCACTAAAATTGTCGACGCTAGCTGGTCCGCAATGCAAACCTTTGCTCCATTCCGTCCCGTCTGGAGCACTGCCCTGCTCTCAAATGGCCCCAGCTTCGGACCCGCGCCGCATTTCTCAGCATCCTCGCAGGTGCGTCGCGGTGAAGGGCCCAAACCCAACCAAATGTGGGGCGGTACATTTGAAGCTCGTGACTACAAATTGCCGCGTGGGCTGATAGAACCAGCATCAGTTCAGAGCATCCAATTCTTAGAGACACACATCGCTTTACCATCAGATACAGCTGGTGCGGTCTTCCCAGCTGGTGCGATCTTCCCAACTGCGAGCAATACTGAGTTGCGGGTACCAGCTGTGCGTCACCATGAGACACGCCCCCACAATCGCGTTGCTGCTGATCCTAGGCGCGTTTCTGCTAGCAGCGCAGCCGTCCGATGCAAGCCTAGAGTCAGCTTGGCGCCGCAACAGAGCATGGCGCAACGGCGGCAGAATCGACCCCCTTCAGGCGCCCGCAGCCGCTAGGGGCATCGCGGGCAAATCCCAGGCGGCGGACGCCGCCGGTTCCGCCGTGTACATCGTGCGCCTGAGCACGGCACCTCCCCTCTCTGAATACCGCGGCGGAATCGCGGGGTACCCCGCCACTGCCACGTGGGACGACGGCAGCGACGAGGAGGAAAACTACGACGACCGCGTGCCGGAGATGCTTCTCAGCGCCGACGCTTCTGGCGCAACAGGCGGCGAATCCGATTCAGAGCCCGAGTCCGTCGACTTGGACGACACCAACGTCGATCACCCCTTCCCCAACGCCACTGCGCCCTCGCCAGCACCAGCCGATGAGGCGCCTGGAGGCTCTGCGACTGCCAGCGCGCGTGGCGGCGCCAGCGGCAGCGGCAGCGGTGGCTGCCCGCGTCACCGGCTGCGTCTGAGCATGGACCGCCCCCAGGTGGCAGCGTTCGCGTCTCTGCTGCAGCGGCAGCAGGCGCAGGTGGCATCTGAGGCGGGCGTGGGCGACGGCGACCTGCTGTACAGCTACAAGCACACGTCCAACGGCTTCGCCGCGCGCCTCACCGCGCGCCAGGCGTGGCGGCTGCAGCGCAATCCCGCCGTGGCGTCCGTGCGCCGCAGCCGCGTGTTCCAGCGGCAAACCAGCGACTCACCCAAGTTCCTGGGGCTCCCAGGGAAGGTGTGGCCCGCCGTGGGCGGACAGAGCAAGGCGGGCGACGGCACGGTGGTGGGAATCATCGACACGGGCATCTGGCCCGAACACCCCTCGTTCTCCGACAAGGGGTTTAGTTCGAACCTCCCCTCGGGGTGGAAGGGTAAATGCGAGCAGTCAAGCACGTTCCGGTGCAACAACAAGCTGATCGGCGCCAAGGCGTTCTACGGCGGGTTTCAGCGGGCCAGCGGCAAGCCCGCGCTGACCAACGACTGGCTCACGCCGAGAGATGCGGACGGGCATGGCACGTGGTGCGCGGGCGCGGCGGCGGGGAACCCGGTGGGGCTGCAGGGCGGCGGGCAGGTGAGCGGCATGGCGCCGGCAGCACGGATCGCGGCGTACAAGGTGTTCTGGACAGACCGCAGCAGTGGGAACATGTACGCGGACGAGTCAGACATCATCGCAGCCGTCAATCAGGGCGTGTCGGACGGCGTGGATGTGCTGTCGCTGTCCCTGGGGGGCTTGGATCCCAACGACAACTATTTCAACGACTTGGCTTTCATGAGGGCCAACGCTGCCGGGGTGTTCGTTGCCTTTGCTGCTGGTAATGCCGGCGCCCCTGGCCGGTCGCAGGGGGCTGGTTACCGCACAGTGGCGAATTTCGCCCCCTTCTTCCTGACTGTGGGCGCCAGCACCATCGCTCGAGGAGCGTCTCTGGCTTCGGCAGCAGCAGCAGCCGGCACTCAGTCTCTCCCCCTCAGCGCCATTGCCGGTGCTGGCAGCACCAACAACACTGTCAGCTGCAACGGCACTGGTAGCGGCAACAGCACAGGGAACGGGACTCTGCCTGGCGATGGCAGCGCCATGCCTGGCAGCAACTTCAGCTCTGGTGACGGCAGCAGCCTCACTTTCACTGCAGACGGCGGCATCACCCTCACCACCTCCTCCTCCGCCGCCCCTGTGGTTGCCGACTTCTCGTCCCGCGGCCCCCTCCTGCCGCCCTCGGCCACGGCGCAGCCCCCCCAGCCTGGCAATGCCATCCTCAAGCCTGACATCATCGGCCCGGGCGTGGACCTCCTAGCCGCCGCCCCCGGGAAGAAAATCGGCGAGACCGGGGGCCTTGCCCGCCTGTCGGGTACCTCCATGGCCACCCCGCATTTGGCAGGGCTAGCTGCTCTAATCATCCAGAAATATCCCAACTGGAGCCCCGCGCAGGTGATGTCAGCAATGATGACAACGGCGCGGGTGACTGACACTGCCAGCAGCCCCATCAAGAGCTCCACCGGCGGGGAGGCGACCCCCTGGGAGATGGGGGCAGGCCATGTGTTTCCCCCGGCCATGCTGGACCCCGGCCTCACCTATGACGCCCGCGACAAAGACTACCAGAATTTCCTGGCCGGGCAGGACCTGACCCGGGCGAAGAGGGAGTTCCCGGGGGTGTCGCTCTCCCCTCTGGCGGTGCGCAATCTGAACCTCCCCACCATCACTCTGCCGCGCCTGCAGGGCTCCATTCAGGTGACTCGCACCGTCACCAACGTGGGAGGGTCCCAGTCCACGTACAGCGTATCTGGGAATGCGCCGGCGGGGGTGAAGGTGACTGTGGCGCCTAAGAGCCTCACGGTTGATGCCGGGCAGAAGGCGAGTTACACGATGACGTTCACCGTGGATACACCCAGCAACGACTTCAAGTACGGGTATATAGTGTGGGCGGATAACCAGGGGCACAGCGTTCGATCCCCCCTCGTGGTGCAGCCCCTTTCGCGCTAAGGGACAGGGTAGGGTGGCTCTTTAGTGGGGTCTATGAGGGTACGCCGGGTGCATCTCTGGCTGTAACCAGTGGGCGCAGGAAGCTCGAGGCGCTTTCACGTTGATTTGGCTGGTGTATGCAGCCGTGGCTGCAGCTGGTTGAGAGGCCCCCTCTTTCTGGAGGGTATCATTGACGGATCACGTGCTACTCCTCGTGCCACATGGCATGGAGGCCGCATGGCATGGAGGCCGCATGGCATGGAGGCCGCATGGCATGGAGGCCGCATGGCATGGTAGGGCACACGGCATGAGAGTTGATGTGGCCGCTCGTTGTGCATAGCGTTAATTATTCTGTGTGTGAGAGAGAGCCGGTTAGGGTACTGTACAGGGTGATGTGGCGTTGACTCCCTGTTTGCGCTCTTGTATTTATCCAACATACACGCTTAAAAAACCTAGCCATACATAAACAGACTAGTGATACGGCATACAGCTGCACGCCAGACAACACAATCTAAATGACCAACACACACACACACACTACGACCTAACAAACCACCTTAACACCAAGAGTCAGAGAGAGAGAGAGACAGAGAGAGAGAGAGAGAGAGAGAGAGAGAGAGAGAGAGAGAGAGAGAGAGAGAGAGAGAGAGAGAGAGAGAGAGAGAGAGAGAGAGAGAGAGAGAGTTAAGAAACCCTTAGGCAGCGTCTATCAAAACATCGGTTTGACTGCACGTGTAGCGAGGTCCCGTCCCCTCGCTCTGAGAGCATTACTTCCTGCTTCTCACAAGCGTACATACGGCAGGCACCCTAACGGGAATTTCGACGTGGGAGTCCGTAAGTACCCATCTTACCGTGAGTGGAGGCATGTGAGGCACGTGTGTGTGTTCAGTGTGGATCCCATGGGCTGCCTGCAAGGACATCGACGACGCTCTGCATGATAGGAGTCTAGTTTTGAGGCGCCTCAAAATCCGCGAGATAAGAGTCTAGTTTTGAGGCGCCTCAAAATCCGCAAGATAAGAGTCTAGTTTTGAGGCGCCTCAAAATCCACGTGATAGGAGTCTAGTTTTGAGGAGCCTCAAAATCCGTGTGATAGGAGTCTAGTTTTGAGGCGCCTCAAAACTAGATCCCATGGGCTGCCTGCACTGCAAGGGCATCGATGACGCTCTGCACTGCGTGCCGCTCCCCAATGTCTGGGGCGTTCATAACTTATGAACGCTCCCCAAGTGGCGTTCATACGTTTCTGTATCCACGTGTGTGTGCTTATTGATGATATGGGCGGAAATATATTGAACACGTGTGCCGCTTCTATTAGAGAGGGGGGAGAGGGGGGGGGAGAGGAGAGTGGGGGGAAGGGAGCACAGGACGTTTCTTAGCAATCTTTTATTACTTTGGAAATGAGAGTCTCCCCCCTCCTCCCCCCCCTCCCCCCCTCGCCCCCCCCCCCCCCCCAGACATTGCGGACGTGACCAATTTCGTGCTGCCCGGCACGCCGCTGGACATAGAGGCGTCGCAGCGAGGAACGTCCGTGTACCTGGTGGAGCACCGCATCGACATGCTGCTGAAACCATTGACTGAAGGTAAGTCAGGGGAGAGGGAGATGCATTGGTGGGGTGTGGTAGATGATAGGGTGGTAGGGTGAAGTGCCTTTGGCGTCTGTGCTTTTGGCATTCGTGCTTTTGGGTGGAAGGAGCTGTTAATGCATCACCGATCGCTGCACTCTTGCATGCATCCATCCATCCTCACACCTCTTCATGTCACCTCCCACCATACTCACACATGTGCCCACCTCCCATCATACTCACACATGTGCCCACCTCCCACCATACTCACACATGTGCCCACCTCACACCATACTCACACATGTGCCCACCTCACACCATACTCACACATGTGCCCACCTCACACCATACTCACAAATGTGCCCACCTCCCACAATACTGACACATGTGCCCACCTCCCACCATACTCCCACATGTGCCCACCTCACACCATACTCACACATGTGCCCACCTCACACCATACTCACACATGTGCCCACCTCCCACCGTACTCACAAATGTGCCCACCTCCCACCATACTGACACATGTGCCCACCTCCCACCATACTCACACATGTGCCCACCTCGCACGTGCCCACCTCACACCATACTCACACATGTGCCCACCTCTCACCATACTCACACATGTGCCCACCTCCCACCATACTCACACATGTGCACACCTCACACCATACTGCAACCTCCCACCATACTCACACATATGCCCACCTCCCACCATACTCACACATGTGCCCACCTCACACCATACTCACACATGTGCCCACCTCTCACCATACTCACACATGTGCCCACCTCCCACCATACTCACACATGTGCACACCTCACACCATACTGCAACCTCCCACCATACTCACACATATGCCCACCTCCCACCATACTCATACATGTGCCCACCTCACACCATACTCACACATGTGCCCACCTCCCACCATACTCACACATGTGCCCACCTCCCACCATACTCACACATGTGCACACCTCACACCATACTGCAACCTCCCACCATACTCACACATATGCCCACCTCCCACCATACTCACACATGTGCCCACCTCACACCATACTCACACATGTGCCCACCTCCCACCATACTCACACATGTGCACACCTCACACCATACTGCAACCTCCCACCATACTCACACATATGCCCACCTCCCACCATACTCACACATGTGCCCACCTCACACCATACTCACACATGTGCCCACCTCCCACCATACTCACACATGTGCCCACCTCCCACCATACTCACACATGTGCACACCTCACACCATACTGCAACCTCCCACCATACTCACACATATGCCCACCTCCCACCATACTCACACATGTGCCCACCTCACACCATACTCACACATGTGCCCACCTCCCACCATACTCACACATGTGCCCACCTCCCACCATACTCATACATGTGCACACCTCACACCATACTGCAACCTCCCACCATAATCACACATATGCCCACCTCCCACCATACTCACACATGTGCCCACCTCCCACCATACTCACACATGTGCCCACCTCCCACCATACTCACACTTGTGCCCACCTCCCACCATACTCACACATGTGCCCACCTCACACCATACTCACACATGTGCCCACCTCCTACCATACTCACACATGTGCCCACCTCCCACCATACTCACACATGTGCCCACCTCACACCATACTCACACATGTGCCCACCTCCCACCATACTCACACATGTGCGCACCTCACACCATTCTCACACCCTCCCACTCTGTTGCCCATCGTCCCAACCCCGCCCAGACATCTGTTCCCTCCGTGGCGGTGTGGAGCGATTGGCGTTCTCCTGTATATGGGTTAGTGCTACCGTCGCTAGAAACATATTGCTCTCATTCCTGTGTCAGTGCATATCAACTCAGGCTGTTTCCGTGCCAGTCACTGACCTACCATGAGTGCATCATGTCACAGATACCTCTTCTGCTGCTTCTGCCTCTGGCATTGACAGCATAGCTTACCGTCAGGAGGACAATCTGACTTTTGAGCTGACTCAAAGGTAGCACATTCTGGCATGTGTACAGCTCGTTATGATGCGCCTTCCTGCAACTTTTGAGGCGCCTCAAAATTCATGTGTACAGCTCGTTATGATGCGCCTGCCTGCGGTCAATTCTTTTACCAACCTAACCCATGAACCCATTCTTTCTTGCCATGAACCCATGAACCACCTGGAGATGACCCCTGAGGCTGAGATAGTGGCGGGGCGGTTAACCAAAAAGAGAATCCCATCCATGCATGGTGTCATCCATCTGCATTCTCGCAGAGATGACCCAATCCCTCTTTTCCCATCCTCACATGCGCGCACGTCATTCTGATGATGCATTCCTGACCCACCAGGAGATGACCCCCGAGGCGGAGATCGTGGCGGTGCGGTTCACCAAGAGCATCATTAAATCCGCTGCTGCGCTGTCCTATGTGGAGGCACAGGCGCGCATGGATGATGAGTGATTGGCAGATGGATGACACCAGGCGTGGATGATGAGTGAATGATGGGCATGCATGCATGGATGATGGGTGAGTGATGGGCATGCATCTATACGTCCACACCACCTTATCTTACGTCCCATCCCCCAGCAGCTCTCATCCCCCAGCAGCTCTCATCCCCCAGCAGCTCTCATCCTTTGCTCCCTTGCTCTGCTTTCCCCCTCCCCATCTCCCACTGACGTCATCATGGCACCAGGCGCATGCTTGATGACCTCACAAGGGATCTTCGCAACCTCAACCGCCTCGCTAAGGTGCCATGATCATAGGATTCTGTGCCATGCCATGGCATGCATACACACTCCAGCTACTTCATGTCAATCCATACCATGCTGTACCATGCACATTCATGCCATGCCATGCCGCATCTCATTCCCTCTTCACATGTCTCATCCCCATCCCCACGCCCCATCCCCACACCAGGTGATGCGGCAGCGCCGCATCGACAGGGGGGCACTCACTCTTGCGTCACCGGAAGTCAAGTTTGAGATCGACACTGAGACACACGACCCCCTCGACGTTGGTTCGACGCCCCTCTACCCCTCTGCTCCCTAGTATGGTGACGTGCCTGCAGTGTTGTTTACTCCGCCGCTGCCTCACTCTTCCCCGGTCTCTGCCATTCTCCCCCATCCTGACTCGTCATGTCATGCTGCCAGCCTGCGTGTCCTGGTTGTTGATGGTATTTACTGACGATGGCAACCCTTGCACTTCTCCACCATTCCTCAGCCTTTTCACTGGCGCCCTTCCTATCTCTCCCCCCCCTCGTTTTGAGGCGCCTCAAAACTCTTCACTGGCGCCCTTCCTATCTCTCCCCCCCCTTGTTTTGAGGCGCCTCAAAACTTGTCAGTGGCGCCCTTCCTATCTCTCCCCCCCCTCTCCCGGCATGTACCTGGTGCGCGAGGCCAACCACATGATCGAAGAGTTCAAGCTGGCAGCCAACGTGTCCGTGGCAGAGAAGATCCTCCAGCACTTCGCCTCCTGCTCGCTGCTCAGGTGAAAACTCAGGTCGCAACTCAGATCGCAACTCAGGTCTCATGGAGGCTCAGATGAAATCTCAGGTCAAATGGAGAATCAGGGCGGATTTCAGGTGTAGTTCAGGGTGCTCTGTCCTTTCTGCCTCCCCACGTCTCCATGCTAACCGTCTAGCTGGCTGTTTTTTTTTTTATCCAGCTGGCTTCGTAACCCACGTAAGTTTTTCCCCTAACCAGGCTCGCTCTGCTCTCAAGCACGTTGTCTCACTCCATGGGGGTTCGTTGTGTTGTGGTAATCGACAGATTCTAATAACATTTAGGCCTCAGCAGCCAACCCTGATTCCACCTCCATGCAGTGCGCCCCCACCGTCGTTGGCCCCCATGTGCAGGCGGCACCCCATGTGCATGCGGCACCCCATGTGCAGGCGGCACCCCACCCACCCCTCGCGCAACATGTTTGAGCCCCTGCTGTGCACGGCAGAGGCGGTGGGAATTTCTGTTGACACCTGTTTCGCTGCCTCAAAGCAGTTAACACCTCCCTGTGCTGCACCTTCCCCTTAACCCCTCCCACACAGGCGGCACCCCACCCCATCGCCCAACATGTTTGAGCCGCTGCTGAGGACAGCAGAGGCGGTGGGGATCTCAGTTGACACCTCCTCCTCCAAGAACCTGGCTGACTCGCTCGACCAGGCTGTGGTGAGCTTCTTTCTGCTCTTACTCTCTTCTCTAGCCTAACTCTTGATGGCCTTGATTGACCATCCAGCTTTCATGGTGGCCCTGGAGGATAGTTCCTTGTGGTGCCTTCATATGGATCTCTCAAATCTGACTGCCTTGTATCATTCTCGTCATTGCCACCTCTCCTTTGCTCCGGTCCTCATCCCCCCCTTCTCCAACCCGTGTGCGCTGCGCCTCTCTCCCCACAGAGCCCTGACCCATACTTCAACAAGCTCATTCGCATCCTCACCACTCGTTGCATGACTCAGGTGCGTGATACGCTTGTGCATGGTACATGAACACGTTGATGGTGCATGCCGCTCGTGATGGTGCATGTTTGCTCCCTCTCAGTGCACCCTTCCTCTTTCCACTTCGGCATCACGGACCCCCCAAACCAACTTTTCTCCAGGCGGTGTATTTCCCCAGCGGCCAACTGGCCCCTCCGGAGTACCACCACTACGGCCTTGCTGCTCCCATCTACACCCACATCACCTCGCCCATTCGCCGATATGCCGGTGAGACATGTGGCAGCAGGAGTGGTCTATTACGTTCCCACCTGCTCTCCCTCGCTTCTCCCCTCCTGTTACTTGTCTGTGCGCCAATCAAACTTCACCTCTCTCTCTCTCTCTCTCTCTCTCTCTCTCTCTCTCTCTCTCTCTCTCTCTCTCTCTCTCTCTCTTTCTCTCTCTCTCTCGCCATCTATCCCCATCTACCCCTCTTTTCCCCTCTCCCCCTGTGTATGGCCGCGGTTGTACAGATGTGGTGGTGCATAGGCTGCTGGCTGCAGCTATCGGTCTCACGCCGCTCCCCGATCAGACCAAGGACAAGAACGCACTCACAGCACTCACGGACAGTAAGCACCACCGCAGTCTATTTTACTATTGAGGCAGCTCACAGCGGAATCTCCATATCACTAATCCCTTTTCTGTGATCTCTTTTTTTCTCCCTCTATTCCCTTCCTCGCTTCCTCCCTCTCTCCCCCTCTCCCCCTCTTCCCCCCCCCACCCCCTCCCCCTCAACTCCCAGACCTCAACTACCGCAATCGCAATGCCCAGATGGCGGGGCGAGCCTCAGTGGAGCTCCACACACTCATCTTCTTCCGCACGCGGTGAGCTCTCGGCATTGAAGTCCCACACTCGCTCCTTTTCATACTGCTGCTTCAACAGCATTCGATCGCAGCAGGCCAACTTAGTGCTCCACACACCTCATCTTCTTCCGCACGCGGTGAGCCATGCACCTCTCACATTCCTCACACCACCTCTCCACAACCACATCGTCTCTTGTCTCAGACCTATTTTCCTCCCCACCTCTATCTCACACCCTCTCACACTCTCTCACTCTCTTGCTCTCTCATATCCATCTCCCTCTCTCATTCACTCCCTTGGCAGCCCAACGGATGCGGAGGGTCGGATAGTGATGGTGCGCTCCAATGGGCTTATCGTTTTCGTGCCCAAGTAAGTTCCACTATCTTGTTTTCAAGTTCTGTGCACTCGTGTGTGTAAGGCCCCAGGATATCTTCTGTGCTGTGTTAGCGCTACTCACACTCTCTGCGCAACCTGTGTTATGAATTCTTCTTGTGTTTGTTTGTATCTAGGTATGGCATAGAGGGGCCTGTCTACCTCATGCCCAAAGAGCCTCCTAAGGGGAAAGCTGTTGCAATTGCTGCTGCCAGTAAGCTTGACGGCAATGTGGCATCAAGTGATTGGGTGGTGGATGAGAAGACACAGACGGTGGAGTCAAAAGATGGGAAGCGGCGGTTCAAAGTGTTGGACACAGTGACTGTGCACATTGAGGTCATCGAGCCACAGCCAAATCGTCCCAAGCTGTCGTTAACGCTAGTGAACCAATGTTAGCTGTGTCTCAAAACTAGACAGTTTTTTACAGGTGGATAGTTTGTGGAGCTACATATTATTGAGCGTGTCCATGTATGTGTACGCAGTCCTAAAAATATCGGATATTCTAGAATTGCCGAAGGACGGAAAGGACCCGTAACCAGCTTTCTTCGCGACAATGCCGAAGATATCCATGTTCGGCAGCAAGGGAACCAACCATGCGTTGACTTCTGCGAATTTCGCTCAGACCAATGCCACAACACGGCGCGGTCTTTGACGACGAGAAGAATCCAATTCGCAGTGTTCAAACAAGGGTTACCGCCGCTTTCCATACTTCTAGCATAGAGTTCGCAACCACTAAAATTGTCGACGCTAGCTGGTCCGCAATGCAAACCTTTGCTCCATTCCGTCCCGTCTGGAGCACTGCCCTGCTCTCAAATGGCCCCAGCTTCGGACCTGCGCCGCATTTCTCAGCATCCTCGCAGGTGCGTCGCGGTGAAGGGCCCAAACCCAACCAAATGTGGGGCGGTACATTTGAAGCTCGTGACTACAAATTGCCGCGTGGGCTGATAGAACCAGCATCAGTTCAGAGCATCCAATTCTTAGAGACACACATCGCTTTACCATCAGATACAGCTGGTGCGGTCTTCCCAGCTGGTGCGATCTTCCCAACTGCGAGCAATACTGAGTTGCAGGGGCCAGCTGTGCGTCACCATGAGACACGCCCTCACAATCGCGTTGCTGCTGATCCTAGGCGCGTTTCTGCTAGCAGCGCAGCCGTCCGATGCAAGCCTAGAGTCAGCTTGGCGCCGCAACAGAGCATGGCGCAACGGCGGCAGAATCGACCCCCTTCAGGCGCCCGCAGCCGCTAGGGGCATCGCGGGCAAATCCCAGGCGGCGGACGCCGCCGGTTCCGCCGTGTACATCGTGCGCCTGAGCACGGCACCTCCCCTCTCTGAATACCGCGGCGGAATCGCGGGGTACCCCGCCACTGCCACGTGGGACGACGGCAGCGACGAGGAGGAGAACGACGACGACCGCGTGCCGGAGATGCTTCTCAGCGCCGACGCTTCTGGCGTAACAGGCGGCGAATCCGATTCAGAGCCCGAGTCCGTCGACTTGGACGACACCAACGTCGATCACCCCTTCCCCAACGCCACTGCGCCCTCGCCAGCACCAGCCGATGAGGCGCCTGGAGGCTCTGCGACTGCCAGCGCGCGTGGCGGCGCCAGCGGCAGCGGCAGCGGTGGCTGCCCGCGTCACCGGCTGCGTCTGAGCATGGACCGCCCCCAGGTGGCAGCGTTCGCGTCTCTGCTGCAGCGGCAGCAGGCGCAGGTGGCATCTGAGGCGGGCGTGGGCGACGGCGACCTGCTGTACAGCTACAAGCACACGTCCAACGGCTTCGCCGCGCGCCTCACCGCGCGCCAGGCGTGGCGGCTGCAGCGCAATCCCGCCGTGGCGTCCGTGCGCCGCAGCCGCGTGTTCCAGCGGCAAACCAGCGACTCACCCAAGTTCCTGGGGCTCCCAGGGAAGGTGTGGCCCGCCGTGGGCGGACAGAGCAAGGCGGGCGACGGCACGGTGGTGGGAATCATCGACACGGGCATCTGGCCCGAACACCCCTCTTTCTCCGACAAGGGGTTTAGTTCGAACCTCCCCTCGGGGTGGAAGGGTAAATGCGAGCAGTCAAGCACGTTCCGGTGCAACAACAAGCTGATCGGCGCCAAGGCGTTCTACGGCGGGTTTCAGCGGGCCAGCGGCAAGCCCGCGCTGACCAACGACTGGCTCACGCCGAGAGATGCGGACGGGCATGGCACGTGGTGCGCGGGCGCGGCGGCGGGGAACCCGGTGGGGCTGCAGGGCGGCGGGCAGGTGAGCGGCATGGCGCCGGCAGCACGGATCGCGGCGTACAAGGTGTTCTGGACAGACCGCAGCAGTGGGAACATGTACGCGGACGAGTCAGACATCATCGCAGCCGTCAATCAGGGCGTGTCGGACGGCGTGGATGTGCTGTCGCTGTCCCTGGGGGGCTTGGATCCCAACGACAACTATTTCAACGACTTGGCTTTCATGAGGGCCAACGCTGCCGGGGTGTTCGTTGCCTTTGCTGCTGGTAATGCCGGCGCCCCTGGCCGGTCGCAGGGGGCTGGTTACCGCACAGTGGGGAATTTCGCCCCCTTCTTCCTGACTGTGGGCGCCAGCACCATCGCTCGAGGAGCGTCTCTGGCTTCGGCAGCAGCAGCAGCCGGCACTCAGTCGCTCCCCCTCAGCGCCATTGCCGGTGCTGGCAGCACCAACAACACTGTCAGCTGCAACGGCACTGGTAGAGGCAACAGCACAGGGAACGGGACTCTGCCTGGCGATGGCAGCGCCATGCCTGGCAGCAACTTCAGCTCTGCTGACGGCAGCAGCCTCACTTTCACTGCAGACGGCGGCATCACCTTCACCACCTCCTCCTCCGCCGCCCCTGTGGTTGCCGACTTCTCGTCCCGCGGCCCCCTCCTGCCGCCCTCGGCCACGGCGCAGGCCCCCCAGCCTGGCAATGCCATCCTCAAGCCTGACATCATCGGCCCGGGCGTGGACCTCCTAGCCGCCGCCCCCGGGAAGAAAATCGGCGAGACCGGGGGCCTTGCCCGCCTGTCGGGTACCTCCATGGCCACCCCGCATTTGGCAGGGCTAGCTGCTTTAATCATCCAGAAATATCCCAACTGGAGCCCCGCGCAGGTGATGTCAGCAATGATGACAACGGCGCGGGTGACTGACACTGCCAGCAGCCCCATCAAGAGCTCCACCGGCGGGGAGGCGACCCCCTGGGAGATGGGGGCAGGCCATGTGTTTCCCCCGGCCATGCTGGACCCCGGCCTCACCTATGACGCCCGCGACAAAGACTACCAGAATTTCCTGGCCGGGCAGGACCTGACCCGGGCAAAGAGGGAGTTCCCGGGGGTGTCGCTCTCCCCTCTGGCGGTGCGCAATCTGAACCTCCCCACCATCACTCTGCCGCGCCTGCAGGGCTCCATTCAGGTGACTCGCACCGTCACCAACGTGGGAGGGTCCCAGTCCACGTACAGCGTATCTGGGAATGCGCCGGCGGGGGTGAAGGTGACTGTGGCGCCTAAGAGCCTCACGGTTGATGCCGGGCAGAAGGCGAGTTACACGATGACGTTCACCGTGGATACACCCAGCAACGACTTCAAGTACGGGTATATAGTGTGGGCGGATAACCAGGGGCACAGCGTTCGATCCCCCCTCGTGGTGCAGCCCCTTTCGCGCTAAGGGACAGGGTAGGGTGGCTCTTTAGTGGGGTCTATGAGGGTACGCGGGGTGCATCTCTGGCTGTAACCAGTGGGCGCAGGAAGCTCGAGGCGCTTTCACGTTGATTTGGCTGGTGTATGCAGCCCTGGCTGCAGCTGGTTGAGAGGCCCCCTCTTTCTGGAGGGTATCATTGACGGATCACGTGCTACTCCTCGTGCCACATGGCATGGAGGCCGCATGGCATGGAGGCCGCATGGCATGGAGGCCGCATGGCATGGAGGCCGCATGGCATGGAGGCCGCATGGCATGGTAGGGCACACGGCATGAGAGTTGATGTGGCCGCTCGTTGTGCATAGCGTTAATTATTCTGTGTGTGAGAGAGAGCCGGTTAGGGTACTGTACAGGGTGATGTGGCGTTGACTCCCTGTTTGCGCTCTTGTATTTATCCAACATACACGCTTAAAAAACCTAGCCATACATAAACAGACTAGTGATACGGCATACAGCTGCACGCCAGACAACACAATCTAAATGACCAACACACACACACACTACGACCTAACAAACCACCTTAACACCAAGAGTCAGAGAGAGAGAGAGAGAGAGAGAGAGAGAGAGAGAGAGAGAGAGAGAGAGAGAGAGAGAGAGAGAGAGAGAGAGAGAGAGAGAGAGAGTTAAGAAACCCTTAGGCAGCGTCTATCAAAACATCGGTTTGACTGCACGTGTAGCGAGGTCCCGTCCCCTCGCTCTGAGAGCATTACTTCCTGCTTCTCACAAGCGTACATACGGCAGGCGCCCTAACGGGAATTTCGACGTGGGAGTCCGTAAGTACCCATCTTACCGTGAGTGGAGGCATGTGAGGCACGTGTGTGTGTTCAGTGTGGATCCCATGGGCTGCCTGCAAGGACATCGACGACGCTCTGCATGATAGGAGTCTAGTTTTGAGGCGCCTCAAAATCCGCGAGATAAGAGTCTAGTTTTGAGGCGCCTCAAAATCCGCAAGATAAGAGTCTAGTTTTGAGGCGCCTCAAAATCCACGTGATAGGAGTCTAGTTTTGAGGAGCCTCAAAATCCGTGTGATAGGAGTCTAGTTTTGAGGCGCCTCAAAACTAGATCCCATGGGCTGCCTGCACTGCAAGGGCATCGATGACGCTCTGCACTGCGTGCCGCTCCCAAATGTCTGGGGCGTTCATAACTTATGAACGCTCCCCAAGTGGCGTTCATACGTTTCTGTATCCACGTGTGTGTGCTTATTGATGATATGGGTGGCAATATATTGAACACGTGTGCCGCTTCTATTAGAGAGGGGGGAGAGGGGGGGGGAGAGGAGAGTGGGGGGAAGGGAGCACAGGACGTTTCTTAGCAATCTTTTATTACTTTGGAAATGAGAGTCTCCCCCCTCCTCCCCCCCCTCCCCCCCTTCCCACCCTCCCCCCCTCGCCCCCCCCCCCCCCCCAGACATTGCGGACGTGACCAATTTCGTGCTGCCCGGCACGCCGCTGGACATAGAGGCGTCGCAGCGAGGAACGTCCGTGTACCTGGTGGAGCACCGCATCGACATGCTGCTGAAACCATTGACTGAAGGTAAGTCAGGGGAGAGGGAGATGCATTGGTGGGGTGTGGTAGATGATAGGGTGGTAGGGTGAAGTGCCTTTGGCGTCTGTGCTTTTGGCATTCGTGCTTTTGGGTGGAAGGAGTTGTTAATGCATCACCGATCTGCCATGTTCCGGTGCAACAACAAGCTGATCGGCGCCAAGGCGTTCTACGGCGGGTTTCAGCGGGCCAGCGGCAAGCCCGCGCTGACCAACGACTGGCTCACGCCGAGAGATGCGGACGGGCATGGCACGTGGTGCGCGGGCGCGGCGGCGGGGAACCCGGTGGGGCTGCAGGGCGGCGGGCAGGTGAGCGGCATGGCGCCGGCAGCACGGATCGCGGCGTACAAGGTGTTCTGGACAGACCGCAGCAGTGGGAACATGTACGCGGACGAGTCAGACATCATCGCAGCCGTCAATCAGGGCGTGTCGGACGGCGTGGATGTGCTGTCGCTGTCCCTGGGGGGCTTGGATCCCAACGACAACTATTTCAACGACTTGGCTTTCATGAGGGCCAACGCTGCCGGGGTGTTCGTTGCCTTTGCTGCTGGTAATGCCGGCGCCCCTGGCCGGTCGCAGGGGGCTGGTTACCGCACAGTGGCGAATTTCGCCCCCTTCTTCCTGACTGTGGGCGCCAGCACCATCGCTCGAGGAGCGTCTCTGGCTTCGGCAGCAGCAGCAGCCGGCACTCAGTCGCTCCCCCTCAGCGCCATTGCCGGTGCTGGCAGCACCAACAACACTGTCAGCTGCAACGGCACTGGTAGCGGCAACAGCACAGGGAACGGGACTCTGCCTGGCGATGGCAGCGCCATGCCTGGCAGCAACTTCAGCTCTGGTGACGGCAGCAGCCTCACTTTCACTGCAGACGGCGGCATCACCTTCACCACCTCCTCCTCCGCCGCCTCTGTGGTTGCCGACTTCTCGTCCCGCGGCCCCCTCCTGCCGCCCTCGGCCACGGCGCAGCCCCCCCAGCCTGGCAATGCCATCCTCAAGCCTGACATCATCGGCCCGGGCGTGGACCTCCTAGCCGCCGCCCCCGGGAAGAAAATCGGCGAGACCGGGGGCCTTGCCCGCCTGTCGGGTACCTCCATGGCCACCCCGCATTTGGCAGGGCTAGCTGCTCTAATCATCCAGAAATATCCCAACTGGAGCCCTGCGCAGGTGATGTCAGCAATGATGACAACGGCGCGGGTGACTGACACTGCCAGCAGCCCCATCAAGAGCTCCACCGGCGGGGAGGCGACCCCCTGGGAGATGGGGGCAGGCCATGTGTTTCCCCCGGCCATGCTGGACCCCGGCCTCACCTATGACGCCCGCGACAAAGACTACCAGAATTTCCTGGCCGGGCAGGACCTGACCCGGGCAAAGAGGGAGTTCCCGGGGGTGTCGCTCTCCCCTCTGGCGGTGCGCAATCTGAACCTCCCCACCATCACTCTGCCGCGCCTGCAGGGCTCCATTCAGGTGACTCGCACCGTCACCAACGTGGGAGGGTCCCAGTCCACGTACAGCGTATCTGGGAATGCGCCGGCGGGGGTGAAGGTGACTGTGGCGCCTAAGAGCCTCACGGTTGATGCCGGGCAGAAGGCGAGTTACACGATGACGTTCACCGTGGATACACCCAGCAACGACTTCAAGTACGGGTATATAGTGTGGGCGGATAACCAGGGGCACAGCGTTCGATCCCCCCTCGTGGTGCAGCCCCTTTCGCGCTAAGGGACAGGGTAGGGTGGCTCTTTAGTGGGGTCTATGAGGGTACGCGGGGTGCATCTCTGGCTGTAACCAGTGGGCGCAGGAAGCTCGAGGCGCTTTCACGTTGATTTGGCTGGTGTATGCAGCCCTGGCTGCAGCTGGTTGAGAGGCCCCCTCTTTCTGGAGGGTATCATTGACGGATCACGTGCTACTCCTCCTGCCACATGGCATGGAGGCCGCATGGCATGGTAGGGCACACGGCATGAGAGTTGATGTGGCCGCTCGTTGTGCATAGCGTTAATTATTCTGTGTGTGAGAGAGAGCCGGTTAGGGTACTGTACAGGGTGATGTGGCGTTGACTCCCTGTTTGCGCTCTTGTATTTATCCAACATACACGCTTAAAAAACCTAGCCATACATAAACAGACTAGTGATACGGCATACAGCTGCACGCCAGACAACACAATCTAAATGACCAACACACACACACACACTACGACCTAACAAACCACCTTAACACCAAGAGTCAGAGAGAGAGAGAGAGAGAGAGAGGAAGAGAGAGAGAGAGAGAGAGAGAGAGAGAGAGAGAGAGAGAGAGAGAGAGAGAGAGAGAGAGAGAGAGAGAGAGAGAGAGAGAGTTAAGAAACCCTTAGGCAGCGTCTATCAAAACATCGGTTTGACTGCACGTGTAGAGAGGTCCCGTCCCCTCGCTCTGAGAGCATTACTTCCTGCTTCTCACAAGCGTACATACGGCAGGCGCCCTAACGGGAATTTCGACGTGGGAGTCCGTAAGTACCCATCTTACCGTGAGTGGAGGCATGTGAGGCACGTGTGTGTGTTCAGTGTGGATCCCATGGGCTGCCTGCAAGGACATCGACGACGCTCTGCATGATAGGAGTCTAGTTTTGAGGCGCCTCAAAATCCGTGAGATAAGAGTCTAGTTTTGAGGCGCCTCAAAATCCGCAAGATAAGAGTCTAGTTTTGAGGCGCCTCAAAATCCACGTGATAGGAGTCTAGTTTTGAGGAGCCTCAAAATCCGTGTGATAGGAGTCTAGTTTTGAGGCGCCTCAAAACTAGATCCCATGGGCTGCCTGCACTGCAAGGGCATCGATGACGCTCTGCACTGCGTGCCGCTCCCCAATGTCTGGGGCGTTCATAACTTATGAACGCTCCCCAAGTGGCGTTCATACGTTTCTGTATCCACGTGTGTGTGCTTATTGATGATATGGGTGGCAATATATTGAACACGTGTGCCGCTTCTATTAGAGAGGGGGGAGAGGGGGGGGGAGAGGAGAGTGGGGGGAAGGGAGCACAGGACGTTTCTTAGCAATCTTTTATTACTTTGGAAATGAGAGTCTCCCCCCTCCTCCCCCCCCTCCCCCCCTTCCCACCCTCCCCCCCTCGCCCCCCCCCCCCCCAGACATTGCGGACGTGACCAATTTCGTGCTGCCCGGCACGCCGCTGGACATAGAGGCGTCGCAGCGAGGAACGTCCGTGTACCTGGTGGAGCACCGCATCGACATGCTGCTGAAACCATTGACTGAAGGTAAGTCAGGGGAGAGGGAGATGCATTGGTGGGGTGTGGTAGATGATAGGGTGGTAGGGTGAAGTGCCTTTGGCGTCTGTGCTTTTGGCATTCGTGCTTTTGGGTGGAAGGAGCTGTTAATGCATCACCGATCGCTGCACTCTTGCATGCATCCATCCATCCTCACACCTCTTCATGTCACCTCCCACCATACTCACACATGTGCCCACCTCCCATCATACTCACACATGTGCCCACCTCCCACCATACTCACACATGTGCCCACCTCACACCATACTCACACATGTGCCCACCTCACACCATACTCACACATGTGCCCACCTCACACCATACTCACAAATGTGCCCACCTCCCACAATACTGACACATGTGCCCACCTCCCACCATACTCACACATGTGCCCACCTCACACCATACTCACACATGTGCCCACCTCACACCATACTCACACATGTGCCCACCTCCCACCGTACTCACAAATGTGCCCACCTCCCACCATACTGACACATGTGCCCACCTCCCACCATACTCACACATGTGCCCACCTCGCACGTGCCCACCTCACACCATACTCACACATGTGCCCACCTCTCACCATACTCACACATGTGCCCACCTCCCACCATACTCACACATGTGCACACCTCACACCATACTGCAACCTCCCACCATACTCACACATATGCCCACCTCCCACCATACTCACACATGTGCCGACCTCACACCATACTCACACATGTGCCCACCTCTCACCATACTCACACATGTGCCCACCTCCCACCATACTCACACATGTGCACACCTCACACCATACTGCAACCTCCCACCATACTCACACATATGCCCACCTCCCACCATACTCATACATGTGCCCACCTCACACCATACTCACACATGTGCCCACCTCCCACCATACTCACACATGTGCCCACCTCCCACCATACTCACACTTGTGCCCACCTCCCACCATACTCACACATATGCCCACCTCCCACCATACTCACACATGTGCCCACCTCACACCATACTCACACATGTGCCCACCTCCCACCATACTCACACATGTGCACACCTCACACCATACTGCAACCTCCCACCATACTCACACATATGCCCACCTCCCACCATACTCACACATGTGCCCACCTCACACCATACTCACACATGTGCCCACCTCCCACCATACTCACACATGTGCCCACCTCCCACCATACTCATACATGTGCCCACCTCACACCATACTCACACATGTGCCCACCTCCCACCATACTCACACATGTGCCCACCTCCCACCATACTCACACTTGTGCCCACCTCCCACCATACTCACACATGTGCCCACCTCCCACCATACTCACACATGTGCCCACCTCACACCATACTCACACATGTGCCCACCTCCCACCATACTCACACATGTGCGCACCTCACACCATTCTCACACCCTCCCACTCTGTTGCCCATCGTCCCAACCCCGCCCAGACATCTGTTCCCTCCGTGGCGGTGTGGAGCGATTGGCGTTCTCCTGTATATGGGTTAGTGCTACCATCGCTAGAAACATATTGCTCTCATTCCTGTGTCACTGCATATCAACTCAGGCTGTTTCCGTGCCAGTCACTGACCTACCATGAGTGCATCATGTCACATATACCTCTTCTGCTGCTTCTGCCTCTGGCATTGACAGCATAGCTTACCGTCAGGAGGACAATCTGACTTTTGAGCTGACTCAAAGGTAGCACATTCTGGCATGTGTACAGCTCGTTATGATGCGCCTGCCTGCAACTTTTGAGGCGCCTCAAAATTCATGTGTACAGCTCGTTATGATGCGCCTGCCTGCGGTCAATTCTTTTACCAACCTAACCCATGAACCCATTCTTTCTTGCCATGAACCCATGAACCACCTGGAGATGACCCCTGAGGCTGAGATAGTGGCGGGGCGGTTAACCAAAAAGAGATGGTGTCATCCATCTGCATTCTCGCAGAGATGACCCAATCCCTCTTTTCCCATCCTCACATGCGCGCACGTCATTCTGATGATGCATTCCTGACCCACCAGGAGATGACCCCCGAGGCGGAGATCGTGGCGGTGCGGTTCACCAAGAGCATCATTAAATCCGCTGCTGCGCTGTCCTATGTGGAGGCACAGGCGCGCATGGATGATGAGTGAGTGGCAGATGGATGACACCAGGCGTGGATGATGAGTGAATGATGGGCATGCATGCATGGATGATGGGTGAGTGATGGGCATGCATCTATACGTCCACACCACCTTATCTTACGTCCCATCCCCCAGCAGCTCTCATCCCCCAGCAGCTCTCATCCCCCAGCAGCTCTCATCCTTTGCTCCCTTGCTCTGCTTTCCCCCTCCCCATCTCCCACTGACGTCATCATGGCATCAGGTGCATGCATGATGACCTCACAAGGGATCTTCGCAACCTCAACCGCCTCGCTAAGGTGCCATTATCATAGGATTCTGTGCCATGCCATGGCATGCATACACACTCCAGCTACTTCATGTCAATCCATACCATGATGTACCATGCACAATCATGCCATGCCATGCCGCATCTCATTCCCTCTTCGCATGTCTCATCCCCATCCCCACGCCCCATCCCCACACCAGGTGATGCGGCAGCGCCGCATCGACAGGGGGGGCACTCACTCTTGCGTCACCGGAATTCAAGTTTGAGATCGACACTGAGACACACGACCCCCTCGACGTTGGTACGACGCCCCTCTACCCCTCTGCTCCCCTGTATGGTGACGTGCCTGCAGTGTTGTTTACTCCGCCGCTGCCTCACCCTTCCCCGGTCTCTGCCATTCTCCCCCATCCTGACTCATCATGTCATGCTGCCAGCCTGCGTGTCCTGCTTGTTGATGGTATTTACTGACGATGGCAGCCCTTCCATTTCTCCACCTTTGACTTTTTTGCACTTTCCTCAGCCTTTTCACTGGCGCCCTTCCTATCTCTCACCCCCCCTTGTATTGAGGCGCCTCAAAACTTGTCAGCGGCGCCCTTCCTATCTCTCCCCCCTCTCTCCAGGCATGCGGAGTCTATTTTTGAGGCGCCTAAAAAATAGTCCCTTCCTATCTCTCCCCCCCCTCGTTTTGAGGCGCCTCAAAACTTTTCACTGGCGCCCTTCCTATCTCTCCCCCCCCTCGTTTTGAGGCGCCTCAAAACTTTTCACTGGCGCCCTTCCTATCTCTCCCCCCCCTCGTTTTGAGGCGCCTCAAAACTTATCACTGGCGCCCTTCCTATCTCTCCCCCCCCTCGTTTTGAGGCGCCTCAAAACTTTTCACAGGCGCCCTTCCTATCTCTCCCCACCCTCGTTTTGAGGCACCTCAAAACTTTTCACTGGCGCCCTTCCTATCTCTCCCCCCCCTCGTTTTGAGGCGCCTCAAAACTCTTCACTGGCGCCCTTCCTATCTCTCCCCCCCCTTGTTTTGAGGCGCCTCAAAACTTGTCAGTGACGCCCTTCCTATCTCTCCCCCCCCTCTCCAGGCATGTACCTGGTGCGCGAGGCCAACCACATGATCGAAGAGTTCATGCTGGCAGCCAACGTGTCCGTGGCAGATAAGATCCTCCAGCACTTCGCCTCCTGCTCGCTGCTCAGGTGAAAACTTAGGTCGCATGGAGGCTCAGGTGAATCCTCAGGTCAAATGGAGAATCAGGGCGGATTTCAGGTGTAGTTGAGGGTGCTCTGTCCTTTCTGCCCCCCCACATCTCCACGAATACCGTCTAGCTGGCTGTCTTTTTTTATCCAGCTGGTTCGTAACCCACGTAAGTTTTTTTCCCTAACCAGGCTCCCTCTGCTCTCAAGCACGTAGTCTCACTCCATGGGGGTTCGTTGTGTTGTGGTAATCGACAGATTCTAATGACATTTAGGCCTCAGCAGCCCACGCTGATTCCACCTCCATGCAGTGCGCCCCCACCGTCGTTGGCCCCCATGTGCAGGCGGCACCCCATGTGCAGGAGGCACCCCATGTGCAGGCGGCACCCCATGTGCTGGCGGCACCCCATGTGCAGGCGGCACCCCATGTGCATGCGGCACCCCATGTGCAGGCGGCACCCCACCCACCCCTCGCGCAACATGTTTGAGCCCCTGCTGTGCACGGCAGAGGCGGTGGGAATTTCTGTTGACACCTCTTTCGCTGCCTCAGAGCAGTTAACACCTCCCTGTGCTGCGCCTTCCCCTTAACCCCTCCCACACAGGCGGCACCCCACCCCGTCGCCCAACATGTTTGAGCCGCTGCTGAGGACAGCAGAGGCGGTGGGGATCTCAGTTGACACCTCCTCCTCCAAGAACCTGGCTGACTCGCTCGACCAGGCTGTGGTGAGCTTCTTTCTGCTCTTACTCTCTTCTCTAGCCTGACTCTTGATGGCCTTGATTGACCATCCAGCTTTCATGGTGGCCCTGGAGGATAGTTCCTTGTGGTGCCTTCATATGGATCTCTCAAATCTGACTGCCTTGTATCATTCTCGTCATTGCCACCTCTCCTTTGCTCCGCTCCTCATCCCCCCTTTCCAACCCGTGTGCGCCTCTCTCCCCACAGGGCCCTGACCCATACTTCAACAAGCTCATTCGCATCCTCACCACTCGCTGCATGACTCAGGTGTGTGATACGCTTGTGTATGGTACATGAACACGTTGATGGTGCATGCCGCTCGTGATGGTGCATGCCGCTCGTGATGGTGTATTTCCCCCAACCCAACTTTTCTCCAGGCGGTGTATTTCCCCAGCGGCCAATTGGCCCCTCCGGAGTACCACCACTACGGACTTGGTGCTCCCATCTACACCCACTTCACCTCGCCCATTCGCCGATATGCCGGTGAGACATGTGGCAGCACGAGTGGTCTATTACCTTCCCACCTCCTCTCCCTCGCTTCTCCCCTCCTGTTGCTTGTCTGTGCGCCAATCAAACTTCACCTCTCTCTCTCTCTCTCTCTCTCTCTCTCTCTCTCTCTCTCTCTCTCTCTCTCTCTCTCTCTCTCTCTCTCTCTCTCTCTCTCTCTCTCTCTCGCCATCTATCCCCATCTACCCCTCTTTTCCCCTCTCCCCCTGTCTATGGCCGCGGTTGTGCAGATGTGGTGGTGCATAGGCTGCTGGCTGCAGCTATCGGTCTCACGCCGCTCCCCGATCAGACCAAGGACAAGAACGCACTCACAGCACTCACGGACAGTAAGCACCACCGCAGTCTATTTTACTATCGAGGTAGCTCACAGCGGGATCTCCATATCACACTGATTCCTTTTCTGTGATCTCTTTTTTTCTCCCTCTATTCCCTTCCTCGCTTCCTCCCTCTCTCCCCCTCTCTCCCCCCCCCCCCCTCCCCCTCAACTCCCAGACCTCAACTACCGCAATCGCAATGCCCAGATGGCGGGGCGAGCCTCAGTGGAGCTCCACACACTCATCTTCTTCCGCACGCGGTGAGCTCTTGGCGTTGAAGCCCCACACTCGCTCCTTTTCAGACTGCTGCTTCAACAGCGTTCGATCGCAGCAGGCCAACTTGGAGCTCCACACACCTCATCTTCTTCCGCACGCGGTGAGCCATGCACCTCTCACACTCCTCACACCACCTCTCCACAGCCACATCGTCTCTTGTCTCAGACCTATTTTCCTCCCCACCTCTATCTCACACCCTCTCACTCTCTCTCACTCTCGTGCTCTCTCGTATCCATCTTCCCCTCTCATCTACTCCCTTGGCAGCCCAACGGATGCGGAGGGTCGGATAGTGATGGTGCGCTCCAATGGGCTTATCGTTTTCGTGCCCAAGTAAGTTCCACTATCTTGTTTTAAAGTTCTGTGCACTCGTGTGTGTAAGCCCCCTGGATATCTTCTGTGCTGTGTTAGCGCTACTCACACTCACTGCGCAACCTGTGTTATGAATTCTTCTTGAGTTTGTTTGTATCTAGGTATGGCATAGAGGGGCCTGTCTACCTCATACCCAAAGAGCCTCCTAAGGGGAAAGCTGTTGCAATTGCTGCTGCCAGTAAGCTTGACGGCAATGTGGCATCAAGTGATTGGGTGGTGGATGAGAAGACACAGACGGTGGAGTCTAAAGACGGGAAGCAGTGGTTAAAGTGTTGGACACAGTGACTGTGCACATTGAGGTCATCGAGCCACAGCCGAATCGGCCCAAGCTGTCGTTAACGCTCGTGAACCAATGTTAGTTGTGTCTCAAAACTAAGTTTTTTACAGGTGGATAGTTTGTGGAGCTACATATTATTGAGCGTGTCCTTGTGTGTGTATGGAGTCTGATAAACATATCAGATATTCGGACAGTGTAAGGAAAATTCCTTTTCCTTACTGGGCTCACTACAGCGCGTACGCCCTCGACCTTCGGAAGACCAGGCCCGGCCTTTTTCCTCGTTCCCGAACCATTTCGTGAACCCAAACCTAACGCGCGGCGCTTCCGTGGCTTTCGCCAACCGAGTCGCCCCAACCTGTTTGCGAGGTTCTCGGCTAGCCCTGTTGTGCCTATAAATGCCTAGGCCCTCTTTTGTATTGACGACTCTTGAATCACGGCTCCTTTATTACACTACTTGATATTACTCTGATTAATTCATAACAGACAGAGAGGACCCGTAACCATGTTCTTTGCGGCAAGACCCAATTATCGGGGTTCGGCAGCAAGGGAACCGACCATCCGTTGACTTCTGCGAGTTTCGCTCAGACCAATGCCACAACACGGCGCGGTCTTTGACGACGAGAAGAATCCAGTTCGCAGTGTTCAAACAAGGGTTACCGCCGCTTTCCATACGTCTAGCATAGAGTTCGCAACCACTAGAAATTTTCGACGCTAGCTGGTCCGCAACGCAAACCTGTGCTGCATCCCGTCGCGTCTGGAGCACTGCCCTGCTCTCAAATGGCCCCAGCTTCGGACCCGCGCCGCATTTCTCTGCATCCCCGCAGGTGCGTCGCGGTGAGGGGCCAAGCCCAACCAAATGTGGGGCGGTACATTTGGAGCTCGTCACTACAAATTGCCGCGGGGGCTGATAGAACCAGCATCAGCAATTCAAAGCATCCATTTCTTAGTAACATATAGAGACGCACATCGCTTACCATCAGATACAGCTGGTGCGGACTTCCCAGCTCACAGATCTTCCCAGCTGCAAGCAATACTGAGTCGCGGGGACCAGCTGTGCGGCACCATGAGACACGCCCCCACAATCGCGTTGCTGCTGACCCTAGGCGCGTTTCTGCTAGCAGCGCAGCCGTCCGATGCAAGCCTAGAGTCAGCTTGGCGCCGCAACAGAGCATGGCGCAACGGCGGCAGAATCGACCCCCTTCAGGCGCCCGCAGCCGCTAGGGGCATCGCGGGCAAATCCCAGGCGGCGGACGCCGCCGGTTCCGCCGTGTACATCGTGCGCCTGAGCACGGCACCTCCCCTCTCTGAATACCGCGGCGGAATCGCGGGGTACCCCGCCACTGCCACGTGGGACGACGGCAGCGACGAGGAGGAAAACTACGACGACCGCGTGCCGGAGATGCTTCTCACGGCCAACGACTCCGAAGCAGCAGGCGGCGAATCCGATTCAGAGCCCGAGTCCGTCGACTTGGACGACACCAACGCCGATCACCCCTTCCCCAACGCCACTGCGCCCGCGCCAGCGCCAGCCGATGAGGCGACTGGAGGCTCTGCGACTGCCAGCGCGCGTGGCGGTGGCAGCGGCAGCGGCAGCGGCGGGTGCCCGCGTCACCGGCTGCGTCTGAGCATGGACCGCCCCCAGGTGGCAGCGTTCGCGTCGCTGCTGCAGCGGCAGCAGGCGCAGGTGGCATCTGAGGCGGGCGTGGGCGACGGCGACCTGCTGTACAGCTACAAGCACACGTCCAACGGCTTCGCCGCGCGCCTCACCGCGCGCCAGGCGTGGCGGCTGCAGCGCAACCCCGCCGTGGCGTCCGTGCGCCGCAGCCGCGTGTTCCAGCGGCAAACCAGCGATTCGCCCAAGTTCCTGGGGCTCCCGGGGAAGGTGTGGCCCGCCGTGGGCGGACAGAGCAAGGCGGGCGACGGCACGGTGGTGGGAGTCATCGACACGGGCATCTGGCCCGAACACCCCTCTTTCTCCGACAAGGGGTTTAGTTCGAACCTCCCCTCGGGGTGGAAGGGTAAATGCGAGCAGTCAAGCACGTTCCGGTGCAACAACAAGCTGATCGGCGCCAAGGCGTTCTACGGCGGGTTTCAGCGGGCCAGCGGCAAGCCCGCGCTGGCCAACGATTGGCTCACGCCGCGAGACGCGGACGGGCATGGCACGTGGTGCGCGGGCGCGGCGGCGGGGAACCCGGTGGGGCTGCAGGGCGGCGGGCAGGTGAGCGGCATGGCGCCGGCAGCCCGGATCGCGGCGTACAAGGTGTTCTGGACAGACCGCAGCAGCGGGAATATGTATGCGGACGAGTCAGACATCATCGCAGCCGTCAATCAGGGCGTGTCGGACGGCGTGGATGTGCTGTCGCTGTCCCTGGGGGGCTTGGATCCCAACGACAACTATTTCAACGACTTGGCTTTCATGAGGGCCAACGCTGCCGGGGTGTTCGTTGCCTTTGCTGCTGGTAATGCCGGCGCCCCTGGCCGGTCGCAGGGGGCTGGTTACCGCACAGTGGCGAATTTCGCCCCCTTCTTCCTGACTGTGGGCGCCAGCACCATCGCTCGAGGAGCGTCTCTGGCTTCGGCAGCAGCAGCAGCCGGCACTCAGTCGCTCCCGCTCAGCGCCATTGCCGGTGCTGGCAGCACCAACAGCACTGTCAGCTGCAACGGCACAGGTAGCGGCAACAGCACAGGGAACGGGACTCTGCCTGGCGATGGCAGCGCCATGCCTGGCGGCAACTTCAGCTCTGCTGACGGCAGCAGCCTCACTTTCACTGCAGACGGCGGCATCACCTTCGCCACCTCCTCCTCCTCCGCCCCTGTGGTTGCCGACTTCTCGTCCCGCGGCCCCCTCCTGCCGCCCTCGGCCACGGCGCAGCCCCCCCAGCCTGGCAATGCCATCCTCAAGCCTGACATCATCGGCCCGGGCGTGGACCTCCTAGCTGCCGCCCCCGGGAAGAAAATCGGCGAGACCGGGGGCCTTGCCCGCCTGTCGGGTACCTCCATGGCCACCCCGCATTTGGCAGGGCTAGCTGCTTTAATCATCCAGAAATATCCCAACTGGAGCCCCGCGCAGGTGATGTCAGCAATGATGACGACGGCGCGGGTGACTGACACTGCCAGCAGCCCCATCAAGAGCTCCACCGGCGGGGAGGCGACCCCCTGGGAGATGGGGGCAGGCCATGTGTTTCCCCCGGCCATGCTGGACCCCGGCCTCACCTATGACGCCCGCGACAAAGACTACCAGAATTTCCTGGCCGGGCAGGACCTGACTCGGGCAAAGAGGGAGTTCCCGGGGGTGTCGCTCTCCCCTCTGGCTGTGCGCAATCTCAACCTCCCCACCATCACTCTGCCGCGCCTGCAGGGCTCCATTCAGGTGACTCGCACCGTCACCAACGTGGGAGGGTCCCAGTCCACGTACAGCGTATCTGGGAAGGCGCCGGCGGGGGTGAAGGTGACTGTGGCGCCTAAGAGCCTCACGGTTGATGCCGGGCAGAAGGCGAGTTACACGATGACGTTCACCGTGGATACACCCAGCAACGACTTCAAGTACGGGTATATAGTGTGGGCGGACAACCAGGGGCACGGCGTTCGATCCCCCCTTGTGGTGCAGCCGCTCTCGCGCTAAGCAGCAGGGGAGGGGAGGGGGTCTCATCCACAAGGCCTATCATTAGCATTTGCATTGGGTGGGGGGGAGCTGCCCTGGCTGCTGTCGGTTGAGAGCCCTGCCGGATATTGTTGACCAAGCGAGTGGTGCCACTCCTCGTGGCACATGGCATGGGTGAGCATGTCGCATGGACATGCAGAGTTAGTAGTTCTGTTTATGGGAGCCGGTGTTGGGTGTCGCTTAGCGTGTGTGTGGCCTTGACTCGTACATGTTGCTTATGCGGTATTTATTTGATATGCACACTACAAAATCCGGCTATACATAAACAGACTACCAATGGAAAGTCGCACGCAATCCAAACAAAAGCAGACACTACACTACACCACCTAGCAAATCAAGCAGTGCCACACAGATGGTGAAACCAAGCATAAACACCAGTTCAACTGCAGGTGAAGTCCCCTTCCTCCAAGGGTACACTTTCCACACCTTATGAGCATACTTCTCCTCACATCCCCCAGGCATCAGCCTGCGGTAATCCCCTGCCGACCGCTCCACCCAGCTGCCCCCATCGCCCCACTGTATCTCCCTGCACATCCCCTCACCTCACCACCGAACCTCACATCCCTACTTCCTCTCCTCACATCCCCCAGGCGTCAGCCAGCTGTCTGCGGTAGTCCCCTGCAGAGCGCCCCACCCAGCTTCCCCCATCGCCGCTCACCACCTGCTGCAGCGCTGCTAGCACGTGCTGCTTCAAGTGCCCGTCCACTGCTGGGCCCTCCGCGCCATAGGGGAGGGAAGACTCGTCCGTCACTATGTCCAGGAGCTGCGGGGGAGGTGGGGAGGAGGGAGGCAGAGGGAGAGGGAGGAAGGAAGGACATGGGATATCGAGTCACCAGCTGCAGCGCTGCCAGCACATGCTGCTTCAAATGCCCGTCCACTGCAGGGCGCTCTGCGCCATAGGGGAGGGAGGAGTCGTCCGTCACTATCTCCAGGAGCTGAGGGGAGCGATTGAGGAGGACAGGGAGGCAGGGGTGGAACAGGGAGGCAGGGGGGGCAGGGGGGACAAGGGTGGTGTTACTAGCCACCTGCTGCAGCGCTGGGCCCTCTGCGCCATAGGGGAGGGAAGACTCGTCCGTCACTGTATCCAGGAGCTGCGGGGGAGATGGGGAGGACAGGGAGGACAGGGAGGCAGGGGGGAGACAAGGGTTGTATTAGCCACCCACTGCAGCACTGCCAGCATGAGCTGGTTTAGATGCCTGTCCACTACCGCGCCCTCCGCTCCATAGGGCAGGGAAGACTCGTCCGTCACTAAGTCCAGGAGCTGTACTGTATTTCATTGCATAGTATAATGTTTCCCCCCCCCCCAAAAAAAAAAACCAAAAAAAAAAGGTCCAGGAGCTGAGGGGGGGGTGGGGAGGAGGGAGGCAGGGGGGACAAGGGTATTATGAGTCACAGGGGGGGAGGGAAGACTGCTGGGGGGGGGGAGGAGGTCCACTGCTGGGCCCTCTGCACCATAGGGGAGGGAAGACTCGTCTGTCACTATATCCAGGAGCTGCGGCGGAAGGTGTGGGGGGAAAGGGGAGAAGAGGGGACATGCCAGCCAGCCCTTGGCCAAGGGCATGAAGGAGACAGGCATGTCATTATCACGTGCTGCTGCTCATGGGAGTCTCTGGCGACAGGTGCCCCAGCACAAGCCCCGTTCGCCCCATCAGCCGCACCATGGCGCCGGCATCAGCCACCTTCAACACCTCCTTATAAGCACCCTCACCTTCATTCACCATGCATTCACCATGCATTCCCAGCAACACTCACAACCCACTCAACACAGCAACGCAGATTCAATAGCCATTTCCTCAACACAGCAACGCAGATTCAATAGCCATTTCCTCAACACAGCACCCCCCTTTCCCTCACCTGTCGGACCCATGGCAGAAGGTACTCCACCGACGTCCCCCTTATAAGCAGCTCCACCATTCGTCTAATAACCTCCGCTCCAGTCTCTGGCGCCAGGTGCCCCAGCACAGGCCCCGTTCGCCCCATCAGCCGCACCATAGCGCCCGCGTCAGCAGCCTTCAGCACCTCCTTATAAGCACCCTCGAACCCCCCAGCCTTGAGCTCGTCTAGAGCCACCGCCCACGACCAATTTCCTGGTGCCACGTGTCGCTTTAGTGGCTCCAGGGGCTCTCCTCCTGCTGCTGCTGCTGACGCTGACGCTGCTCCTCCTGCTCCTCCTCCTGCTGCTGCTGCTGATGAGGATATTGCTCCCCTTCCTCCACCTGCTGCAGTGCCCTGCCCAGGCTCGTCCCTGTGTTGCTGCTGCTGCTCGGGTTGGGCCTGGGGGAGGCTCGCCTGCTCTATCTGGTCACTTGGCTGATTAGGGTTAGCTCGCCACTGTAACAGCAACTGCTGCTGCTGCTCGTTATTGATGCTTGTATTGAGAGGCAAGCGAGGGGACGAGGCAGCAGAGGAGTAGGAGGGAGTGCGGGCAGTGCCTGCAAGGGTGTTGTTAGGCGCACGCTGCAGAGAAGCGGTTCTCTTTAGAAGCTGCTGCTGCTGCTGCTGCCCTTGAATTTGAGCTGCTGCTTCGGCCGCAGCCGCAGCTGCCGCAAATTCATCCTCCATATAAGCTGCTTCGTGTCCTGCCCCAACACCAGACGCCACAGGCACAAACGCCATCTCACCATCCCCCCCTCCTCCTGCACCTCCTCCAATCATCCCCCCCCCTGCCCCACCAAACCCACCCACGTACGGCTGTGGCTGCAGGAACCCACCAGCAACCCCGTTACCAACCCTCCCTGCATTGCTACCAATCCCCCCCCCAATCCCCGCTCCCTGTAGTGACAACCTCCTGCCAGATGAGAAACCCCTGCTCTCACTATTGATGGTCGTGCGGATACGAGCAGGCAGGAAAGGGGAGGGCATAGTGGGGAGGGTGGGGGGGGTGGAGAGGGGGTGAGGTGAGGTGGGACCGGCAGAGGGCCATGGGAGTGGGCCGGCTGCTGGGGAAGGAGCGGCGCTGTGAGTGGTGCGCGTGGTTCTGAGCACTAGCTGCTGCTGGTGCTGCTGCTGCAGCTGCTGCTGCTCGAGGTACGACTGCTTAGCCTGCTGCAGCTGCTGCTGCTGCTCGTGATACGCCTGCTGGATCTGCTGCTGCTGCTGCAGCTGCGCCGCTTCTGCTTCAGCAAACGCCAGTTGCTGCTGCTGCTCGTGCTGCTGCAGCTGGTTCTGCTGCTGCTGGTTCTGCTGCTGCTGGTGCAGGGACTTTAAGGCAGAGAGTGAGCCTTCGAGTGACAGCATTCGCAGCTCAAGGCTGTCCATTGTGGTTCTGGTGGCGCTCATGAAACCCTGAGGAGGAGCAGTGGACAGGGGGGAATAGTGGTGGACAGGGGGGAACAGTGGTGGACAGGGGTGAACAGTGGTGGACAGGGGTGAACAGAGGAGCGGATGACAACGGGAGAGGGGGTGGAGCTTTGAACATTCACAGCCCGAGGCTGTCCATTGAGGTTCTGGTGGCGCTCACGAACCCCTGAGGAGGAGAAGGACAGGGAGAGCAGAGGGGGACAGGGAGAGCAGAGGGGGACAGGGAGAGCAGAGGGGGACAGGGAGAGCAGAGGGGGACAGGGGAAACACGGGAGAGGGAAGAGGGGATGAAGCTTTGAGCACTCGTAGCTCCAGACTGTCCTTTGTGGTTCTAGCTGCGCTATGAGACCCTAAGTGGTAGGGGGCGGGGAGGGGGGACAGCGAGGATAGTGTGGGGGGGGGAGTGCGGATGAAGCCGACAGACAGGAAACAGAGACTCTCGGAGTGGCAGCATTTGCAGCTCGAGGCTTCCAAGAGAGAACAAAACACTTGGGAGGCCTCAAAGAAAGCACTTGGAGGTCTCAAAGAGGACAAAGGACTCACCTCCACCATTGCCTGGTAGCTGTCCTGCTGCTGCTCCATCGCAGCCAGTCGTCGCCTCAGCCCCTGCAACTCAGCCACCACTGCTGCCGCAGCCGCAGCATCTGCAGCCGCAGCCGCATCTGCAGCCGCAGCCGCATCTGCAGCCGCAGCCGCATCTGCAGCCGCAGCCGCAGCAGTTTGAGTGACTCGACTTCTCCTTCCCCTACCTCTCCGCCCTCCCACGAGCCCATTCTCCTCCCTCTCCTCCTCTTCATCCTCATCATCATCCTCCTCCTCCTCCTCCCACTCCCTCCCACCTCCCTTCCTCTCACCCCTGACGCCCTCCCTCTCCCTGTCTCTAGGCCACGGCCCCACAGCACTGCCAGAGTCACTCATCATCATCTGGGGCGTCTCTCTTCCCCACTCCGCCCGCCGGCCCCTCACCTTCTGAGTCGGCTCCAAAGCCTGCTGCTTCGGCTGGTGCTCCTGGGTGAAGTCATACGACCGTCTGACCTGCAGTTCCTCTCCATATGCCCTTCTCTCACCACCTTGCTTCATCTGCTGCTGCTGCTGCTGCTGCTGCTGCTGCTGCGGCTGGCGTTGACTCTGCTGCGGCCTCCTGCCTCCTCGCCGCTCCTCCTGACGTGTCACCTCCTGCTTCTGCCACGTGTCCCCCTGCCTCGGCTGCTGCTTTGTGCCCCTCCCGGATCCGTACCTTCCGTCCCTGCGCCCTCCCTTTGGAATCGACTCAATAACATCGTCCTCGTTATAAGACCACCCACGCCTCTTCTGAGCTCGGGGAAACGACTCTCCCACCTCCTCCTCGTCCTCACTCGAAGACAAGTGACTGCTGAGTGACCCATACCTCCTCCTCCCCCTCCCATCCTCCCTTCTCCCCTTTCGCCCTCTCTCCACCATTCGCCCCTCCTCGTCCTCCCCATCCCACCACCTTCCCTTACCTTGCGCGCCCCTTCCTTCCCCCACTCCCCTCTCTCCCGCCCTTCTCCCCTTGTCCCCAGTCTCAACAGACAGATTACTGCTCCACGAATTGCTTCTTCTCAAAGCACCCCCTCCTCCCCCCCACTTCCCTCTCTCCCTTCTCACCCCCCCACCTCCTCGCTTTCCCCTCTCCTCCTCCTCTCTCACCTCCTCCCTTTTCCCCCCACCTTTGCCTCCCCTCCCACCCTTCCCCCAACCCTCCCAATCACACGATTGGCGCAATGCCCCTCCCCCCCCTCCCCCGTCTCTCTCTTCCCCCGCGCCTCTGCTCCTCCTCCCCGCCTCCTCCCCCCGCTTCCCGCCCTTCTTCTCTGGCCCCTCCCCCTGCCCACCCCCCCACCCGTTCCCTCCCTTGCTCCATTTCTGCGTTCCCAAGCGGTCAGCGCCCCCTGTTGCCCTCAGATTCTTCCTTTCCACCCTTTCGTCTGCTCTTCCGCCCTGCTCATTCCCATCCTCGTCACTGTCAGTCTCGCTAGAGCCATAAGCGCCGTTTTCTGCGCTTTGAGTCTCCCCTTCATACCCAATCTTTCTTCCCCCCTCTTTCTCGTTCCTATCCCATTCCCCTCTTTCGTCCTCTTCCTCCTCCTCTCTCTCCTCGCCGTACCTCCCTGCACCTCGTGTTCCTCCCTTCAACAGCCCGCCACGCTCCCCATCCTTCCCCCCCGCCTCCATCCGCATATCTCTCCCCATCCCATCCCCAAAAGAGATATCGCCATCCATTCTATCCAAACCGCCCTCCCCTCTTCCCTCCTCACCCTTATACCCGCCACGAAAGCCATTCTCCTCTCCTGCCTCCTGCTCCCACTTCAGCTCTTCATTCCCCTGCTGCTGCAGTTCCTTCTCCGCTTCCTGCTGCTTCTGCTGCTGCTGCTGCTGCTGCTGCTGCTGCTGCTGCTGCTGCTGCTGCTGCTGCTGGTGCTGCTGCTGGTACTGCTGCTCCTGCTGGTGCTTGTACTGCTGGTACTGCTGCTGCTGGTGCTGATGCTGCTGCTGCTGCTGCTGCTGTTGGTTCTCCCTTTGCGCTTCCTTCCCCTCTTCCAGTTCAGCCTTTTCCAGTCCACCCCTCCCCTCAGGCACAAACACCTCCACCTCCCACTCCTTCCCCTTCCCACCCGCCCCTTCTCCACCCTCCTCCCTCGTCTCCCCTCCTCCATGCATCTCCTTCTTCTCTTCTGCCTCTCCACTCGCCGTATTCCACCCACCGCGTCCCTTCGGCACCAGAATTTCCACATTCCAATCCGCCGCTGCTCCGCCTTTCCCTCCTCCCCCTGCCCCCTCCCTTCCTTTCCCTACAGTTGCGGCAGCCTTCATAGCAGCAATCCCAGAAACAGAGTGTCTCCTCGCCTTCACACCATTTGGCTGCACCCGATTTTCGTGCGCACTTACCCCTGCTCCTCCCCCCTGCCTGCCGTCTCCCCTCCCTTCCTCTCCCTTCTTCCCTCCACTACCCTCCCCCCCGTTACTGTCACCTGTCTCCCCCCCAGCCCCACCCTTCGATTTAGGAACCATGACTTCAACGGACCAGTCATCGCCTCCCCCAGTTTTACCCCCGGCGCCTGCCTTTTTGAAAAACAGGGGGTTCCCTCGCAGCGGCTGCCGCTCAAACTTAGGCCGACCAGCCTTCCCTCCTGCTGCATTATCCGCGTTAGAAGCTTCCCCGGATTTAGCCTGAGACAGGTCTGGGGCCCATGCATGAGAACCTATTCCCGCCTTTTTCAACCCTCCAACTCCTCCCGCTCCTCCTTCCCCTCCTCCTTCCCCTCCTTTCCGCCCTCCCTCTTCTCCTGCTGCGGCTGCACTTGCTGCTGCTGCTGCCGCTGTTGCTTCCTTGACTCGAGCTCGACCCAGCCCACTAAGCGTGCGAGCCAAAATCCCCCCCACTCCGCCACGCTTCACAGCAGGGGTCACACTGGTCGCTGCTTCTGCTGCTGGTGTTGTCACTGCTGCGTCTGGTGCCTCTCGAGTACCTTGAAACGGGTCAGCTACAAGCGAGGACGAGCGGCCTTGGAGCTTCATCGACCGACTGCCAATGCTTCTGTCTTTCTCTGCTGCAGCAGGTGAGAGGCTGTTGCGCCTTCCTGGAAAGTTTCAAGGGGAACGAGGGAGGGGAGAAGAGAAGAGAAAGAAAGAGGAAACCGCTTACTGTAAGTGTTTTGTTTAGAACTCTCAAAAAACACCTGCAAGCAAAGGAAAGAGGAAACCGTTGGCTGTAAGTGTTTTGTTTAGAATTCTCAAAAAACACCTGCAAGCAAAGGAAAGAGGAAACCGTTTACTGTAAGTGTCCAAGCCAGAGAGGCGCTGTGCGGAAGAAAGGGACAAGGTGGTTTAGGCTTGTGCATGGTGGGTACAAAAATCTTCTGCCAGATCACCAGAGTGTCCTATAATCTCAAATAGTGCCCTATAAGATGGGTAACTAGATGCATGCAGCCACTCCCACACCAGAGGTTAGCACCAGAGGTTAGCACCAGAGGTTGGCACCAGAGGTTAGCACCAGAGGTTGGCACCAGAGGTTAGCACCAGAGGTTAGCACCAGAGGTTAGAACCAGAGGTTAGCACCAGAGGTTAGCACCAGAGGTTAGAACCAGACATTGATGTGCTTCAGCCTTCAGCCGCCGTTGCTCCTGCTGACAACGATGGCAGCGACAGCACTTGGCGCTGACCCGCTGGAGGTGGTTCAAGAGATGTGCCTGATGTGTTGCTGGCTGCACGTACCTGGTGTGTTGCTGGCTGCACGTACCTGGTGTGTTGCTGGCTGCACGTACCTGGGGTGTTGCTGGCTGCACGCACCTGGTGTGTTGCTGGCTGCACGCACCTGGTGTGTTGCTGGCTGCAACATGAGAAGAGGAGATCGACGGCGCTTGTTCCGCTGTTTCTCCTGCTGACGACGTTGGCATTGACAACACGTGGTGCTGACCCGCTGGGGGTGGTTCAAGTGATGTACCTGATGTGTTGCTGGCTGCACGTACCTGGTGTGTTGCTCGCTGCACCACCAGCAGAGGAGATCGACGGCGCTTGTTCCGCTGTTTCTCCTGCTGACGATGTTGGCATTGACAACACCTGGTGCTGACCCGCTGGGGGTGGTTCATCCCACTCCACACACGCCCACGCCTGCTTGGCTTGGGCCAGAGAATCGCGGACATTCTTCACCTGCACGAGGGATACATCAACGGGTGGGGAGGGGAGGAGGTAAGTAGGGGAGGAAAGGACGGAGGTGGGGGACTTTGGGTAAGAGTTTCGCTGCTATAGCTGCTGTTGATGGCAGGGACAACTCTTGGTGCTGACCCGCTGGGTGTGCTTCCTCCCACTCCACACACGCCCACGCCTGCTTGGCCTGGGCCAGGGAGTCACGCACATTCTTCACCTGCGCGAGGGACACATCGACGGTTGGGGGTAGGTGGGGACAGGGTGGGGGGGGAGGAATTGGTGGAGGATTTAACCGCGTGGCTTGGGCCAGAGAATCGCGCACATTCTTTACCTGCGCGAGACGGTTGGGGGTAGGTGGGGAGAGGGTAGGGGGGAGGTAATGGTGGAGGAGAGGGGCATTGGGCGAGTGCTTGAACCGCTTGGCTTGCGCAAGAGAATCGCGCACATTCTTCACCTGTGCGAAGGATGCAATGAAGGTTGGGGGTAGATTGGGGAGAGAGTGGGGGGGAGGAGGGGGGTGTATGAAGAGAGATATGCAGCTGCCCCAGCAGGTTGCCGTGCATTGTTCGACCCCCTCTTCACCTTACCCACCTCGCTTCCTTCTAACGCCTTACCACCCTGCCCACCTTGCACTCCGCACCTCCTCCTCACCATACATCCTCCCCCTTGCGCTGATCCAGTCCTTTCATCTCCCCAGAGCGGCTCTCCACCAGAAACTTCACGGCGGGCTGCCCCAGCAGGTCTCCCTTGCATCCTACCACCCACCTTACCGTATGTTCGCCCTACCCTATCCCCCTTGCACCCTACCTTATCCCCCTTGCATTGATCCAGCGCCTTCCTCACAGCTGCGCGGCTCTCCCCCAGAAACTCCGCGGGCAGGTTCATGGCGAGCTGCCCCAGCAGGTCCCCGTTCCTCCCTCCCATCCGCCATACTCTACTCATCTTACCTTATCCCCTTTGCACTGGTCCAGCGCCTTCCTCACAGCAGCGCGGCTCTCCCCAGAAACTCCGCGGGCAGGTTCACGTTCACGGCGAGCTGCCCCAGCAGGTCCACCGCCGCCTAGCGCGTGGCCCACCTCCCTCCCTTATCCCCCCTTCCGCTGTTCTACCACCTCAGTTTTGAGGCGCCTCAAAAATAGACTCCTCACGCATTTGTTCTACCACCTCAGTTTTGAGGCGCCTCAAAAATAGACTCCTCACGCATCTGTTCTACCACCTCAGTTTTGAGGCGCCTCAAAAATAGACTCCTCACGCATCTGTTCAACCACCTCAGTTTTGAGGCGCCTCAAAAATAGACTCCTCACGCATCTGTTCTACCACCTCAGTTTTGAGGCGTGTCAAAAATAGACTCCTCACGCATTTGTTCTACCACCTCAGTTTTGAGGCGCCTCAAAAATAGACTCCTCACGCATCTGTTCTACCACCTTAGTTTTGAGGCGCCTCAAAAATAGACTCCTCACGCATCTGTTCTACCACCTCAGTTTTGAGGCGCCTCAAAAATAGACTCCTCACGCATCTGTTCTACCACCTCAGTTTTGAGGCGCCTCAAAAATAGACTCCTCACGCATCTGTTCTACCACCTCAGTTTTGAGGCGCCTCAAAAATAGACTCCTCACGCATCTGTTCTACCACCTTAGTTTTGAGGCGCCTCAAAAATAGACTCCTCACGCATCTGTTCTACCACCTCAGTTTTGAGGCGCCTCAAAAATAGACTCCTCACGCATCTGTTCTACCACCTCAGTTTTGAGGCGCCTCAAAAATAGACTCCTCACGCATCTGTTCTACCACCTCAGTTTTGAGGCGCCTCAAAAATAGACTCCTCACGCATCTGTTCTACCACCTTAGTTTTGAGGCGCCTCAAAAATAGACTCCTCACGCATCTGTTCTACCACCTCAGTTTTGAGGCGCCTCAAAAATAGACTCCTCACGCATTTGTTCTACCACCTCAGTTTTGAGGCGCCTCAAAAATAGACTCCTCACGCATCTGTTCTACCACCTCAGTTTTGAGGCGCCTCAAAAATAGACTCCTCACGCATCTGTTCTACCACCTCAGTTTTGAGGCGCCTCAAAAATAGACTCCTCACGCATCTGTTCTACCACCTCAGTTTTGAGGCGCCTCAAAACTAGACTCCTCACGCATCTGTTCTACCACCTCAGTTTTGAGGCGCCTCAAAACTAGACTCCTCACGCATCTGTTCTACCACCTCAGTTTTGAGGCGCCTCAAAAATAGACTCCTCACGCATCTGTTCTACCACCTCAGTTTTGAGGCGCCTCAAAACTAGACTCCTCACGCATCTGTTCTACCACCTCAGTTTTGAGGCGCCTCAAAAATAGACTCCTCACGCATCTGTTCTACCACCTCAGTTTTGAGGCGCCTCAAAACTAGACTCCTCACGCATCTGTTCTACCACCTCAGTTTTGAGGCGCCTCAAAACTAGACCCCTTCCGCTGTTCTACCACCTCACCTTATCCCCCTTGCACTGGTCCAGTGCCTTCATGACCGTTGCGCCGCTCTCCCCCAGAAACTCCGCCGGCAGGTTCATGGCGAGCTACCCCAGCAGGTCCCCGTTCCTCCCTCCTATCCGCCATACTCTACCTTATCTTACCATATCTTACCTTATCTTACCTTATCCCCTTTGCACTGGTCCAGGGCCTTCATAACCCCAGCGCGGCTCTCTCCCAGGAACTCCGCCGGCAGGTTCATCGCGAGCTGCCCCAGCAGGTCCACCGCCGCCTTGCGCGTCGCCCAGTCCGCGGAAACCACCGCGGCGGTCGCGGCGGACACCAGCACGGGCACTTGCGCGCCCATGGACTCCCCGCACACCTGCGCGGAGGACGGCGCGGAAAGGAAGGGGAGCGGGGAATCGGAGCGGATGGGGGGTGTGAAGGGCGGAGGGGGTCTCAAACCGCGACAGACGCCAGCGCGGGCAAGTGCGCGCCCATGGAATCCCTGCATACCAATGCGGAGTGAAGTGTCTAAGGGAGAGGAGCGGGGAAGAGGAGCGGATGGGGGGTGTGAAGCGCGGAGGCGATCTCAAACCGCGGCGGACGCCCCATGGACTCCCCGCATACCTGTGCGGGGTGAAGTGGGGATCGTCGCGAGTGGTGGGGCCGTGTGTTTGGCAGAGGACAAGGACGCCCAAGCAGCAGAATCGCAGGGAGAGACTAGGGGAGACAAGCAGCACAAAGACGTTCCTGATAAACCAGAGCCGAGGAGACTAGCACAGTCGCATACTACCACCCAGACTAATCTTTCCTTGATAGCTGGTTGTTGACACTAGTTCCATATTAGCACTTCTACCCACCTCAGCAAGGCTCGCAAGGCTCGCTACGGCCCCCAGCAGCTGCGCCTTCGCCTAAAACCCCTGCCGCGAGAGCATCCCATTCTAGAGTCGACTCAAAAACCACCTCACCTCAGCAAGGCTCGCTACGGCCCCAAGCAATTGCGCCTTCGCTTGGAACCCCTGCCGCGAGAGCATCCCATTGGCGCGCATCAGCACGCGCGCCGCGCTCGGCTCCATTTTCTCCCGGGCAGCCCGGAAAACGCGGTCGAGGCAGATCGCTGCACCTGCCTGCGAGTTTCGGCTCTGCTCGCCGAGCGTGTCGAGCAGCGGCCGAACGTAAACGCCCATAGCGCCGAACCCACCGACGGGGATAGCTCCGGGAACTGTATCATGGGGAGGTGGTGGCACGTGCTGGACGAGTGTCGCCATGGCTTCTGCGCACGAGTCGATCAAGGTGGACTCGGGGTCGCGCAGGCGACGGACGACGGCTGCGACGATCTTGGGGAGGTGCGGCGACAGGAGCGGGCCGAAAGTCATCGCAAGGATGGCGAACTGCCTGCGACAGGCGACGAGGACAAAAAGGTCGTTCAGGTGAGAGAAAGGTCGCGCGGATATATGCAAGAATCATCATTTGTCGAGAATTGAATGAAAATCGGACGATCTCCGTGACGCGCTGGACAGTCTCCTTCGGATGCAGGAGTTACCCACCTGAGGCATTCTTTCCGAACGAAGGTGACCTTTGAGTCGACTCAAAAGTCACCTCGTGACGCGTGGGATAGTCTACTTTGGATGCAGGAGCTACCCACCTGAGGCATTCTTTCCGCACGAAGGTGCGGTGAGTGCTGTCAGTCTCGTAGTGGCAAGAGAGGAAGACGGGGATGCCTTCCGGCGGCAGGAACTCGAGTTTTCAGACGTCTCAAAAGTGTTGAGACATCTGAAAACTTTCCGTATGGTGGAGGAGAGTTACCGAGTTACCCACCTGAGGCATTCTTTCCGCACGAAGGTGCGGTGAGTGCTGTCGGTCTCATAGAGGCAGGAGAGGAAGACGGGGATGCCTTCGGGCGGCAGGAACTCGACGATGTTCTGCAGATCCGCCACCGCGTTCTGCTGCGTGTCGCGGTCGTTGAGCTTCCCGAGTGCCACTAGGAGGCTCTTTTTCACGTCGTTTAGCGCCACCCTGCTAGTCTGCAGCGGCTGCTGCTCGATCAAATGCGTGATTGCCATGGTAAGGGACCTCGCAGCTAACGAGTAGGAGCGGGGAAAGGTTACACACGACGGTGAGATACCAGCCTATTCCATCGCTCTGCTAGAGGCCTAGTCGGGATAATTACGCCGCAAATACGAGGTGACTTTTGAGTCGACTCAGAAGTAAGCCTATTTCATTTACTCTATTAGAGGCCTAGACGGGATAACCACGTCGCGAGGAGCAGAAGAGTCACGGGTTGTGGGACGACGAGCAGGGACGCCTCAGCAATCGTCAGCAGTTGACAGGACAGGACGTTCTAACCAACGAGCGTTCGCGGGGGTCTGAAAGACGACGCAGACGAGAAAGACAAGAGTGCGAGGGAGCGACAGGAGGTAAGGTTCAGTTGGTTCAGAGCGGGAGGGCACGTGTTTGCCTGGAGAAATTGGACTTGACCTTGGGAATGCTGAGGCCAGAGGGGTTCAGTTGAGTGGTCTTGAAAATGTGACCGTTGGGATTTGAGAGGGACGTGGGCTGAAGGGGGGCTGGGGGGGTAGCGGGGCGGATGGGGGGTAGCTGGAGTGGGGTTGCTGGGGTGCTGCTTCCGCTTCCTTGGTGTTGCCCGCCCTCGGGATTCACGATCTTTCAGGGCAGGGCAGCCCTAGAGAATTGACTTCATGCCACGATTCCTCTGCCAGAGCCTTCGGCTGGAGGCTGCCCGCGCTTCATGCTTCCTTTGCCTCCACGCTGCCCGCGCCGCCGCGATTCCCTCCCGCCAAATTTCGACCTCCGCGGTCCCTGGCAAGCCTCCCAGCTTCTCAGTGTATAACAATATTTTACGCACTTACTCCGTATGTTCCAAGAACACTACAAAAGCTCTAGGATGCTCAATAACGGGTATCCCTTCCCCTCTTCCGTCTGAATCTGTGAATCTGTATCCTTGTCATCCCCAGCCAACCTTGAGACTTGGTCCCTGGATCTGTAATTTTTCCCTCGCCAAACTACACGCAAGTAGCACAATCGTAGCCATCGCCTCAACCTTACCTCGGACCTCAGCAGCCATCGCTCGACCTAAGTGCAGCGTCTGTAGCGTCCTCCCGAAGAGTCCGCTAAAGTCCGTTTGTTACTTCCGACATCGCCCGCTGCGAAATTCGCCGTAGCTGTACCGATGGAGCAGCTACCGTCAGTAGACGAGCTTAAGATTCTAGCTCTCGAGTACCTTTCAAAGGCCGAGACCTCTCTCTGGAAGGTGCTACCGCCTGTCGTGCAAGAGTCTCCCGTATTCCTCGATATAAGCCGAGCCCTTAATGTTCGCGTCGAGACAGCTCTGTTGCTGTCGACGATCGGCGTCCTACTGGCCTCTCTTATATTCCTCCTCGGTATGTGAATGATCATGAATTCATCCTACGGAACCGACAATCTCCTGGTACAGCTCTCAGTAACTACGTCTCTGCGCTCGTTCGTCTCTGCGCTTGTCCTTATCGTTCGAAAGTTCATCCGCCTCCACTTCGTCCGTTCACCTGCCTCGAATCCATCCGTTCACCTCCGTTCCCCTCCAGCCGTGCGGTTGGCGTTCGCGGGCCCTCGCTTCAACACCATTGTGCTGCTGGGCCTGTGCGGAGCCGGCAAGACGTCCCTCTGGTACAAGGTGAGAGCTGGTTCAGGTATTCCCAAGGTGACAAGTGCACCTTTCATCCGAGTAGATTCCGTTTTAGCCGTGCGGTTGGCGTTCTCGGGCCCTTGGTTCAATCAACACCGTCGTACTGCTGGGCCTGTGCGGAGCCGGCAAGTCGTCCCTCTGGTGCAAGGTGAGAATAGGGACATTATCTGCAGGGACCTGAAAAAGGGAAATAAATCTTATGGTTGAATAAGGTCATTATGAATGCTTTTGAGTGTGCTGATAGGGTTGTAAACGCATTTATCCGATTCCCAACAGCAGTCAATTCACCCTTCTTCGAGTGCCGAACACCGTCAACAGACGCTCTGTAAATTGTTGCTGTTTTTTCCTCACTTTTTAACTTCCAACATTGAGAAGGCTGGAGCTCTGTTGAAATAAGAGCCCACCATTCTGCCATCGCTTCAACGTGTGACGTTCTTCCCCCGTCCTTCCTTGGGCCTGGTCTCTCTCTCTCTCCTTGTTTCCTCCCGCCCATATCCCTCTATCCTTGACCTTCACGTGGCAGCTGCGGGATGGGTCAACGCATGGCGGTACAGTGACGTCCATTGCAGTTAGCGATGAAACAGCTTCCTCTTTGTCTCCCCTCTCCTTCTTTCCCCATCCTCCCTCCCTGTCTCGCACGTGGCAGCTGCGGGATGGGTCAACGCACGGTGGCACAGTGATGTCCATTGCAGTCAGCGACGAAACAGCTTCCTCTTTGTCTCCCCTCTCCTTCTGTCGCCATCCTCCCTCTGTGACTGCACGTGGCAGCTGCGGGATGGATCAACGCACGGCGGCACAGTGACGTCCATGGCGGTCAACGACGACAAATTCCCCCTGCACGCCGAACTGAGCAAGGTAAAGGCTGGTGGAAGGTTGATGCATGTCTTGACACTGCATAAAGCTACCTTTTTCCCATGGCAGTCAACGATGGCAAGTCCCCCCTGCACGCCGAACTGAGCAAGGTAAAGGCGGGTGGTGCGTTGAGCATGCATGGTGACAAGGCACGCGCTTTTTCAGTCGCCTAAAAAATCGTGTGAGCAAGGTAAAGGGGAGTGGACCGTTGAGCATGCATGGTGGCGAGGCACGTGCTTGAACTCTCGCTGTTGAGCATGCATGGTTTTTATTCCTTTTCCCGTATTCATATAGCTTGCCCTTCACTTCCGCCTCGTTCTTTTCCTGCACTTCCCTCTCCGCCGTCCCTTTCTTTTCCCACCGCTGCATCCCTCCCCATCCCTCCCCATCCCTCCCCATCCCTCCCCATCCCTCCCCATCCCGTTCTCTGTCGTCCAGTGCACCTGGTGGGTGGGCTGCCAGGCCAACCCCGTCCTGCCATTCTTCCTTCACCCATACAGCCTCTCCAACCCCATCCACACCACCACCCACACCCCCACCACACACCCATTCACACCCCCACCCACACCCCCACCCACACCCCCACCCACACCCCCACCCTCTCCCCCCTATCCTCTTCAGAACCCCAGGGTGCGGCCAGTGCATCTGGTGAACGCACCCGGCCACCCCCGCCTGCGCTCTGCCTTCCCCTTCCCCACCTCCTTACTCTTCTCCTTTCCTCCTTTCTTTCTCTTCCTCCTCCTCCTTCTCTTCCTTATCTTCCTTTTCCTACCGTCAGAACCCCAGGGCGCGGCCAGTGCATCTGGTGGACGCACCCGGCCACCCCCGCCTGCGCTCCCTGGCGGGCCCCTTCCTGTCGCGCGCGTGTGGCATTGTGTTCGTGGTGGACGCCCTGGACTTCACTCTCAACATCCGACCCAATGCAGAGTGAGTGGCTGTCTGACCTGCATGACTAGTTCTTATCAGCTGATGACGCACTTGTGCTTATCAGGCCGAGCACATTGAGAGTGCCTGGTGTTGATCCTGTCACGCGCATGCGGCATTGTGTTTGTCGTTGACGCGCTGGACTTCACTCTCAACATCCGACCCAATGCAGAGTAGGTGCACTAGACTACGTGACTAAAGCTAAGCTCGCACACTTGTGCTAATTATCTCCGGTGCCGGTGCTGCTGGTATTCTTGAGGTGCTGCACAAACACACCCACGTATCCCCTCCCCCAACCCTTCACCCCCTGTTGCTGCCATTCCCACATGTCCATGCCGCAGGTTTCTGTACGAGCTGCTGTCGTCTGCTGCGGTGCAACGAAGGCGGGTGCCAGTGCTGCTGGCGTGTAACAAGATGGAGAAGGTGACAGCTCACTCTGTGGAGTTCATCAGGAAGCAACTTGAAAAGGAAATGTAAGTAGCGGCAGTACACGCATGTTCAAATGTAAGCAGCTTGAAATCGGATGCACCACCAGCAGGGCCCTGCTGGCGGGATGCAACAAGATGGGGAACGTGACAGCACACTCTGTGGAGTTCATCAGGAAGCAACTTGAAAAGAGATTGTCGGCGCATAAGCACATACTCACGTGCTTACCGGTTTCGCGGTTACTTGGCCATCAGCACCACCTTAATATCACCTCGTCCCATTTCCCCTGTGTCTAGATATGCCACCTTTCCATGCGGTTCACATTGCACATTAATTCTGCTGTCTGGAAAGTTTTGAGGCGCCTCAAAACAAGGTTCACATTGCACAGTAATTCTGCCGTCTGGAAAGCCTTGTTCCGCAACCCCCCCTTACTCCAGGAGTGAGAAGCTTCGTTTCTTTGTTCGGCATCTGTTGTCTCCAGCAAGGACAGGAGAATTGGTCTACTCGGGATAATTTCCCCTGTTCTTGACTGTTCCACTGTTCCCGTTTTTACTCCAACAGAGAGAAGCTGTGGTCGTCCCGCCATCCATGGCATCTGTCGTCTCCAGCTTGGACGGGGCCTTTCAAGGGCTTGCTCTACAGATAACTTCCTCTATTCTCGACTGTTCTACTGTTCCACTGTTCCCCCATCTACTCCGACAGAGAGAAGCTGCGGTCGTCCCGCCACTCCATGGCATCGGTCGGCTCCAGCAAGGACGGGGCCTCTCAGGGGCTTGCTCTCAAGGGCAGTGGCGGCACCTTCCGGTTCGCTGACTGCGTCAACCCTGTGTCGTTTGCAGAGTGCTCTGTAGCGAGTGATAATCTAAATGGTGTCGAGTCATTTATTCGTGACCTTGTCAGGCCTTGATGAATGTGCACTGGACTTCAGTGCCAGTGTGTATTTGGCTGTGACTGCCAGTCAGTGGCAGCTGCCAATAGGTGCTTCTGCCATCAATAGTAGCTATCCGTGGTCACCTAATCTCACTTAAAATGACTGTACGATAATGCATGGCGACCTTAACATGACTCAATGTGTGGAAGACAAGCAAGTGTTTTACACTTATGGACTTCAGACTCAGCTACAGCCAAGAGGACGTCAGGCAGCCCACCACAAGCAATGTGAAGAAATATCCAGGGAGAAAGGGCAACAGTTGAGGCAATTAGTGCGCGAGAGGAAAAGTGTGCGGTGAGCGTGGATCGAACACGCGACCTTCAGATCTTTAGTCTGACGCTCTCCCAACTGAGCTATCCCCGCAGCTGGAGATGCGGGGTATCGATCACCGTACCTCTCGCATGCTAAGCGAGCGCTCTACCATCTGAGCTACATCCCCATGCTTTCTGATGCGGCATAAATATATAAGATCTTGTACTCAAGCTTGCTTGACACGAACTTCCCTCGGTTTATTGCTGCTTGCAACCATGGCTGCTGCGGGACTACATGAATGCACTGAGGCGGAGCTCGACCAGGTGCTCTTCGGAACGAGCGCTGCGGCCTATTACGAGCAGTATAAAGTGGTTCACTCGGCAGAATACATCACGAATTCGAGAAACATCCGCCTCTACACACAGTCATGGCTGCCTGGTGAGGATCACATGCCTTCGACTCGTCTGAGTTCAACTCAGTCAGGAGTTCTCCATACCAGCTAGTACCTTCCAAGCATTCCCACCTCCTCCCGCTCGTCTGTTAATTTTTCTTCTTCTCTTTCCGTGTGCTCCGTACCTGATCTGAAACTCTTTCCGCTCTGCCATCTCCATTTCTCTCCCATGGCGTGCGTCCTTCGGACCTTTTCTTCGTTCAGCCGATCGCAAGCCTTCGGCCCTCCTCTTCTTCTGCCACGGCTACGCCAACTGCTGCAACTGGCTGATGCAGGCAAGACCCACCCCATCCATTAACCTGCCTGATGCAGGCAAGGCATTTCTCCCCTTAATTAAACTCCCATGATGCATTTCCTGTATCCGATTCTCCCTTCATAACCAGCTCATGATCTCCAACTCATTCCTTATCTCCTGCGATCCTCACAGCTCTCAGCCATTCGATTCGCCTCGGAGGGCTTCGCAGTGTTCGGGATCGACTTTGAAGGCCACGGCAGATCGGACGGTCTGAGATGCTCGTTCAGGTCAGCAGAGCACCTGGTGGATGACTGCTGCGCCTTCTTCGCATCCGTCAAGGCCAAGCCTGACTTTGCAGGGCTGCCGTCGTTCGCGTACGGGGAGTCGCTGGGAGGCGCCATCGCCATGAGCGTCGCACTGTAAGAACCTGCAGAACCTTCTCCTGGTTGTTATGCCAGTCAGACAATCCTTCATTCTACTCATCCGTTCTTTTTGCCACAATGGCATGGCATGCTCTAGAGCTGTCAACGTTATAGTCATTTCCTTGCGTGACGTTCTATCTAAATGTCTCATGACCTTTCTTGAGTGGTGCGGTTTTTTTTATGCTCAGGCGGGATCCTGATACCTGGACGGGGCTGGTCATGGTGTCCCCCATGCTGCGCATAAAGGAGGAGCTGCAGCCTAGCTGGGCTGCACTGCAGGTCCTTCGCGTGCTTGCAACGGTTATTCCCGACAGTGCCTTTGTGCCCACCAAGGGAGACTTGATCCGGTAAGAACGCATATCACATTTTTCTCCGGCACTTTTCTTTTCTGTCGTTGCTCTTTGCACCAGATGGACTTCACTCATCCGCACGCATCGCACCCACATCACCTTTCTTCCTTGCGGCAATCTCTCCACTTCCCTTCCTCCCTCACCGTGGATTATACAGCCTGTCTTGCCGGGATCCTGCAAAGCTTGAAGTAGCCCTGAAGAACCCTCGCCGCTACAGTGGAAACCCACGCCTTGGGGTTGCTTTTGAGCTCCTGCGTTTTGCTGATGCTGTCACAGCCTCCATCCCGAACCTGCATTTGCCTTTCCTTATCATGCATGGAGGGTCGGATGGTGTTACAGACCCCGACCTGTCCAAAGACTTGCATGAGAAAGCCCCAAGTAAAGATAAGACGCTGCATATATATCCGTTAGCATGGCACCAGCTGCTGCAAGGGGAACCAGAGCCGGAGAGAGAAGAGGTGTGGAAGGATGTGCTCACATGGCTCAAGCAGAAATTGTTGGGACTAAACTAATGTCACGTCCATGTGCCGGTTTATACCTCGCTGCCGTTTGTATTATCATATGCTCGTATTATCCACTGGGTTCCGTGACGCTCAAGCTTCGCGACAAGCTTGAAGGTGAGTGTGATAAACATTATGAGCACAAGCAATGACCTAAAGGAGCCCAAATAACCGTACACCACTCCACATTAGATTAGCACGCTAAGAACCAACGTAACTTTGCGAAGTTGTTGATGTTACGAGATCTAACGAAAGTACGGGAGAGGCTCGGTTTGGGGGACCGTTTCCCAAGGCCACCTGTTGACAAGGGCTGCGCTGGTCAAAAGATCTGCAGATTGGCTCATCCTGACCGTTCATAAGCGCTGTTTCCAGAATCCTGAGCTCTGCTGGCGGTTAACTAGGCTCGGACTGAGGTTCGTAATTTCCATACCAGATTCCACGTGGCCTTCGCTAATTGCCGAGGTTTGTGAGATCAAGGTTCCTGAAGTATCCATCCTTTATCAAGGTTTCAGGACTGCCTCTTGTTTCCATTCTGTTCCTCAGCTCTTCCCCTGCTCTTCCGCTACTACGTAGCCTCACTCCTCCAACGACCAAGGTGTGTTTCAGTCCGTACAGGATATCGTGGCTGCGTGCACCAGAGACTTGTCAGCTTTCACTCAGCTGTAATCTCTAGAGATCTTTGCTGAGGAAAATTTCCGTGTCTATTTTACAGCTAATACATTCTTATTAAAGATGGAGAAGGAACGTGAGAACCACGTCTACCTTGCCAAGCTTGCGGAGCAAGCCGAGCGCTACGATGGTGAGTTAATGTAGGAGCTGACCATGTCTTCGTTCTTGTTCGTCGATGGCTTAATCTCTTTTTTTGTACGAACTGTGGATCTATATTTCTTTGTCTAAGGCACCCTCGTTTTTCCTCTCAGAGATGGTTTCATCCATGAAGGATGTTGCCAAGCTCGACGTTGAGCTCTCCGTTGAGGAGCGCAACCTCCTCTCCGTTGGCTACAAGAACGTCATTGGAGCTCGCAGGGCTTCATGGAGAATCATGTCTTCCATTGAGCAGAAGGTTCGACATTCGCATTTCTTCATATATCCTTCATTGCTGGATTTTCCTTCAAGAATCTTGCTTTTGTAGGTCGTCTTAGTTTCCATTTTGTATTTTGTTTGTCACGTCCAGGAGGAGAACAAGGGCAACGAGCAGAACGTGGCGAGGATTAAGGAGTACAGGTCTAAGATTGAGGCAGAGCTTTCTGATATTTGCCAAGACATTCTCAACATTATCGACAGCAACTTGATCCCCTCATCCGGCACTGGCGAGTCCAAGGTCTTCTACTACAAGATGTAAGGGTTATTTCTCCCGCCTCGGGGTACGGATTGCTTCCGGTTCTTCGTCCTCATACCCATTCTCGTGTTTCAGGAAGGGTGACTACTACCGCTACCTCGCGGAGTTCAAAACTGGCGCTGACAGGAAGGAGGCTGCTGAGCAGTCGTTGAAGGCGTACCAGTCAGCTTCTGAGATTGCCACTGTCGACCTTGCACCAACTCACCCCATCCGCCTGGGTTTGGCCCTGAACTTTTCTGTGTTCTACTACGAGATTTTGAACTCCCCAGAGAAGTAAGGGCTCCTGCTCCAGCCAGCCATTTCCTCGTTATGGAGGACTCCCTTCTAATGCTCTTCCCGTGAATTTCTCAGGGCCTGCCAATTGGCCAAGCAAGCCTTCGACGAGGCTATTGCGGAGCTCGACACTTTGAGCGAGGAGTCTTACAAGGACAGCACCCTCATCATGCAGCTTCTTCGTGACAACTTGACACTCTGGACGTCAGATCTTCAGGATGAGGCTGCCAAGGACGAGCCTGGTAAGTAGTGTTTATGTTGCTGTGGATGTTGGTATAGAGACCCCCCAGTGTGAATCTCATGGCGTTCTCTTCTGTGGTCTGCAGCTGAAGAGAAGAAGGAAGAGAAGCCTGCTGATGAGTGATCATAGCATATCTGACCATCACTTTCCCAGAACACCTAGGTAGTCTTGGATATATTCATCCCTCTTGTTTTGGTTCTTTTATACCACTTCAGCTGCCGCTCTCTAGCTTCATGATCGTACTTGCTGTACAATCAAGTAAATCAATACAGCACTGCAGAGCACCAGGCTAATGCACATGAACCTAGTGGGTTCTGGTAGGAAGGTTTCATGAACATGCTCAACTAGCTGCTACGGTAGAGGTGAGTTTTTCCATTACTGACATTTGCCTATGATAAAGACGAGGTGACATTTAATTCAGGCCTGGATCATAGGGCAAGTCAGGTGGCATGTGCAGTTGTCACAGGCGATGAATCTTTGATACAGTAGACTGTTCAACAAACAAGACACTCAACCAAGCCTACGCCCATTAATTCCTAAAACACACCTCGGTATCACTACCAAACCTATGGGTCATGGTCCATGTCAGTGGCCTCAGTCGCCGGGGTACTCTGTCCATCACCATCACCTGCCGCTTCGTTCTGAGATGCGGAATAATGGTGTGAGCTTCCAACTCTCCGGTAGAACAGCACATAGGCTGCTGGTGTCTCAATCTGTGACTCATTTGCAGGTGAAACGAAGCTATCGTCGAAGCAGTGCCATTGGCGTTCATTGCCCAACTGCAGTCATTGTGAGATGAGGAGGAAACACACTGGCAGTGATGACACATACTGCAGTGCATGCAGGAATAATTAGCAAACGGACCGGTTCCAAAACATGCATGCAACCCTGACAGAGCATCCAAGCCCCATCCATGCAGTGTATAGCCCATGTACTTGAGACATCCAACCCCCATCCATGCATCCAGTCACCATCCATGCATCCAGCCCCCATCCATGCACCCAATCAACATCCATGAGCTTCCCTTGCTCACCTGCACATAAGCAGTGTAGTGCCCTCCACCCATGCCACCGTAATGATTGCTGATTGCATACAGCTCATACACATTGCCGCCCGCCTCAGCGCTGCAGGGCGGCAGGTACGGCGAGAGGTCAAAGTCGTGCGTGGGGAAGGTGACGAGCGTGTCGAGCTTGTTCTTAAAGTAGCGGCTGTAGGAGAAGCGCTTCAGATGCACCACCAGAATCTCGGGCAGCCGCCAGAGGTCCAATTTCTTGGTTGCCTGCCTGTGTTCCTTGCACTGCGGGCAGTACCTGTTAGATGTAGAGATTGGGCGGGAAAGAAGGAAAGGTAGGGAATACAACAGGCAGTAGCGGCTGTAGGAGAAGCACTTCAGATGAACCAATCTCGGGCAGCCGCCAGAGGTCCAGCTTCTTGGTGGCCTGCCTGTGCTCTTTATTTTGCACTGTGGGCAGTACCTGCTTGAGGCAGACAAAAAAATTTATCAAACGAACCAGGCAAACATGGGCAAAACAATGAAGCATCTATTACACTCCGTCACAGATCACGCCATCAGACTGGCTCACAGGCATATGCCATCACGACGACGTGTCATCAGGGCCGAAAGCTTCTTCTTAAAAGAAAGCATCCAAACGTGAGAACATCTTGTGACATTGACTCACATATGGACCATCATTGCGTTGCATCGCTCACCACATCATACACCGTCACTCACCACATCATGCACCATCACTCACCACATGTCATCAGGTCCCAACGGCTCCTCCTTGATGAAAGCATCCAGGCACGAGAACAGCGTCACTCCCTCCTGCCGCTTGTTCTTCATGGGCAGCCCGGCACTGCCCGAGCTCACTTCGGGCAGCTCCTCAAGCTGCCCGACATCGTAAAACTCCTTGAGCCCCTTGGCCGACCAATCCAAAAGCAGTGCGAGACCATCCTTTGAGAGCATATCCGGGGTAAAACCCTTGGGCAAATCCGTGCCATCGGGGATTCGAATGGCATCAGCAGCAGTCTCCACATGTGCTCTAGTGACTGACAGCTGAAACGGCGGCTCCTCTGCTGCCGCTGATGCCTGGGTCTCACTCCCTTGCCCCTCCTGCCCATCTTTCCCCTGCCCCTCTGTGCTGGCAGCATTCACAGCGCCTGCAGACCCCCTTGCACTCGTCTCAATCCCTCCCTCACTCTCGCCACTTGCTTCCCCTGCAGCCGCTGCAGCTGCTGCTGCTGCATCACCTGCACAAGCGTCCCCCCTCCCGGCAGACTCATCCATAGGGTCATCCTTCCCCTGCACATCTCTGTCCTCCGTGCTGCCACCAGCATCGCCACCAGCGGAACCAGCATCAGGAACAGCAGTACCACCATTAGAATCACCAGCAACGCCACCAACTGCGGCAGCAGCAGCGGGAGCAATGTCCCCAGCAGGGTGGATCGAGCTTTCAGGCACCCCTGGTCGCAGGAAGGGCCTGAGAGCACAGCGCACGTGGCGGTAGAGGTCAGCTCCCGACCGGAGGTCGAAGCGCGAGACGGGGAGGAGGAGAGGGGCGCCGTGCAGACGCCAGAAGAAATCGTTGGTCACTGTGGAGCTGAGAGCAACACAGGGTGGTGAGAGGAGGCGAGGGGAAAAGGGAGGGGCAGGAGTGAGCATGGGTGAGGACCAACAATCACCTGACGCCAGAAGAAATCGTTGGTCACTGTGGAGCTGGGAACAGAGCAGGGGTTGAGTGGAGGTTTCAGAGGAGAGGGAAGAAAGAGAGGGACGGAATAAGGCTTGAGGCACGTCTGCTTGCAGGAAGGGCCTGAGGGCAGAGCGCACGTGGCAATAGAGGTCAGCGCCGGACTGGAGGTCAAAGCGCGAGACCGGGAGGAGGAGAGCGGCGCTGTGCAGGCGCCAGAAGAAACCATTTGTCACACTTGAGCTGTGGGCAATACAGGGTGGTGAGAGGAGGAGAGGGAAAAAGAGAGGGAAACGAATGAGCTTGCAGCCGCCACTGGCCTGAAGGGTGAGCAGCAAGAAACGAAGGGATAGCACGGGGAGATGCGAGTGGGACGGGAGAGGAAGGATGGAGAGTGGGGAGCGAGTGGAGAGTGCAATGGGACAAGGCAGTAGAGGTTTCTTCTACAAGGTTCTTTCTGTGATTATAGCAGGCGAAACAACTAGCCTTCGACGCGATCATGAAAGAAAAACAACAGCTGTGTGACTAAAACAGAAGAAGCACCACCACCTCCCTCACAGGAAACAATTGCTTGGCTCGTTGTGAGACTACAGCAACTCACACTTCCTTGATTCGCTGTGTGACTATAACGGGGGAATCACAGCCTCTCGGCACTCTGTATGCCACCAGCCTGTCCCGGTCCTCGATGGACGAGATCTGCTCCAATGGCGGGAAGGAGCGGAAAATGCGGTTGTTGTAGATCTGAAGAGGGGGGGCGGGGGGGAGGAGGAGGACGGGGGTAAGGGGGGGAGGAGGAGGACGGGGGCAGGGGCGGGGAGGAGGAGGAGGACGGGGGTAAGGGGGGAGGAGGAGGACGGGGGCAGGGGCGGGGAGGAGGAGGAGGACGGGGGTAAGGGGGGGAGGAGGAGGACGGGGGTATGGGGGGGAGGAAGAGGACGGGGGTAAGGGGGGGAGGAGGAGGACGGGGGTAAGGGGGGGAGATAAAAGGATACATGAGACATGGGCACTCTGTACGCCAACAGCCAGTCCCTCCTCTTTTTGATGGATGAGATATGCTCCAATGGCGGGAACGAGCAGAAAATGGGGTTGTTGTACACCTGGGGGGAAAGGGGAGAGGGGAAGATGGGGTGGGAGGGGGAAAGGTAACATGGGGGGAAGGTAAGACGGGGGGGAGGTAGGGAGGGAGGGGGGAAGGTATGACGGGAGGGAGGTAGGGAGGGAGGGGGGAAGGTAACACGGGGGGGAGGTAGGGAGGGAGAGGGGAAGATAAGACAGGGGGAACGTGACCTCACAGACGACCCATACTGGCACACGGACGAGAACAATCAGGCACCTGCTTTTGAGTCGACTCAAAAGCATGAGTCGACTAAAAAACACGGACGAGAACAATCAGGCAGCTGGCATGCCTGAGGCAGCGCAACCTGCAGGTCCAGAATCCTTCCAGTGCGCAGCACGGCACAGTCACAGTGAGGTTGCAGAGGGGGGATCGGCTGGGGCCGAGGTTTAATGTGCCTCGCAAGACCCTTACCTCGGCAATACGCAGCCTCTCCCCAGTTGGAAGCTGGCACGCCTCTGCCAGCGCCATTTGCAGGTCCAGGATTCGCCCCGTGCGAGGCACAGTGACAGTGAGGTTGCGACGTGGGGGGGGGGATTGGTTGGGGCCGAGACCCATCTATCGTGCCTCACAAGCCGCTTACCTCGGCAATATGCAGCCTCTCCCCAGTGGGTAGCTGACACGCCTCTGCCAGCGCCCTCTGCAGGTCCAGAATCCTCCCCGTTCTTGGCACAGTGACAGTGAGGTTGCGGGGGGGTTGGTCGCCAAAGGAGGAGATGAGGGTGAGGTGCAGGGAGCGCGTGGCTTTGGAGGGCAGCGGCAGGGAGAGGTACATGAACGGGTCGAAGGTGACTGACACCTTCTTGCAGTGCGGGCAGACCAGCGTTGACTTGTATTGACCCTGGGGGGAAAATCAGTGGGAGGGCGAATCCGCAAGGGAGAGACAAAGGGGGAGGGTAGAGGCAGGGAGAGATACATGAAGGGGTCGAAGGTACCTTCTTGCAGGCGGACACACGAGCGTTGACTTTTATTGACCCTGGGGGAGGGGGGAAGAAGTGAGGGAGGGGAGGGGGGGGTGTGTGGGGGAGGGGAGAGACGGAATGGAGGACGTGAGTGCAGGAAACAGAGACGACATCGGGATTCAAAATCACTTGCACGACAGCAAAGTCAATGGCAAACTCAATGGCACTGATCACCATTAACATGAACTGTCTTCCACTGTTGTTACAACACCATCTGGTTACCACATCGTCACAACCCACCTGGAATTTGTCGACGATAATCGAGTCGTTCCTCGCCTTGTGGTTCTCCCAGTTCTCCCGCGCCACCTCCTCATCCGGCCGTCCATCCGCGTCCTTGGCCTCGATGTACGGCTTGCGCATCACCCTGTTCAAGTCCTCGTGTAACCCGTCCAATAGGAATGCCAGGAGCTCCTGAGGGATGGCAGGGGGGAAGGGGGGGAGGGGGGAGGAGGGAAGGGGGGAAGGGGGGGTTGAGGGCAGGTGTGCGCCACCCGCGTCCTTGCCCTCGATGCACGGCTTGCGCATCACCTGGAAGAAACGCCAGGAGAAAGGCCAGGAGAAACGCCAGGAGAAACGCCAGGAGAAAGGCCAGGAGAAAGGCCAGGAGAAAGGCCAGGATTTCCTGGGAAGAGACGTGGTGCAGGAGGGAGACTGGAGGGTGGTTTGAGAGTGGAAGCGAAGGTGGCGGTGCAGTGTGGGCTTCCTTGGTCTCAATGCATGGCTTGCGCATCACCCTTATCAGGTCATCCCTTGTGTAAATCAGCCATCCAGACGGAATGCCAGCCAGAGGCTCATGTGGAAGGGAGTGGAACAGGAGACGGGGGGGAGGCGGGGCGGGCCTCAAGCTTATGACCCTGTGTGTATAACCCCGTCCAACAGGAACGACAGGAGCATACCTGCGAGTCGCGCTGGTTGTAGCCGCTGAACTGAGGGGCGAATCGAGAGAGGAGGGCCCTAAAGGCCCAGGAATCTACAGCGTGTACCAGCGCCCATGGCGAATACCAGTGCCCCACCTGCGAGTCGTGCTGGTTGTAGCCGCTGAACTGAGGGGCGAACCGAGAGAGGCGGGCCTTGAAGGCTCTGGGGGCTACTGGGTCCCTTCCTGGCGCCCAAAGCTTGCGCAGGAGCTCCCCAAACGCTGTCGCCATCTCGCCCTGGTGTGGGGGGGAATGAGCAAGGAGGGGGGCGGAGGGCAGCATTTTTTAGGCGCCTCAAAAACCATCTCGCCCTGGTGTGGGCGGGAATGAGCAAGGAGGGGAGCGGAGGGCAGCAGATGAGGGAAGGGGGGGGGGGGGAGAGGGGAAGGGAGGGGGAGGGAGGAGAAAACGTCCGTGAAAGGCAGGAGTTGAACTCTTTGCAAGTGACGGGGATCCCTCCCTGACGCCCACAGCTTGCGCAGGAGCTCCCCAAACGCTGTTGCCATCTCGCCGTGGCGGGGGAGAGTGGAGGGAGGAAAGGAGAGGCGGGTGAAGAGGGGCGGGGGCGAGGATAAAGCGGTAAGATGGAGAATGAGGCGGAGAGGTGAACTAAGGCACTGGGAAAAAGAGAAGAAAATAAAGAACTGAAGAATACAACGACAACTACTGAAAAAAAAAAAAAAAAAAAAAAAAAAAAAAACTTCTTGGGATGTAGTTATGACATAGCCCACATGATCCCAGCGCCACACCCACCTCCATGCCCAGCGGGTTGCTTCTGTTGATCTCCCTCATGTAATCCGCCATAAAGTACTCCACTAGCGGCACTGTGTGCACGAGGCACTGCAAAGCACTGTTCATGAAGCACGTATTGCCAAGATTCACCAGCCCAGTCAACCCCACCGGCCCCCCGTGAATACCCTGGGACGCCCCTGCTCCTGCTCCTGCACTCGCTGTTGCCGCAGCTGCTGCTTTCGAACTTGAACTGCTACCAAACCCGAACCCGAACCTGAAACCGAACCCCGAGCCTGAGCCCGAGCCTTTCTTCTCCTCAGCGCTAGGCACGGGGACGATAGCCATGGATGAGGACGAGGCAGAGGGAGGGGGCGCAATTGTAAGCGAGATGCCAGAAATCCCCGAGATGCCAGACGTGGGTTTCTTAGCCGGGCCCACGTCCGCTGGGAAATCCGCTTTGAGCTTCCCTCTGACGTCACCGACACCGCCAGCCGCAGCAGCGTTGGCGTCAGCCCTACTTGGAGTCCCCAGCCCTAAAAACGTTGACCCAGCAGCATCACTAACTCCCCCTTCGCCCTCGTCTTCCCCCCCCGCCCCTTCTGCATCGGTCATTTCCCTAACAGGTGACCAGGTCGATCCCTCCGCCCCTCCTCCAGCCTCCTCCTCCCCGTCAGCAGTAGGGTTGGGAGGCCACGAGGTGATAAACAGTGCGCCAGGGGGGGGCGCAGGCGCGCTGCTGTAGTGGGACAGAGGACCCCCTGCTATGGAGACGCTAGGCACCGCAGCGGTAGGCTCGGCTCCCGAAGCTACAGCGGAGGTTGGGGCTGGAGAAGAGGTGTGGAAGGGCGAGGTGTTGGTAGGCTTGGCGGTGCGGGAGGGAGTGGAGGGGGAGGAGGGGGAGGAGGATTCCAAATGCACGGATTGGGCTGGCCACTGGCCGTTGTCCCCCACCTCCACAAGGATCTGAGAGGGGGAGGAGCAGGGCGATAGGGGAGAAGAGAGAATCGATTGACTCCGGACAGAGAAAAATTCACTAGAGGATAATCAATGGGCTGGCCACTGGCCGTTGTCCCCCACCTCCACCAGTATCTGACAGGGGGAGGGGCAAGAGGAGTGGGAGGGAAAACTTGACTTGAGGATTCTCAAGAATCTACTAAGGGTGCACACTAGTATCCGTCGCATGCCTTGGTTCTTTACAAACATGAGTGAGTGAGTGTGTGTATGTGTGTGTGTTTGTTTCCTGCGCTTTCCTTCCCTTGCTGCTCACCTGGTTGCCCATCTGCAGCTCCGCATCTTCTAGCGCCTGTCCCTCTCCACTCAACACCTTGTGGCGCTTGCCGCTACTGCACCTGGGCACACACCTATGCGCGAACTCGGGTGCACACGCACGTGCACATATAAGACGCCTCTCACCTGGTTGCCCATCTGTAGCTCCGCGTCTTCCAGCGCCTGCTCCCCATCGCTCAGCACCTTGTGGCGCTTGCCTGCATGAATGCACACGAGTGCCCCTGGACACGCATATGTGTGCGCTGCTCACCTGGTTGCCCATCTGCAGCTCAGCGTCTTCCAGCGCCTGCCTTTCGTCGCTCAGCACCTTGTGGCGCTTGCCCCCGTAATTGTCCCACACTCGCACCTGCTCACACACACACAGGGTCACACACACACTGAGTCACGCACACACCAGTTATGAGAAGGGGAGCCGCACTTGATTTGCTGGACGACGTACGCAAGGGTGACCTGACCTCCACATGAGGCAACCAGTGGCCACACGACATAACTATTTTGAGTCGACTCAAAAAACACCTGGCGACTGCCACACGACCCCCACATACATTTTCAAGCTGCAGCCCAAACAGTTCGCAGGCTCGGTGCCTGAGGGCCCCCACAGTCGCGCGCTTGCTGATAGTGACAGACTCCACACGGGGGGGCAGCGACGTGGCGGCAGAGACGCAGGAGAGCTCGAGGCACAGCGGGTACACCTCCACTGACAGCTCCTCCCGCCCCCCCATGTGCACCACGTGGCGCGATACCACTGGGCCCCCTCCATACCTGACCAGTGCATTCAAGGTTTGCCGAGGGTGTGAGGGGGAGAGGGAAAGAGGGAGGTGGGGGAGAGGGAAGGAGATGGGGAAGAGACACAAAACAGGGGAAGGTGGGGTGGAGGATGAGGGGAGGAGAGATAGAAGGGGCAGCGACGTGGAAGCAGAGACGCAGGAGAGCTCCAGGGAGTGCGGTCACACCTCCACTGATAGCTCCACCCTGCCCCCCATGCGCACCACGTGGCACGATACCACCGGCCCCCCTCTGTACCTTGAGAGAACAAGAAGGAGCAGCCGGATCACAGGAAGAGCGGGCCACAGGTGCAGGGAAAGGCGGCCACTGGGGCAGGGAGATGAGGTGCGGGGTTGTTGCATACGTTCCAACAAATAAACAGGCGCTCGACGCCAAACCTGTCTGTTTATAACGTCAGCGGACCACTCATCACCCCAGCACCGCTCACCACCACTCACCATGAGTGCAGCACGCGCCACACTGACTGCGGCACCAGCACACAGTCCCCCTCCTCCTGCAGCTCTAGGTCACCAACATGCCAGTGCAGTATACAGGACTTACCACCACTCACCACCGCTCACCACCACTCACCACGAGTGCAGCACGCGCCACACCGACTGCGGCACCAGCACATAGTCGCCCTCCTCCTGCAGCTCCAGCCGCAGGTGAGGCTCGGCACTGCCGAACCTGTCCTGCGCCTCCCGATCCACCAGGCTCGAGTTGTCTATGGGCGGCGGGCGCCCATTGACTTCCTGTGCCTCGTTCTCTGATTCTGAGTAGCCAGAGTATCTGGACCACGCCCGCCACCATCTGCACAGGTCAACGCGAGTCAACGCGAGTCACGCGAGTCAACGCGCGTACTGCTGCTGAATAGAGCCGTTCAAAGGAGCGTGCCAAACACGCTATGCTCCAATCTACATGTGAACATGATGAAGAAAACTTTCACACTCCTACCAAACTCCAAGCGAACCGTTAAAAACCTCAGAAAAACAAAAACATAAAATTCACGAGGACGAGGTTGCTTGCAAGTGTCTCCTTCCTTCATCCCCGCAACCGCCGTGCTCATCCGCTCCCTCACCCCCTTCGCCGCCTCTTTGCCCGAATTCGACGCGCCCCCAGATGCTATCGATCACACGCGTGGTGCTCTACTCTTCACGCGCATAAACTCGTACCTAGCGTCAACAAGGTTGTACGTGTCTCCCTCCTTCATCCCCGCGTCCGCCGTGTTCATCAGCTCCCTCACCACCTTGGCCTCCTCGTCCGCCGACGACGGCTGCACCAGCTGCAGCTTGCCTCTCCCTTCCATGCCTCTCCCCTCCAAGGACCCTATCACACTGCCACCACCGCCGCCTGGAGGCTGCGTGTCCATGGCGACTGGGTCGCTGGTCGCCTCCAGCGCTGGCATTCTCCGCCGGAGATTGACCAAGAATCAGGACGCCTGGAACACAGAGGGAGCAGGCAGGGACGTTATGAGTCTATTTTTGAGGCGCCTCAAAAGTTGGTCAGCGACTTGGATGGGAAATGGTAAAGTAGGCCGAGCGACAGCTGGATTTAGCATCGTGTCTCGATCAGGATTGTCTGATGCAGGTCGCATGCCTTATTCCTTGACTTACGGAAGAAACACTGTCGGCACCCATGGGGGTAGCCTCGTCACAAGGGTCGCTTATATCGCATGTCACATGCCAAAATGGTGATTACGCATCATCCGCACGAACCCTTGCACAAGTATACTGCCTGGATCGTTGACGATCAGACGCAGATGTGGAACCCAGAAACCCCAATCCAGCTTCACGCACAATGCGATCAGAGCCTGACAAGGGATAGCAACCAGAAAATCTAGATCCGCCGTTGAGTTTCTGGTTAATATTCCTTTTGTAGGTTATTGTGAAAAACGCTGCGTCGGATTCTTACCAGTCTTGAGCGCTCGGGAAAAGGTTAACGTCTCAGGTCATGTGTCGTTTTCAGAAGACTACCGGATCTCATCCACCGAAACCCGATCAGTTGCCATCAATGATGAATCCAAACTCACCAAGGACGACGTCAGTGGTCGGTTCTGTTGATGGTGAGGGTGGAATCGACAGTATAATTTCAAAGATGTAATGCAGAAAGGAGACTCGTCCAAAACGAGTGGATTGTGGGCAGAGCTTAGGGGGATCAGCTGCTTCTAAACACCACTCTGCTCCTCGATCGGATTACGCAACGCGCTCGATTAACAAAAAAACCCCATTAGTAGGCATGACCCGGTGAAACTAGAGGAGCCTTATGGTCAGGGTCATAACTTGGTACATAACTGAGGCGGGATTTTGATCATGTGATCGATCGGCCGGATCCCTCGGGATTCCTTCAAGTCTGCCTGCTCCTTGTCAGACAGCCTTGCACTATTTGTTCAGCCACAGGCTCGGATTCTGCTCAGGTGAGAAGCTTTCGCGAATTTGTTTCGCCAGGCGAAATGTCCGTCGTCGGCGTCTTGTTGGTGGTTGTTCTTGGCTGTACGCCATACCGAGCATGTATCCATGGTCGAGGTTCGTTTGGAAGTCCCAAGGAAGAATCGAGCGCCCCGATGACTTGGCGGGAAAAGACGGACAAATGGATATGCCACATCAGGTTCCCCAGAGCGTTGCTGAATACAGCTGTAGGGTCGCTGAGCTGGACAGAGGCTGCTTATGTCGAGCAGGCGCTACAATAAAAAAATGTACTCATCCATTACACAATGATGAGAAATACATTTTATATCACCAACAGCTTTCACGACACTGCATGAGTCAGGGGCTTGGCCTTACGCTTGTGGCCAAGGGCGTTCACCAGAGCACGTCGTGTGCACACAGGGAACATAATTGGTTTCACCAGGTTGAGCCGTCGGAGCGTGTAGCCAAAGCTAAGTTGATCGCGAGCAGTAAATCGGACCATCTCATTGAACCACAGGCACATGAACAGGTTCGTGGCTGCAGTGTGCTCTCTCACTATGATGGACGCCTCTGCCAGGGCTGGGGAAAGGGAAAGGACACACATGTCAGCTCAATGCTTCACGCCTTTCTAAGAAACAAAGGATCCAAAATCACCCAGACTCTACACATCAGCATAACAGAAATAAGCAGCCCATTTTTCCAAACCCTGCATCCTGCTTCCCCTCACCTTTCTTCCCGTTGAAGGTGGCATTAACCGGCAGCCCCTCAGTGCGATACTGGTTCAGCTGCACTGCAACCTCCTCCGGCTGCGCCTTGTGTTTCCTCACAATCGCCTCCCCCTCCGCGTAGATGCAGCTCCTAGCCCCGTGCTCCGAGATGGCAAACTCCGCCCGCGGCTGCTGCTGCCACAGCAGCACGTTGAGCACCCCGAGGGGGTCGCGGCGGAATTGGTACTTGGAGTCGACCCAGATGGAGAAGCGGGCACGGGGGAAGAGACGGTGAGCCAATATCTGTGAGAATGTGAATCGCACGGGACATGCGGGAGGGAAGTTGGTGTTGGAGGGCGAGGGGGGGGGTGGGTCGAGGAAGGGGTGGAGGACGTGAGTTGGGCAGTATGGAAGGTGGCCACTGTTGCATGTGGCTGCTGCCACCACAGCAAAATGTCGAGCACCCCGAGGGTGTCCTGATGGCATTGTTACTTGGAGTCGACCCAGATGGAGAAGCGGGCAAGGGGGAAGAGACGGTGAGCCAATATCTGTGGACGTGTGAATTGCTCGAGAGAAGCGGTAGGGCAGACTGCATAGGAGGGGGGAGGAAGGGGTAGAGGAAGGTGAGTTTGTATTGGACGGTGGCCGCTGTTACAACCCTTGGGAAAAAGTGGGAAAATATGATGTACAAAAAGGGAGGGGACCGGGGGGGGGGGGGAGGGGGTTGATGAGAGTAAAACTACAGAGATGCACCTTTGCGATGCTCTTACCTTTGGGATCTTCCCGTTTCTCCTTTGGTCCACAAATGGCAGGTCCTTTACAATCACAATGCGCCACAGCCCCACTCTCATGGTGGCTGGGTCCGGCACCACCCCTGCCTCCGCCTGCGCCGCTGCTGTCACGTCGTCCCAGAACGCCACGTAGCACACCTGCAGTCATGCCATGGTTACATGCAAGAAAAATAGGCAACGCTTGAGTCGACTCAGGAGTCATCTGCATGGGCCCGGCACCACGCCTGCCTCTGCCTGGGCTGTTGCTGTCACGTCGTCCGAGAACGCCACGTAGCAGACCTGCAGGCATGTGATGGATGCGAGTGGCAAACCCAGACGGGCTTTTTTTACAACGCACCACCACTGCCTCCACCTGCGCTGCTGCAGTCACGTCGTCCCCAAAACGCCACGTAGCAGACCTGCAGTCATGTGATGGATGCATGCAAGAGGCGATTTAGGACGAATGCAAGAGGCAATGCAGCATGGTATAGGGTACGCATGTTGCACATGGGCACCATTCAAATGGTCACATGGAGCCCGCACATGGAGAGCTTTTGAGGCGCCTAAAAAATGGAGCCCGCACATGGAGACTAGTTTTGAGGCGCCTCAAAACAAGAATGGAGCCCGCACATGGAGAATTTTGAGTCGACTAAAAAATCGACTCATTACACAAAAATGGAGCCCGCACATGGAGAATTCCCGAAAGCAGCAAGCCCCAGTTGCAAGCCAGCCACCCCCATGAGACATGCCCATGCCCATGGCCATGCCGCCCACGTGCTTCCCCATCCCCAGGCCCATCCCCAGGCCCCTGCCCATCCCCATGCCCATCCCCATGCCCATCCCCATGCCCATGCCCATGCCCATCCCAATGCCCATGCCCATGCCCATGCCCATGCCCACGCCCCTGCCCATGACCATGCCCAATGCCGATGTTAAAGTCAACACCAAAGTGGGACCCACCTCTTCTCCCCTTTCCCAGACCCACCACCCCAGCCCCCACCTTATCCAGGGACTCTTGCGTTATTCCAATCGGCTGCACCAGGATGTCACCTCCTCCAAATATCGCCGTCACCACCGTCACCTGGCACCGCTTCAGCCACCTCTGGTCCTTCTCGGCCACAGTAAACCCCGTGTTGGGCCCTGCAAACCCACAGTGCACCTCCATACTCCCGTGCACCCATAAGCTCTTCGCCCTCCCTTTCCCCCACAACCCATCCACCCAACCACCCAACCATCCACCCACGCACCTTATCCAGGGACTCTTGAGTCATTCCAATGGGCTGCACCAGGATGTCACCTCCCCCGAATATGGCCGTCACCACCGCCACCTGGCACCGCTTCAGCCACCTCTGGTCCTTCTCTGCCACAGTAAACCCCGTGTTGGGCCCCGCAAACCCACAGTGCACCTCCATACTCTCCTGCACCCGGAAGCTCTTGGCCCTCTCCCCCATGGTTTGCTTTCCCCAGAACATGTCCAGCTGGACGGTTCGTCCCAGCTGCCCCTGCCGGGCGCCTGCCGTGGTCTCGATCTCGATGGCGTCCTCGTCCATGTGATAGTAGCGAAGGCGCTTCACCACTGTGTCGGGCAGCGGCTCGGGCAGCTCGAGGTGAGAGAGCTCCGGCTCGGGCGGCAGAGGGAGGCAGGCTGGGCAGGCGAAGGGGAATCAGGAGGTGGGGGAATGGGGATTGAATGAGATGATGGGGTGGGGACAAAGTCAGAGAGGGATGGGAGGAAGGTGGAGCGACTAGGAGCCCAGAACATTCTTTTAACAGCGCTAGCGAAGCTTACATTGAAGGTTGAACTCGAATGCGACTCATAAGTTCCATAAACCCGCGTTCCAGTCTCCATAAACTACACGTATGTTGTTCAGGATTCTACATTTTCCTTCACCAAGACTCACGTTCCAGTTTCCCGTGCACTTTGTGCATGGGCATGTCCATGTTGTTCAGGTTCGACAGGTCCTGCTCCTTCCCCTTCTTCTTCCCTCCTCTCCCCTCACCACCTCCTTTTCCATCCTCCCCCCCACCGCCCGCCACCCCCCCAGCTCCTCCGCCTTCCGCTGCCTCTCCGCCATGCACGCCCCCCTCAGACGTGCCAGAAGCGAGGGTGACTGTAGCGGAGGCTGAGTGTGACGACGAGCTGCTGCTGTCGTCGTCATCGTCCTCATCTGGTCGCACAAACAGACAGTGACAGAAATACCGACGTACACACAGGCAGACATGGCCATTGTCCGTCATAAGACAGATGACGAGCTTTGGCAGACAACAGGTAGCAGGAAGCATGGTGGTGTCTTCCATACAAATTTCAGGCTCCATTTTCAACTCAGTCACTTCCCATCAACAAAAGACTTTCAACTTACCTCTTCCGGCTCCAGCACGGGATGACAGACGAAGTCTGGAGAGATAGCGCGAGAACCAGCCGATGTTGTTGTCGATGGCTGCCTGAATCTCCATCTCGTGCTGCCTCAGGATCTTCCTCAGCGACTGCTCTCTCACTGACGGGGAGGAGAGGAAGGGATGAGGACGAAGGCATGGTGTGGAGGGAGGCATAAGAGTGGATTGAGGCCGAAACGCGATGACTTTTGAGTCGACTCAAAAGAAGGGATGAGGACGAAGGCACGGAATCGAGGGAGGCATAAGAGTGGATTGAGGCCGAAACGCTTTCGACGAGAACCCGTAGATGAAGAACGTATAAGTGTAAAAGAGCTTTCTATGGGAAAAAACGAACACATGAAAAACATGGTAAACTCCAAGGAGCAGCCCTTCAAACTTAAACCGAAACGGCTTACGCTCTTCGAATTCTGTCTTCCGTTGTCTGTCGGCGAGCTTTCCGGCCTCCGAGATAAAGACGATCATAACGACGAAGAAAAGGAGGATAAAAAATCTGAGGCCGAAACGAAAGACGCCTCCCGAAGCCTTCTTCGTCGGCGTCCGCATCAACCCCATGGCACCGCGATGGTGAATTCGCCGCCTTCCCGGATTCAAACCCGCTACCATTCAAGAGGTTACGACTTCTCCGGTTGCAAAATGCCGAAGATAAACTGACGACGTTACGCACGCTTCATGATAACGGGAACTCAAGGCAAGTATCTGCGTAAGGACCGTGATAAAAACGTACCGGTTCCACAACAGAACCAGTCGACACGACAGCCAGCACTGGAAATGCGCTACGAAGTTCGGCTAATGAGACAATGTTATCTCATGTAACAAAGCGACGAAGCGGATCACACGGTCATTAGGTTGTTCAAGTTGTCAATGGCTGCGATTCAAAGTTGCCATGCCTGCTCGGAGACTACAAGGCTCGGAGAGTTGGAGAAGGCTTTGGCTGGTTGGAGACTTGGAGGTTTGCTGGACTGATTGTCAGCGTGAATGGATGCGACACAAATCCTCGCCTGACACCTCTCCTGTGTTGAGCCACACAGACATCTCGCGGTTTGGTTGCGATCTGTACCCTTTCAAAACAGCACGCGATAAGGAACTGCTTACCATTTTTTTCTCAATTCACAGCTCACGCCTAAACAGAATAAGAAACGGGAATAAGATGCAATGATCACTAGGTTGGTTGAACAAACATGTTATTCAGCTGTACTCGTCCTCTTCCTATGTTAAAACACAGATCTCATTATTTATATTCTTTTACAACCTCATTCCTCTTCGGTGTATGGGTGCCTTGGGGTTGGGGAAGTTCTTACACTTTCAAATACATTCTCAATACACTTCCAACTAACACCACATCACTCCAAGGTGGGTTCAGGCTTGTGCAGCATACAGATTTTTAATTGTCTCAACATCATCATAGCTTCCCAAGAAGATAGGGGATCTGTCATGGATCTTGGCTGGGATGAGCTCCATGGCCTGCAATTACAGGGGCGAGAAATGAGTTGCTGTATTGTACAAGTCCAAGCAGTGGACAGCAATCATCGTCATTGTACTTACACGTTGCTTCCCTGTGAAAGCCTGCCCCCCTGCTTGCTCAACCAAGAAAGACATGGGGAAAACTTCATACAACACCCTGCATGGTTGGAAAGGGCAAGATGCAGGTTAGCCATTTAGACCAACAAAAAATCTTACAATATACTCGAAGATAAAAATCATATTCTTACCGCAGCTTGCCATTGGGGCTCTTCTTATCAGCTGGGTACAAGAAAACTCCACCGTACAGAAGGGTTCGGTGGACATCTGCCACCATACTGTACAACAGAGAAGACATAGGATTTAAGGCAACAGATAATAGTAAGGCATGCAAAGTAGAGCACAGATACCCAGAGAAAGATGGCACTACAACACTTCCAGCCTCACCTTCCAATGTAGCGAAGGGAGCGGGGGGCTGAGCCATCGGTTGGGAACTTGCAGGATTCCACGAACCTGGGTACCAGCAACAGAAGTATGAGACACCAGTGATTCCCATTCGCGTCCAGAGTTCACTGACAAAGAAACCAAACTTGAAGGGCACTGTGTTTCACGTACTTCCTGGTTGGCTCGTCCCAATTCATGGCGTTCCCTTCATTCACGGAGTAAATCTTCCCCTTCTTGGGCATCTGCAATGCATATTGGGGAGGAGGGACCGGGGGAGGGGGGCGGTTTGTTACTTCACCTTTGACAGCCAAATCCTTTGATCAAGCAACAACAATCTATTCCGCCACTTGTGTAACTGCAACGATCAATGTCTGTACAGGTAGCTTACCTGAATGTCAGGGTGGGTGAGGATGAATTCTCCCAACGACGGATCCAGTGTGAACCCGTTAACTCCATGACCAGTGCTCAGCACAAGCTGCAAAGAACACACAGTAGAATAATGATGGGAGAGACTCAGGGCCGAAAGAGTGACCTGATTAGAAGATCATTGAATCCAGCGTGAACCCTATGCAATACGCCGAGGCAATCTCGTGATCCGTGGTCTTACCGTGCACGAGCTGCCGTACATGCAGTATCCTGCTGCCACCATCTTGGTTCCAGGCTGCAGCACATCTTCAATCGTGCCTTCAGGAATGACGCCGTCACTGTCTGCTTGGAGCATGTAGATGCCAAAGATCTGCATTGACAGACATGTGAGAAGAGAGTATGCACTGGTTATCCTAGTATGTGTGTCGAAGGCCAATAATGGCCAAATATGAGCAGGCTTGCACTTTCGGGGGATACCTTTTGCTGTTATGTTCATACGAAATCTTGTTGTTAGCCCTGTTTCTCTTGTTCGCACTTACTGTTCCAATAGATACGCCGCAGTCGATGTTGGACGATCCATCAAGCGGATCGAAGACCACAATATACCTGAAGACAGTTACACGCAGGATTAGTACCACAAGCAACAAGAAGAAAAAGCGGTGTGACGAGGCAGCATGGCTGACGAAAATTACCTTCCGCGGAGTCTCTTCTCGACAAAGATAGGATCTTCCAGCTCTTCTGAAACGAGAACGTTCTGCAAATGAGAGCACAGAACGCATTGTCAGTTTCGCATTCTAGACCCGCCATGGACTATCAAACACCTGCACAGTGACACGTACCGTTCGACCGCTGCTGACGAGGGCCTTGACGAACACGTCGTTGGAGAGGATGTCAAGCTTCTTCTGCTCCTCTCCTTGGACGTTTGTCTCGCCAGCCAAGCCGATAAGTTTTGCGAGGCCAGCCTGCAGTTGGAGGTACCGTCAGTCGTATCAGCAAGAGTTGGAGATAGCTAGGGATAAGAAATGTTTTTCGTCATACGACGTGAGTTCCGGGGTAGACTATGCACCTTGTTCACAGCAGAGCAGACGAACTTGCAGCCGAGAACAATGTGATTCAGCAGAATGGTGAGATCTCCGCGAGCTTCTGGGTGCTTCGACTGCTCGTTCAGCACGTGCCTGGTCAGTGTCATCAGGTCAGTCCTGGCAGCCTCAGAAGCGGGATCCATGGCTGGTTAGCGCCTGAAAGGGCGGCAAGGTGTCTGCTGATTGTAGAATTGGAGACTCTGGGGAATTGAGTCAAGAGAACTTGCCGATGTCAGGAAGAGCAAATTCAACCGAAGGTATCTGTGAGGAATGGTGTTCGCTGAAGCTGTAAGTTTGAGGATGCTTCAGGCGAAAAGGTTGTCAGTCAATTTACCAGATTGCCACGGTGGGCAAATGGTGACCTTCCCGCCAAGCCCGAATGGCCCACTTCCAAACGTTCTCCCCGTGCGAGCTCGCGATGGTTTCTTCGAAGCGACTCTAGCAGCCTCTGATGAATCCACGTGGCGTCGCACAAGATCTACGACGCCAGGTAGGCACTTTCAGACCAGTGATTTGGTTGTCGTGTGAGGGGGTAGTGGGGGGACCACAGCGCCACAAGGGAACTGGCAGTTTGGAGATCTCCCAGCCACAAGTGTGCGACACGCATCTCGCGCTTTGCCTGTAACGAATCTTTTCGGACGAGGTGAGGCTCCACTGAAACGGGACACTTTCATAAGTAAAACAAAACATAACGATGCAATTATCGACGTCACAAGTGTTTTTCAGGAAGTAGCCATAACCTGAAGAGTTACCCTAACTACACGTCAGCCAATCCCCTCCAATCTGGCTTCCACCACACTAACCATCGATGTCACCTCCCTAGATATTCTCCTTGCTCCCTCCATCCATCTCTCTTCTCAAAACCCATCTCCCCCTCTTCTCATTCCGCCATTTCCCAATTTCCCTCAGCTCAGGTCTTTGATAGGAGGGATCCTTCTGCTCCAGTGAAACCCTCTCACCGAGATTTTCGTCGGGAACCGAGATTTTACCGAGATCTAATTCAACCCACGCGGAAAGGATTATTATATTTTTATAAGCTGGCAGCTAATGGCTGATTATGGCCCGCAGCCAAGGCAGGCGAGGTAAGTCCAAACTTGTTATTATCCTCATTTTGGTTCCCCGTGCGTGCATTAAAGCTTATTCTTTTTCTTTCTTTCTTTCTTTTCTTTGCAGTGGATCTAAGCGGCCCGTTCCACTGGAAGACGGGAACTGGGTCTGCGAAGACTCAGCTTGCCTCAATGTTAACTACCCTCGTCGCACCGAGGTAACCCGACCTGCCATTTTCTTACACATTGATTTATCCGTAAAGCGCGGAAGTGCTACTTGTAAGAGTAAGAAACACGCAAGCAAATGGAAGGGTCTTTTGAGTCGACCATGTAACTCATGCTGATTTGTGTTGTTCACTGCAGTGCCATAAATGCGGGAGGCAGCGGGGAGCTGTGGGGGATACGATCGTGGCGGAATACAACAAGCGCATGAGAGGCCAGCGAACCGGGGACTCGGGTGGTTATGGTTACAGTCCCGGCAGAGTAAGTTACCTAAACAATACTAAGCAATTGGCCCGTGTTGCGTTTCAGGTTGTGGTCGCAGTTGTTCATATTGTTCAGTCCCTGGTAGTCCTTTCGTCGCATGGTTTTGTTATTCCTTGCGTCTTCTAGCCGTGATAGTTATCTGGTGGCTTGCGTAGTGGTCTGTCCATGCTCAAACTTATCCGGTTCGTGTTTATCGCCGCATTCCCTTAGACCCTGAACTTGGTGCTCGATGTGATGTGCTTGTGTCTGGTGGGTATCCCCGTGGTGCACCACCGCATTGATCTCCGCATTCGTTATCCGCCGGTTCAGGTGCAGGTACTGCAGCATGACCCCTACGCTGCAGCTGCGGCAGCTGGTTTTGGTGGTCCTGGTGGTGCTGGTGGTGCTGGTGCTGGCGGTGGTTTTGGTGGTGCTGGTGCTGGTGGTTTTGGTGCTGGTGCGACTCTTGCGTCCCAGTACTTTGTGGCTCCCGACCCCGGTTATGGTGCTGGTGCAGGCCGAAGGTCCACGCTTAGGTAAGTAATGGTGTTTAGGAATGCGTGCAGTTGTTTGTTTCAGACAGGCATCTGGCCGTCTTGTCGGTATGTTGCCAGTTTGTTTCCTCGTCGCAACTCTCGCGACGCTCGTATGACCTCGATGCCCGCACATTTCCATATTAAACCCCTGCCTTCACACTCATGATCCCGCGTCTGCATGCTCTCCTCACCTTCCCCTTGACCGTTTCTGTACGTCGGCCGCAGTGCGGCCGCCGAAGGCAAGCGGTTAGCGGAGCAGCTTGTAGCGAGCTTCGCCATGTCAGCAGACCCCATCGCTGACGCGGGCGAGTGCCTCGCCTCCGCCACGCTCTGGCTCCAGACCATGAAATCGCGCATGAACATCCCCGGGGCAGCCGGCGGCGGAGACCCTTCCGCGGGCGCCGCCGCCGCCGCGCACGCCGCCGCCAATAACGCCGCAATGGCGGCATACGGATACGGACCAGCGGGCCCTGCGGGAGGGGATCCGGGGGCAGGGATGGCGTATTACTACCAGCCTGCCGCGGGGGGGTATGTGCAAGTGGGTGGGATGCCTGCGTTTGCGGCCATGGCTGCTGCTGCGCCTGCGCCCCGGCCCCCGTCTGTGAAGCCCATCCCCGCTAATATCAGCTTCGAGGATTATAAGGATCGCCCCAGTGACTTCCTCAGGGTGAGTGCAGCGAGCTGCCTGGTCGTCGTACCGAGAGATTCGGCGCTAGCTAGGTGTGATAGTAACGGGGGCGATGAGGACAAACTCTTATGGCAAGTCAGCAGATATGCTGTCGTTGTGCCAACAAACACAAACTAATGAACTTCAGGCTGATGCCCCCTGCAGTCCCTCGTACCTTATCTCACCCTTTCTCTCTCTCTCTCTCTCTCTCTCTCTCTCTCTCTCTCTCTCTCTCTCTTACGCTTTAGTCGTCGCCTGTAGCTTCCCTGCCGTTCCTAAGGTGAGCTGTGCTTCGCTGTTGTTTCATATGTGTTCTCGTGTGATTCTTGGGCCATACGGTGTGGCGCCCGGCCCTGGCGAGGTGTGATTGTAACGGGGGCAGTGAGGATAATCTTTCATGGCAAGATATCAGATGGTCCTCTGGGCTTCTGTTGTCGGTGTGCCTTCAAACACAAACTAATGAACTTCAGGCTGACGCCCCCGCCAGCTCTCCCTTGCAGTTTACCCTCTGCAGTAGCTGTCTTACTTTACTTTCCAGGTGGTAGTAGTTCTCCTGCTGGCTATTTTCTAGGGCACAAGTGATGTGACACTACAAAAGGCAGGGAACCAAGTGTGCATGGATGGGTTGGGCTCTCACGAGCCCTCTCTGTCCATGTCACGGCTGCGGATGACAATGTAATCTGATGTGACTGATGTGCCCTCTAGGCTCTCGCCCTACCCTCAAGGCGGCATCCCTTTCTTGTTGGCTCCTATCCTGCCTGATCATGTGCATCCCATGCCATCCCATGCCATCCCATGCCATCCCATGCCCGTCATGTGTTTCAACCGTGCGGTGTTTTAAATCAAACCCTCGGCGTCTCCTTCAACACATTCCAGGAGTTTGGAGACCCGGCAGCACTGCAGTCGCAGCGGGGGCTGAACCACACGCGCCCCGTGGTGGGGGTGAACGGCAACTGGGAGTGCTCCTCGTGCCAAAACGTCAACTTCCCCCGACGCCACAGCTGCCACCAGTGCGGCACCAAGCGCAGCGACGAGGGCGAGGAGATCGTGCGCAACTATGTGAAGCAGCTTATAGAGGAGGCAAAGAAGCAGGCTGGGGTCTAGGTTTTGCCAGGATTGTGTATACTGCAGGTGGGTTTGGTGATGTTTGAATCAGTCTAGTTTGCCTGGCTTGATTTGAGGGCATCCCTAGTTGACATGCCTTGTATCCAAACTATTTGTATACTCTTGTACTGCATCATCTATCTGAAAGAAACTGATTTAGATATGGTACAGTGATAGGCAAAAGCGAGATGACAGCCGGGTCATGACTCATGACTACAGTATCATCACAAATCCATCAGCAGTATACACTTGCCAGTAGAAATTCCACGGTCATCTTTTAGACTACCTGCACACAGCTTCAATCTGGTCCTCGTCCTCAAGGTCCAGGTCAGCTGGTGTTGAATCACTCTTTAGCGCGTCCCCATCGAAGACAAACTTGAGCGAGCCCACTGGCACTCCTCCCTTGTTGGCGTATGCAACAAACAGCTTCTCTAGATTGTCACCCTGACAGAGGCAAGAAAGCGAGGAGAGGTGAAGGACAGGGAAGGGAACGATGGGGGGGGAATAGATGGGGAGAGGAAGCGATGGGCAAGGACATGGGAAGGGGGGGGGAGATATAAGGATGTAGGATTCCTGGTGGATAGGGAATCAGCAGGAGAAAAGACAAGGCATTTACAGTTGAATGTGGAATGTGTGCCTTCCCCTCCATCCCAACCAACACCCTTTCATACCTTCCCCAGTCGAAACATGTGCTCTCCAAGGCTCCCAGTCACCCTCAGCCGAATGCGCTCGCCCCCACCCTCCCCCCCTTGCTCCCCTGCCTCTCCCCCTCCTGCCAAATGCCTTCCATTCGCCTGCAATGCACCTGCATTCCCTGCAGCACTTGCACCTACACCTGCACCACTGGCAGCAGCACCATTCCCATGCCCTGCACCAGCACCATTGAAAGCTGCAAAACCTAATCCTTGGTGCGATGGTCCTTTGGTTCTGCTGGGAGTAGCTGCCACCCTGCTTAGTGCTGCTGCTGCTGCTCCTTCTTTCATTGCTGCTACAGCTGCTGGTGGACGTGGTGGTGATGCTACAGCTCTGAATGCTGCTACAACTGCTTGTGATGATACTACTGCTTCCGTCATTGCTGCCACAAGCTCTCTTTTCCTAGCTGCCCTGCTGCCTCCACCACTGCTCCTCCTCCTGCTGCCCCTTGATCTCCCAATGCCTGCTGCTGCTGCAGCTGCTGCTGCCAGTGCCGCCGCCGACGGTGCTACTACCGGTGTTGCTGCGGGTGCTGCAGCAGCGGGTGGTGCCACTGCTGCTGCTGCACCGCTGGCTCCGTCTAAGTGGCTGCCATTCCCGTTCTGACCACGAGTCCAGTCCGGCTGCTCTTGCTGCTGCTGCTCTTGTGAAGCCAAGTGGCATGCGGACATCACCTGTTCCCTCAGACCGTCCTCAGAAAGCTGCTCTCTCATGCGGGCCAGCTCCGCCTGCTGCTGCCTCACACGGCTGCAAGGAGAGAGCAGGGGAGAGGCGGAGAGATGGGGAGAGGGAGGGAGAGATATACTTTGCTTGCCCATTAATGCACGGACCGCTTGAGAGGAAGAGGGAGAAATAGCGTGGCACGAAGGTGGTGCTGCTTGAGTCGTATTGCTTCCTGATAGCTGCTCTCTCATACAGGCCAGCCCCGCCTGCTGCTCCCACTCCCTCTCCCCCTCAGGGTGTACTTTGAGTCAACTCAAACGACACACCAGCCACCACTCACCTCACTTCCCTTTGGTAGAGCTCCAGTTGAGGGTTGTCCGCGCCCTCTCCCACACCACCATCACTCCCTTCCCCCAACCAGTCATCCTCCCACTCCCTCCCCCCCTCTGCCTGCCCATGCGCGGCTGCATGGCCTGCCATGCCATGCATAGGGTGTGATTGAGGTGGATGGCATGAGGATGGTGCTGGGTACCCATGCTCAGCAGCTGCTTTTGCCTCGCTTGCCTTGACCGAGCCTCCACCCGAGCCTGGGTCAGGTTCGGAGGCGAGGAACGCGAGGGGCCCGTGGCGGTGAGCCTTGGATTGGTTCAGCAGGCGAAACCGGCTGAGAGCACTGCTTGCTGCTTCATCTGCTGTTGCTGCGCCTGCTGCTGCTGCTCCTGCTGCTGATTTATGGCTGGGGCTTAGCGGATTCTGATGAGGAGGGCTCATAGGTGCCCTGGGACTTAGCGGGTTGGGGCGAGGGTTGGTGGATGGGCCCGGGGAGAGGGGATTGCGGCTGAGAGGATTGTTGCTAGTACCTTCGAAGTCCTCCATCTCCTCATCATAGTTACCATCAGCACTCAGAATACCCACAGGCCTGCATGGCCGCACAGGACGTGGAGCAGGCACACGCAGCTTCCCATAGGTAAAAAGGTCCTCTATATCCTCATCATCCTCATCATCATCATCATCAGCAGCAGCAGCAGCAGCAGCAGCTGCTAAGTCACCCTTCCCTGCGGCATTAGCAGCCGCATCACCCTTCCCTGGCACGTCCTTTGCTGCTGCACCAATTGCTTGCGTACCCACATCCGCATAACCCTTAGCGTCACCCACGCTAGTATCACCTCCCCTTACATCACACCCCTTTGCACCGCCTCCCACCACTTCGACTGCTCCTCTCTCTGCCTTCACTCCTGAAACCGCCACTGTCACGGGACTGTTTCCTTCCGTAACCAATCGGTTACGAGCTTCCGTGCAAGTGCCAGTACTTGCCCGCGCAATCATTGGATTCTTCTGGCCCTGGCACCTCCCATTCTGTCTTAAGTCAGCAACCCCATTCAGAGCCTTTGAAACTGCAGCAGCAGCAGCAGCAGCAGGGGCAGCAGGAGCAGCAGGAGCAGCAGCAGGAGCAGCAGCAGCGGCAGCAGGAGCACGCGTCTCTGTGAGCCGTTCATCCCCCACCACTCCCACCCTTTCCTCTGCATCCTTCTCCTTCTGACTCTCCTCATTCTTCTCCTCCCCTCCCTCCACCTCATCCTCCTTATTGTCATCCTCGTCGTCACTGTCATCGATTACAATAACAGGAGCCTTGTTCTTTGCAGCAATGAAACCCTTCTTTGCTCCACGTTTGCTCTCCTCCCCCTTTGCGCCTCTCCTGCTCCTCCTCAGCCTTCCGCCACGCGGCCTAGCGTCACTGTCACTATCGTCGCTCAGTGTGATCACATTCACACCAGGCGGCCGAGCAGGGGCTAGCGAGCCTCGTCCAGCCACGTGATCAACGCCCTTCGGTACACGTGTCACGGATCCATTCGCTGCTGGTTTGCTAGACGTTCGCAAGGAAGAAGAGGCGATAGGAAAGGAATTGACGGCTGCTGCCGCGTCTGGAGCCGACAGATGCTTCTTTAGTGCCTCGGAAACGGCTGCGTCGGAAACAGGCGGATGCTTCAAGGAAGCCCCAGAAACGGTTGCTTCAGTAGCAGGCGACTGCCTCTTTGGCGCCTCAGAAACGGCTGCGTCTGAGACAGGCGAGTGTTTCTTAGACGCTTCGGAAGCGGCTGCGACAGAAGCAGGCGAGTCTTCTTTCGGTGCTTCACGAACGGCTGCATTTGAACCAGGCGAATGCCTCTTAGGAGCCCCAGAACCGGCTGCATCTGAAGCAGGCACCTGCTTCTTAGGAGCCTCAGAAAAAGCTGCATCTGAAACAGGCGAATGCTTCTTCGAAGGCTCGGAAACGGCTGCATCTGATGCATGCACACGCTTCTTTGGTTCCTCGGAAAAAGCTGCATCGGATGCAGGCGAGTAGAATTCCTCGTGTGGATCCACAGGTGAGTGAAACAGAGCCTTCTGAACCGGCTCGGATGCAGCAAACGCGTTCTTTGAACCATTTTCAGCCGGCGAATAGAACTGCTCCGCCGTATTAGAGCAGCGCAGAACCTCCTTACGTTGTGAATGATTCACGGAATCCCCGTCGTCAGAGCTGCTGCTGCTGAGAACCATTCTTACAGCGTCGCAACTCGCCGTGGCTCCATTCCCGCCTCTTCTCGCGTTGATAGTCGCGCCTCTGTTTTCACCTTTGCTTCCGCTTCTGCTTCTGGTGGTAACCCTGCTGGTGGTAACCCTATTGGTGGTAACCTCGTCAGGCACGCTGATCGCAGCCGAGCTCGCGCTGACGTCATCCTTCGCGACAGTCGGTTTTGTCGAATTCTTGGCACTATTCGTCGCCTTACGATTCCCCGCGTTTCTAGCAGTAGCAGTCGCATTCCCATTTTTCGAATTCGTCGCTACAGTCGCATTCGTTGCAGCAGTCGCCGAATTCGTCGCAGAAGCTCGTCTAGTCTGGCTGCTGTATCGCTGACTACCCACTTGTAAGCCGATAGACGGAGCTACCTGAGCCGAGGATTCTTGTTCGTTCGGGGATGCTCGGGTAACCCGCTTTCGCGTAGAGACGGAGTCGGACGGCTCCGTGGATGAGATAGAGACTAAGGATCGCTTACTTCTAGACCGCGTTTGCATGTTTGCTCGACCTAGCTACGAAGGCCGTGCACGTAAGACGTCAGGAATCAAGAAGGACTGCTAAATTAGTCAAACGAAGAGTACTTCTCGAGAACATAAATCCACCTGTCAACGGGATGAAATAGAAATATCTCCTTCAGAACTGATGGTCATCAGGCCAGGAATGATTCAGGAGGAAGCCATGGAAGGGAGGCAAAAACCAAGGCTGACACTTGCTGCTCTGCGCTGCGTTGCTGTCAGAAGGCTGAAACTTCGGGGAGGTTTTTCATGCTCACAGCCTCCAACTAACCAAGTACTAGAAGGGCCGTGCTCAGTATCAGCTTGTTTTTGCCACAGCCCAGAACAATCCGTAGGGGGATAAAGTTGACCGACACTGCTACTTATCGAGCTCGAGGTTGACAAGTGAGAACATCTCGATAATACGAGAGTTCAAGCTCAGTCATACTCGCAAAGAGCGCTTCATATCGGGATAAGCTTCACCCTCACTCACCCTTAGCTTGATGGTACAGAAAAGTCTGAAGTCAGACACATCTTAGCGCAACACTCATCCTATCATCCCGTTGGTCATTTATCACCAAAATTCGATGTAATATGTGATTAAAAAACCTTTATGAATTTAAAACCATAAAAAATTGCCACAAACCCTAAGTGTTTTAACTGCAAATGAAATAATGGTCTATAGGTTTTTGTTCTGCTATGAGGTGTTGATAATAACATAAGCGGTAAGCACAACTCCTTACACCGAGAATGTCTCTGGTTTCCGCAACGGGATTTGGGCCACCCCGTCGCATCAGCAACGCGACTTCCCAGCCACAGATTGGCGTGCCCCATGGTGTTGACCATTATGTCTGTCAGAGGCCTTTTACGTTGACCAATCAGCGAAGAGGAAGTCATGATCCAGCCAGCGACTGGCAGGCATGCCATGCCATGCCATGCGCTGGAATCTCCCGTCTGATCTGAACTATTGCGCCTAGGTCGAAGGAGCGTCAGTTCGGGAAGAGCAGAGGTATGGGGGTTCACAATTGGAACCGAGGATATCCCTCCGCCGTTCTGTAAGCCTATCCAACCGTATTTCACCACTCTGTGCTGTGCTGTCCTGGTGCAATCCCCCAAAAAAGCAGCAGAGAAACAGATGTGGAGGAACAAGAACAAGGCCAGATCCAGCAAAAACCTTCGTGCTCTACTCTACCCTCCCAGCAGTAATCTAGTCAAAAGCATCACAAGCCGCTCTTGTTCAGCACATCGGCTAGGAGTGTCCTTTTAGGAAGACGCATTGTCCTGATAAGCAAGAGCTGTTCGCGCGGAAATCGTCGCACAGCTTAGCAGCAGCGTTGTCGATTCGCGGAAGCGACCGCTAGCCCGCCAAGCGATTCGTTCCTTGAATCGGTCAGACTCGCTCGCACGGATCGGTCATTTAGGGCCAGATTCTCTGATGGGGAAGGCGTCTGGTGCAAAGCATAGGAACCACCGAGGCGGCGATAAGACCGAGAAGGAGTATGCGGGGGACCGAGAAGAGCCTGAATCAGCTGACGAGGGTTCAAGCGATAGCGACTACCTTTCGGAGTCGGAGGACGAAGGAACTGACGATTACAAGCGAGGTGGTTATCACCCCGTAAAGATCGGCGATTCGTTCAGGAATGGTCGGTACCGCGTGGTTAAGAAGCTCGGATGGGGTCACTTCTCGACCGTCTGGCTCGCATGGGATGAAACGGAGAAGGTACGGATGAAACGGATAACATGAGATGAAACGGAGAAGGGAAGGATGAAACGGATAAGGCGATGATGAAACGGAAGAGGTGAGGAGATCGAACGAACAAGTTGACGTGAATCGGTCATAAGGCGGATCAAGGGGAGAGGTTCAGCCTGGTTCAGCCTGGTTCAGTGCCTTCAATGCGGAGAGGTCACGTGCCTTTAAACGTGGAGAGGTCACGTTCCTAAATGCGGCGAACGGAAGGTCGATGTTTGCGATCCTATCCTCGCAATTCATGCACCTGTTCTCTGACATTGTGTTCTATTTCTAGGCCTGACCTAAATCTCGACCTCTTTTTCTCGGCAGTGGTTTTGTTCTCGATACTGTCGTCCTCGTTTTTCCCGTTGACGACTTTCGCATCCGTCGTTCGTGTGTTTCTGCAGCGCTACGTGGCTCTCAAGGTGCAGAAGAGTGCTTCGCACTATACCGAGTCAGCTCTTGACGAGATTCAGCTCCTCCGACAGGTATGGAAGACTAGGTATGGGAGATCAGGTATGGAAGTATAGGGAAGGGGAAACTAGGTCTGGGAAAGATATTTCAGAGGCACGATAGCGGAACGCATTGTCGACTACACATCTGCTACCGAGCTACCAAATCCGATCCTCTTCAACAAATGCTGCACACTCTTTGCACACTCATTACAATCTATCCACGAAGGCCTAAATTGTTCCCTTACCAGAAACCGATTCTTGTCTCCCCTCCCGCCTTTCCTCCAACGCCTCCTTCCCCCCCTCCCCCCCACGCTCCATATTACTGACAGTGACCCGAGGAACGAGAAATGCGTGGTTCGTCTGCTGGACCGTTTCCGCCACTCGTGTCCTCCTCTCCCATCCCATGTCAGTTCCGCCACTCCGCTATTCATGTCAGTTGGGTGATCATACCTCGTCTCCCATTTCCCCTCCCCCCTTCTCCTCCCCCTCCCCCTGTCAGGTTGCTGACAGCGACCCCAGAAATGACAAGTGCGTGGTTCGTCTGCTGGATCATTTCCGCCACTCGGGCCCGCACGGCTCGCACGTGTGCATGGTCTTCGAGTCCCTGGGGGAGAACCTCCTCTCGCTCATCCGCCGCTTTCGCTACCGCGGCCTGCCCGTCCCCGCCGTCAGGCAGCTCGCCAGACACATCCTCACGGGGCTGGACTACCTGCACCGGCAGCTGTCGATCATACATACGGACTTAAAGCCCGAGAATGTCTTGCTGGTGCGGTCGATTGATGATCAGCTGGGGATTGGGAGTGGTATGGAGGGGCCGCCGCCACCGCCGCCCCCGGCTCCCCCGAGGGAGGCGGGTGTGGGGGCGGGAGCTGGGGGAGGGGCGGGGAAAGGAGGGCGTGGGGGAGGAATAGGCGCGGGGGAAGGGGCAGCGGGAGCAGCGGGGGGAGGGGGGGCGCTGGAGTCCCCGGCGTCGTCGGGGCTGACGAAGAACCAGAGGAAGAAGCTCAAGAAGAAAGCCAAGAAGGCTGAAGCCGCCGCCGCTGCTGGTGGTGCTGGTGGTGTGACTGCTGGGGCGCAAGCGGGTGGAGGGGGAGGGGGAGGGGGGGGAGAGGCGGAAGCGGGGGCGGCGGATATGGAGGAGAGCGAGGGGGGGTCGAGAATGGAGGAGAGCAGCGCGGGGATGGTGGAGGGGGCGGCGGGGGGAGGCGCGGAGGGGGGAGGCGCGGATGGGATGTTGGAAGATACGGCAGAGAGTAGACCAACGAGAGGGAAGTCAGCAGTGGAGAAAGGGAGTGAGTCATCCGCGTTAGAAGCTGGCTTGGAAGAATACCTGGGGCTTGCAGGTAGTGGGAAGGCAGCAGGGCCAGGCACGGGGGTAGGGTCAGCGGCAGATGCAGGGGCAGCGCAAGGGGCCGAAACTGGAGCAGCAGCAGCAGCAGCAGTGACAGTGCCCGGAGAAGTGGCAGCATCGCTTGCAGTGGAACAGGGAGGGCAAGGAGGGCAAGGAGGGCGGGGAAGAGAGAAAGGGGAGTTCACGTCGACCAGTTCCATGGAGGAGTATCTCGGTCTCACTCACCTCGCTGCCTCGGTTGCTGGCACCAGCACTGGCCCGAGTGCAGTCGGTGCAGCAGCTGCTGGGGGTGATAGAAGAGGAGATGCTTCCTCTACGGGAGCGCAAGCCCCGACTGTGGCCACTGCAGCAGCAGCAGCAGCAGCAGGAATAGCTGCTGCTGGGGCGCCAGTAGCAGCAAGAAACGGGATGCAAGCAGTAAAACCAGCAGAGACTCCAGCAGCAGCGGCAGCAGCAGCAGAGGGAGCAGCAGCAGCGGAGGCAGCGGGGCGGAGGAAGCGGCCGGTGGATCTGACAGGGCTGGACCTGAGCTGCAAGATCGTGGACCTGGGGAATGCGTGCTGGACGTACAAGCAGGTGGGTGGCTGTAGCATATCGTGTAAACAGGGGTGCATGTAGCATGCAAGCATTTGTGGAAGTGACTATGAGTGGAAGGTGACCTGAGCTGCAAGATCGTGCACCTGGGGAATGCGTGCTGGACGTACATCTGGACGTACAAGCAGGTGGGCGTGCAAACACGGTGGGTGGCTGTAGTGCGCCAGCAGATGCGCGGCTATAACAGATGAGTGCCTGGTTGCCCTCAAAGTCTCTTAGTCGTGGCAAAAGCTCTGTGGCAAGGTGTTGCTAGGAATTTGAGGTGTCTGGAGCTATCCCTTGTCTTACTTCTTCCACTGTCCCACTGTCCCACGGTCCCACGGTCGCCCGTGTTCAATCACCAGTTCTCGAGTGGCATTCAGTCGCACCAGCATTTCGGCCACGGTGCTGCTGGGAGTTTGTTCCCCTCCTATCTTCTTCCCCTGACTCCTCGTGCCTCCTCCTGTTGCGCCCTCCCTCCCTTCCGACTTTTGAGGCGCTTCAAAAGTCCTATCTTCTTCCCCTGACTCCTCGTGCCTCCTCCTGTTGCGCCCTCCCTCCCTTCCGAAAACACGCCAGTTCACGAGTGACATCCAGACCCGCCAGTACCGCTGCCCCGAAGTGCTGCTGGGGTCGCGCTACTCCACGTCAGCAGACATGTGGTCGTTCGCATGCCTCATCTTTGAGCTCATCACTGGCGATGTGCTCTTTGACCCGCGCTCAGGCCACGACTTCGACCGGGATGAGGTAAGTGCTTTTGAGGGCTTTTGAGGCGCCTCATAAGTGCTTTTGAGGGCTTTTGAGGCGCCTCAAAAGTGCTTTTGAGGGCTTTTGAGGCGCCTCATAAGTGCTTTTGAGGGCTTTTGAGGCGCCTCAAAAGTGCTTTTGAGGGCTTTTGAGGCGCCTCATAAGTGCTTTTGAGGGCTTTTGAGGCGCCTCATAAGTGCTTTTGAGGGCTTTTGAGGCGCCTCAAAAGTGCTTTTGAGGGCTTTTGAGGCGCCTCATAAGTGCTTTTGAGGGCTTTTGAGGCGCCTCAAAAGTGCTTTTGAGGGCTTTTGAGGCGCCTCATAAGTGCTTTTGAGGGCTTTTGAGGCGCCTCGAAAGTGCTTTTGAGTGCTTTTGAGGTGCCACAAAAGCACCCTCAGGCCACGACTTCGACTAGGATGAGGTAAGAAGAGCATAAGCTTTTGGTGCGGCTCCTTTAAGCTTGACTTTGAGCTGATCGCCAGGGCACGACTTCGACCGGGATGAGGTAACCAATCGTATCCTTCCTTTTCCATGCAGTCGCTGTCCCTTCTCACTCTCACTGCCTGCCTCTCCCTCGCTCCTTCTCACTCTCTGCGTCTTCTTCTGCTCTGCGTTGCCTTGCCTGCGTCTGAATTGTGCAGGATCATTTGGCTCTAATGATGGAGCTTATTGGACGGATCCCAAAGAAGGTCAGGATCGATTCCGTCCCTTCCCCCATGGTCTCGTAACCCAAGTTCTCTTGACTTATGCGTGCTTATAACACACCTTCCCCTTTGTCTGCCTCAGTTTCATTTCCGGACCGCTTGCAGAACCGACTGCAATGACGTGTCATCCCTGCGATTGCATGCTGCTCCTACTTCACTGTTGCTCCGTTGCCCCATACTCCCTTCTCCTGTTCTTCCCGCCCACCCTCTCCATTCTTAACGGGCTCCCTCAACACTCTCTGCATCGTGCACGTCTCCCTGTTTGCCCCTCCCTCCCTCACATCCCTCCCCATTCTCCCCCCCATCCAGATCGCCCTAGGTGGCAAGTACTCGCGGGATTTCTTCTCCCGCAACGGCGAGCTGCGCCACATAAGGCGCCTCAAGTTCTGGCCGCTGGACCGCGTGCTGGTGGAGAAGTACGACTTCCCCCCTGCCGAGGCCGCGTCCCTATCCTCCTTCCTCACCCCCATGCTCGACTTCTCCCCCGAACGGAGAGCCACCGCACGCCAAGCCTTGACCCACCTCTGGCTCACCGAAACTGAACCAGAACGGCCGCTAGGCTTGGATACTGCCGGTGCTGCAGGCTTGGAAGCAGGGTTGGGTGTGAGTCGCGGGTGTGATGAGATGGACGACAAGCGGAAGCGGGGGGAGAGTGGGGAGAAGAGTGTTGGAATGAGAGGGGGAAAGGAGACGGGTGAGAGAAGGGGAGAGAATGGGGCTTGTGTGGAGGGGAAGGAGAAAATGAATGGGGTGGACGAGGGAGGGATGGGAGAGATAAGGGAACGGAGTGGGGGGAATCGAGGGGGGAACGGAGCAATGAATGGGGAAGGTGATGGTGCGGTTTCTGGGCAAAGAGGGGGGAAAGCAGCTGCGACAGCAACTCTAACATCACCATTAGCTCCTCCTGTGCCCTTGTCGGCATGATCTGAAATGAACGGGTATATTTAAGTTTTGGGTGTGAGCACATACCTCACAATTGCATTTCTCGAATGCATTCTCAATGCGTACCATTTTTTATGTGTGTGCATCCCTTAAGTCAAACGAACTACGATACTTGACCTTAGTTTTTATCATAAAGCAAATACAGTTCTGTATCGTAGTTCAGTGTTTTTCGGAGGCCCCTTGCAACTGGATGTGATCAGGAACTTTCGGCGAGAGGTCGCGATACCTTTTGCGATAGCTTTCGCCCAACATCCACAGCTTTTTGCTTGCCTATCACTAGCAAACCAGACCTAGTGTGGTAATCTCTTGCAGGTCCACTTATTGTAGGCTTCGTAGTTACAGTACTAGCTTCTTATTTTCTCTGGTGCTGCCGCTGAACCACCAGACCCGCTCTCTTCCTATTGCTGGTCTGCTACTACACTAACGACCTGGCCTAGCGAAGCGTGATTTTTGACAGTAGAAGTCTACCTTCATCCACTCCTCCCTGGCCAGTTCCAGCGTCGACCTTCCGTCAACTGACACCAGTTGAAGCTTGCTCACCGGACGGAAACCCGTCAGGCTCTCTCACATTCCGGCCTTTTTTTTTATTGTTCGTTATATCAGCCACGCTTCACCCAGTGTGATCCCAGTCACTCTCACGAAACCGAGTGTCAGCAACCATTAGCCTCAGGCAACACTAACCATCAGCGAAGCCCAACCGGATGGCTGCTTCTGGCGGTTTGCCGCTCAACCCATTTAACGGAATTAACGGAGCCTACCCTCTCCCTGACGGTCTCCGCGTTCGCCCGCCGGCAGCCCTCTCCTGCTCGCTCTCCCAAGGACTGTCGCTGTCGCTGCTCTCGTCACTGTCCGCCACGTGGCAGCACAGCAGGCACCGCCTTAGAGCCAGGTGAGGGTGGGCTCACGCCTGGTGGACTTTCGTCGAGTCACTCTGGCGATCAGGTTGAGTTTTCTGGTTGAGGGTTCATGCGTAGGTGACTGAAATTCTGGTTGAGTTTTCTGAAATTCGAAATTCATGCGTAGGCGACTGAAATTCGAAGACCGGAAACACTTTTTTCCATTACCGCTGCTTTTTCCTCTCCGTCTTCTCTGCAGCTCATCAGACGCATCTCAGCCGTTGGATGAGCCATCACAAAAGAAGGGTCAATCTGGGTCGTTGCTGGAGGTGGGTAGAAACGAGTTTTTTTACATTGCTAACATTGCTGACATTGCTGACATTGCTAACATTGCTGACATTGCTAACATTGCTAACATTGCTGACTGACATTGCTGACCTTGCTGACACTGCTAATATTGCTAACATTGCTGACATTGGTGACATTGGTGACATTGGTGACATTGCTAACATTGCTCACATTGCTCACCTCTCTGTCCCCCTTCCCAACTCCCCACCATCTTTCCCGTTTCCCCCGCCACACGAGAAACCCCTCAAGGCAACGCGCCTCAAAACCCCTGAAGGCAACGGTGACGGCGAGCAGGTTGGCCCTGACGGGCGACACCATAGCTTAGTTGGTGGAAGGAGATAGAGCCCCCTTCCCCCGTTCCGTTATCCCTTGTCCCCTGCACACAGCGGTTCCCTCTCAAGGCAGCGGAGGCTGCTTCGCCCTTGACTTGCCCCCCTTGACTTGTCCCCCTTGACTTTCCCCCCTTGACGTGCCCCTTATCCCCTTCCCTTGTCCCCTGCACGCACAGGTTCCCTCTCAAGGCAGCGGTGACGGCGAGCGGGTTGGCCCTGACAGGCGACACCATAGCTCAGCTGGTGGAGCGGTACAGGCGACGACAGCCAAGGCGACGGAGATCGAGGCCCCTTCCCCCTTGACTTGCCCTTTTTCCCTTCCCTTGTCCCCTGCACAGAAATTTCCCCTGAAAGCAGCAGTGACGGCGAGCGGACTAGCCCTCACGGGCGACACCATCGCGCAGCTGGTGGAGCGGTACAGGCGGCGACAGGCCAAGGAGACGGAGATCGAGGCCGCTTCGCCGTGCTGCAGGAAGAGAGTGAGTCGCCCTCGCCTTGACTGAGAAGGTGGTGGGTGCTTGTGGGTGGGTGCTTGTGGGTGGGTGCTTGCAGGTGGGTGCTTGTGGGTGGGTGCTTGTGGGTGGGTGCTTGCAGGTGGGTGCTTGTGGGTGGGTGCTTGCAGGTGGGTCGCTGATTCAGACATTTGGTTCAAAGCAGGTCAAGGAGAGAGAGGGGGATGAAGGTGGCTTGTCACGGCCTCCTATCCCATGGCTTCCTGCTCCACAGTCCGGCCTCTCATTAGCCCCCTCCCCATTCCCCCGACTCGCCCTCCCTCCTCCCTCCCCATAGGCTGCGAGGAGTAGCAGAGAAGGAGTTATGGCAGGCAGCACGGCTTCATCTGATCTCTGCAAATGGCTTCCTGCTCTGCCGCCCTGCCCCTTATATACTCCCCTTCCCCCCCCCCACTCTCTCCGTCTTTTGAGGCGCCTCAAAAATCGTCTTATATACTCCCCTTCCCCCCCCCCACTCTCTCCGTCCCCCTCTTCCCCCCCCCCCCCCAATCAGCTGGGGGGGTGCCAGACAAAGAGCTATGGCTGGCAGCACGATTGCCTCTTTCCCTAATAGCTCCCCCCCAACCCCCCCTCCCCCCAACCCCCCCTCCCCCCCCCTTCCCCCCCCCCCCCCCCCCCTCCTCCTCCTCTCTCCGCCCTCCTCATCAGCTGCGAGGAGTAGCGGACAAGGAGCTATGGCAGCACGATTTTGTCCGATCTCTGCGCATGGCGTCCTATGGCTTCCTGCTCTACGGCCCGGGCAGCTATGTCTGGTACCAGTGGCTCGACCGCCTGCTGCCTGCTCCCACGCTTACCAACTTTGTCCTTAAGGTGGGTCCTGTGGGGTCCGCCTGTGGTGGTCCCTGCGCATGGCGTCCTATGGCTTCCTGCATTCTGGCTCAGGCAGCTGCGCTGGTACCAGTGGCTCGACCGGCAGTTGCCCTCTCCCACACTAACCAACTTTGCTCTCAAGGCAAGGCTCCGTTTCTACTCGTCACTTTCGGCACCATTTGGAAGCCCCATTGTTTTCGCTTCGCATTTGGGGGCCCCATTGCTTCGCTTTGATTTTTTTTTTTTTTTTTTTTTTTGTTCCTCTCTCCACCGGCCCCCCTTCTGTTCCCTCGACCATCCTACCTCCCCCTTCCTGCCGCCTATGCCTGCAGGTGACGGCGAATCAGGTGGCACTCGGCCCGTGTGTGCTGCTGGTCGTGTTTGCATGGAACATGGCGTGGATGGGCAAGGCCAAGGACATCCCAGACAAGTACAGGCGGGACTTCTTTCCTTCTCTTGTCGATGGTAAGCCGTATATCCTGTACACGATAGGATTGGAGCGAAGGGCTGTCATTTAAAGCTTTGGTATACAATATGTACGATAGCTGCAGGAGGACTGGCTATCACCCTTCACCTCTCCTCTCCCCTGTCTGTCTGTGCACGCTCACTTTCCTTCCTTCCTCCACGTGCACCCTTTGCCCCTCCGCGGCTCCGCCCATCATCAGGGTGGAAGTTCTGGATTCCTGCTGCGAGCCTCAACTTCGCGTAAGCCTTATCTTTGCCCCAGCACTCGCTACCCAGCCCTTAATATGCCCCCCCCCCTCTTTATTATCTCCCCTGCACTCGCTACCCAGCCCTTAATGTGTTCCCCCCTATATTATCTCCCCTGCACTTGCTACCCGGCCCTTCACTCTTTATTATCTCCCCTGCACTCGCTACCCAACCCTTAATATGCCCCCCCCCCTTTATTATCTCCCCTGCACTCGCTACCCGGCACTTCATATGCCCCCCTCTTTATTATCTCCCCTGCGCTCGCCACACGGCTCGCTCGACTTTTGAGTGCCATCTAGCATACCATTCCCCTGCCCTTGTCCCAGCTCCACTTCCCTCCCTCTAATCATCGCAATGTGTGCCTCTTGCATGCAGCCATGCCTCCTCATGCATGCAGCCATGCCTCCTCTTGCATGCAGCCATGCCTCCTCGTGCATGCAGCCATGCCTCCTCGTGCATGCAGCCATGCCTTCCCCATCCAGTGTTTTTCTCCCCACCTGTCCTCACCTCTTGCCGACCCATTCTCCTGTCCATCCCCTTTACAGAGTTGTTCCGTTAGAGGCACGAGTGGCCTTCATGTCAGTGTGTGCCATCTTCTGGAACTTCTACCTCTCATCCTCTGTTGGCAAGGAAGCTGCTCGTGCTGCACCCAAACTCCCACCACCTGCTGCTCCTGCTGCTCCTGCTGCCCCTGCTGCTGCCGCTGCTGCTGGTTCCTAGATTTTGCAGGCAGCCACCAAATATGCAGAAAGCCTGCCACCTGAATGCCTACGAATCAACTTCTATCGCTGGTCTTCTGTTAGCAAGGAATCTGCACATGCTAAATCCAGAATCCCACCACCTGTTGCTGCCACGGCTCCTGCCCCTTCTGCGCCTGCTGCTCCTGCTGGTTAAAGGTTTTGGGTTCCAAGGTCTGGTTCGGTAACATTGCAATCACAACCCATGTGCAGTCAGTTTGTACCCTGGAAGCTCAGAAGTGTTCAGTTCCTCCTGACACCTTCAGTATGATGAGTTTTTCTCCTCCTGATGAAGTACAGTATGCTCGCACAGCATGCATTAGCCAGCATTGTGAAGCTATCATGCAATTTCTACATGTGTGAGTTGTACAAGGGGTGGCAGGTGATACCTTATCAGCTGTTGCAGATGCCTTGCAGTACGTTCCAGTGGTATTGAACCATAAGGTGGATACATGGTCTAGTAAAAAAAAAAACCGCAGTAATTCACTAGTATTTGCTGATGAAGACCCATCAGCTTTCATTCCGGGCAGTTTGCGGAACCAGTCATCTGACAAGGTATTGCTGCTGGGAATGCCTGCCTCCCCCCAATTGCTCTACCATGACTTCAATGTGGTCGTTGTCCTCAATGCCCAGCTGTTGTTACAGGAAAAAAGGAGCAGTAGTCAGATATACCATATGCACAATCAGCATGTGACATTGAAATCAGCAGTAGGAGAATGGATTGCAATCGACTCCACCATCTATGGAAAATGAACTAAACGGAAGCAATCTTTGCAACAACTCATACCTCGGCAGGAGTGTTGTCACCAAGCACGCGGTCGCTGCACGGTTCAAAATGATTCAAAGGGGAAGGCGGGGAAGGGTGGTTGAAACAAGGACAGCTGATGCAGCTGATGCTCGAGGGGAAGCTGAAATGGAGGAATAGAGCATAGGTCAACCCTGACTCAGTCTCTGCTTCCGTGCCAAAGGATATCGCCAGCTCTTCACACGCACAAACCAGCAATGAGATCGCCAAGGGACAAGATTTGGAGTGAAGGCTTTTTGTGAGTGGGTTAGAATACCTCATAGGTACTCACCCGTGGTACAGGATTTTTTAGTGACCAACTCTACTTGAAGTGGAGGGGGTTAGGGTACCTCATAGGAACTCACCCGTGGTACAGGAACCTCATAGTGTCCAGCTTGAACCCTTTTCTGTCACTGTACGCCTGGAATAACTGCAAGGGAGGAAGACGATGATGTGTATAAATATAATCGGTTCCCCATGGACAAGTTGAGTGGCGTGCTTGAGAGGACAAGCACGAAGGACGCATCCGTGCCAGGGACGAGCAGCTCATGATACCGTCAGCGTAACACAATGTCGCAAAACACTGTCCAGAAATGTGTCACAGAAAAGCATAAGGAGAATGCAGGCCCTGGAGACACATCATAACTCAGCGGCGACTGGCTGTCCGGCTTTGGTGTGCATGCCAGCAGAATGAAGGATCAATTTCTGGCCCTTACCTTGCTAAACTTTGTTTTTGGCTTTACTTTGAACGACACCTCCGTTCCGTCCTGTAAGGCACGCAGGGAGGAGGACGAAAAGAGGAAAGCCAGGCACACAGGGATACTCGACGTTGGAAAGAAATGGAGGCATACCCTGCTGAGAGGCAACAGAAGCTCGGCATTGATCTATCTCTCGACATTGCGTTAGCGAGATTTTGATGCGAGTTCGTTTGTCCCTCTCGTGAGCCACACCCACCTAGACGAAGGCTTTTACTGTGATTGCTTACACTTTTGCTCTGTTTCGAGGCGCTTCAAACCTAGACGAAGGCTTTTACCGTTATTGCTTCCACTTTCGCTTTGCTAGCTGTTCAAATAACTCACAAACGCTGGCAAAGTAGGCCATACTTTTGCAACCTCCTAGAAGAGAAAGCCATGCTTTTGCAATCTCCTGATCCATACGCACCTGAGCGACGACTTTTAGGGTGATTGCTTCCACTTTCGCTTGCTTCCCTTCGGCCATTGCGACTACGATCAGCGTAGGAGAGGCAAGAGCGAACTACTGAACGACGATCGTGCGACAAACTCAACGACGAGCCGTCTGACCAGGACAGAAAGACTATGCCACTATGTAGCCTTTCGCTCTCGTTGTCCTTATTCCGACAGCCTCAGACGTCGAGAGGTAGGAAGAATCAAGACTTTCCACCAGAAGATTTATCGTGCGACGCGAGAGAAACGTTTGGAAGGAGAAATAGGTTGAAAAGCGGGAACGGTATAATATAAAACGTAAGGTAAAGTTCAGTACAAGGTAATATTCGAGTGCTATGGGAAAGAAACCAGTACTATGGGAAAGAATCTGGTGCTATGGGAAAGCCAAATAGGAAGAGCAAGTAGGAGAGCCAGACAGGGAGCAGGAAGAGCAAGCCTTGGGAACTCACAACTCCAACGGATAAATGGATGCCACGAAGATTTCGGCCAGAATTTGAAGACTCAAAAAGTGAGAGTTCAGACCCGCTTGTGGCACTCTCGTGAAACGCAAAAACGCATCTCTCTACAGAAACACGCTGTTGTGAAGCAATCGTCGATTACAGGAAAACTGAAAATGGTCCTGTGCTCAGAAATAACGAGATGCTTTCCAGGCCCACCTCCACGTCATGCCACGTCTGACCAGACCTACCGGCGCAACCAATCAGCGCGCACCCCCCTCCCGCTCACCAGGGTACAGCCCTTCACAGCGCGCACGGCGGAAAGCTTCCTCCGCATTTCCTAGCTCGCGCATACTCCGCTGCGCGGAGCTGGGGGAACCTCCGCTCCACCTCTTCCAAACTTCCTCCGCATCCTCGCTCCAAGCTGTTTAGAACGGTTGAGTAGGGTTCGGAAGGAGAGCGATTGTTTGTGACGCGCCCGAAGCCTCTTAGTTAGTCGTGCAGCGATAGCCTATTGCACTGGTTGCCATACTATCGGCCGCCATCAGTTACCGGCTGCCCGTCTTCATCGCCGCCTCTCGCTTTCCGCCGTTAACTTCCGCCTTACTCCCAGCTTGCGCGACCAGCATCCACCAACTCACGTCCCATCGATCCATCGAGTGCCATCCGCACTTTCAATCACATCTCGCTTCAGTCACCTCTCGCTTTAGTCACATCTCGCGCAGTCCCACCTCGCTATAAGCACCCGAGCATGGCGGCGTCAGGCTTCACGCCGTGGTGGATGGGGAAGGCGGGGGAGGGCGAGGAGCAGAGCTGTCCCACGATGAACCGCCTCTTCGACCTCAGCCAGGGCCGCGAGTCGCCGCTGCCGCGCTGGACCAAAGCCGACATTGAAGCGTTCGCCAAGGAGGACCCGGTGCACGGCAACCAGGTGCGCTCCTCCCTTTAATCACATCTCGCTCTAGTCACGCCGTGGTGGATGAGGACGGCGGGGGGAAGGGGGGGGGGCTTCCCTGGGGGGGAGGGCGACTCTCCCCTCGCGGGAGGGCGAGGAGCAGAGCTGTCCCACCATGAACCGCCTCGTTGACCTCAGCCAGGGCCGCGAGTCGCCGCTGCCCCGCCGGACCAAAGCCGATATCGAGGCATTTTCTAAGGAGGACCCCGTTCACGGCAACCAGGTGCGCCTCGATTTAGTCACACCTCGCTTTAGTCTCCGGCAACCAGGTGCGGTGCTTGAAGAGAATCGCTTTCGCATTAGGTCCGACGGAACGCGGAGGTCTGCTCTTTGAGTCTACTCGGAAATAACCGACAGAAATAGGACTCGGAAATAACCGACAGAAATAGGACTCGGAAATAACCGACAGAAATAGGACTCGGAAATAAGCGACAGAAATAGGACTCGGAAATAGCTTGCTTCCCTGACGGATTGCACCTTTCGACCCCATGGATTCTCAGCCGCCGCCTGTTGGCGTTAGGGCTCCTTTCCAATCACCCCCGCATTCTCCCCTTCCCCACCTTCCCCCCTCCGCGCCCTCCTCTTCCCCACCTTCCCCCCTCCGCGCCCTCCTCTTCCCCGCCATCCCCCCTCCGCGCCCTCCCCCCCTCCCGCCTTCCCCCAGGTGCTTCTGTCGCGCCAGGCTTCGCTGATCGCGACTGGCGGAGCGGCGGTGGGCGGATTGGCGCTGGCTGCTTACAACTACCGCTACTCGCGGAGCATTGGGGGTGAGAGGGGGCGGAATGAGTGTGTGTGCATGAGGGGAGAGGGTGTGTGTGCATGAGAAGTGTGATATGATACACGTACGGCCTGTGTTGAGAGCTCTCTAAACAAGGCTTGATGTGATATTAGGCTGCCAAGCACTCTCCTTATCACCCCTCGTCTCTTCCCTTACCTTCCTCCAGGTGCGTTCCTCACCCTGATGGCGGGGGCGGTTACCAGCTGGGCTGGGCAGTGGCAGAGGAAGCAGCAAACACGTGATGTGATATAAGGCCAAGCACTCTCCTTATCACCCCTCTTTTTTTCCCTTACCTTCCTCCAGGTGCGTTCCTCACCCTGGTGGCGGGGGTGGTTACCAGCTGGGCTGGGCAGTGGCAGAGGAAGCAGCAAACAGGCGTTGTGATATAAGGCCAATTTTTTAGAATTCTAAAAAAAATTGCAGGATATTTTTGAGAATTCTAAAAAACACCCTGATGTGATATAAGGCCAAGCACTCTCCTTACCACCCTTCGTCTTTTCCCTTACCTTCCTCCAGGTGCTTTCCTCACCCTGGTCGTGGGCACAGTGACCAGCTGGGCAGTGTCAGAGGAGGCAGCGAACATTGGCCTTGGTCTCTATAAGTTCAGCCCTATGGATTCCAAATTCAAGTTCATTGAATGGTGGGCTGCCCAGCACCCTTCTTACCACCCCCCCTCCCCCCCCCCACCCCCCTCCTGTCCCTTCCCCTACCTCTGGTGCCGAACATTCCAGGTGCTTTCCTCACCCTCGTGGTGGGGGCAGTGACCAGCTGGGCTGTCTCAGAGGAGGCAGCCAACATTGGGCTGGGTCTTTATAAGTTCAGCCCCATGGACGCCAATTTCAAGTTCATCGACTGGTGGGCTGCCAAGCACCCTGAAGTCCCTGCTGCTGAAGTGACTAGCGCCTAAAGTATCGATATTATGTTACATGGATCTTTCAACATGCCTCCCTCCCTAAGATACGTGAAGTACAGTGCTGTTTATATGATGTAATCAAGCGATTGTATTAGGCATGCGGAAGTGTACAAACTGAGTGAATTTCCTACTGTATCATACAGTAAAACCCTTGCAGCTGCAGCTGAACCAGTCTCATGTTTGGGTGGGGCTCCTCAAGTGCGGTAGGTGACTGGCCCCTCTCCTCAAGTAGCCTTGTAACAGAACAACTATTCAGTATCATGTAGAGTGTCTACTGACAAGCAGACAAGTAGACAAGCAGGATCTTCTGTGTCTGGTCTGGTCTACTCGTACACACTCCAGGGTCGGACAAGAGCAGTGCTATGTGTCTACTACTGCAGGCTCGGTTGATGCTTCCTGCTCACTCCTGCGTGAGCTGCGTGAGCTGCCAGTGAGCGCACCCATTTTTGTGGTGCCTAAAAATAGGCAAGCTGGACCTACTGTGTCAGAGCTACTCTATGTACATAGAGGTACTCCTACTATGTACACCAGGCTCAGACGAGGTCACCAGTAGGTTTGGTTCGATCGATCCATGCTCGGGGCATCCACTCCTGCACAAGCCCACCAAGCATCCACACGACCTCACAACACTATACGTGTATCAAAGAGCACTTCCTACAGGGACCCCATCAAAGCCAGCCCCATCACTGCATGAATATGCGCAGTGCCGTGTTGTTTTGAGTCGACTCAAAATATGCGCAGTGCCGTGTTGTTCCTCTCATCGCTGTACTCGTACCCAAGTGCATCTGCCACTGACTTAAACTCCGCCTCCTCGTGAGGCAAAAGCTGCAGCCCCACCAAGACATGCGCCGTCACACCATCCTGTGAATGGAAGAATCGAAATATCGAAGAAGAAACGGGTAGAGAGTACCGAGTGAGTCCAGAGTCTGACTCACAGAGAGGCATCAGCTGCAGCCCCACCAGCACATGCGCCGTCACACCATCCTGTGATTGGATGGCTTGGCTTTAACCAGGGCTTTATTACCCCCGAGCTTACATAACATCCGACTAATTTCCAACCCTATCAGCCGCCCTTCCAGTGCGGAGGCAGTGGAAGAGAGTGACCTTCTCCCGGGAAGTGATGGGCTCCAGGACCTTCACCAGGGCTCCCTGTGCTCCCTGTGCTCCCTGTGCTCCCTGTGCTCCCTGTGCTCCCTGTGCTCCCTGTGCTCCCTGTGCTCCCTGTGCTCCCTGTGCTCACGGTGCTCACGGTGCCTGTCATGCGGTGCTTTACTAGGCCATTCACCTCGCGCCTTCAACAGACCGGCACTCACCGTGCGGCAGTAGTGGAAGAGAGTGGCGTGCCACCGGGAAGTGATGGGCTCCAGGACCTTCACCAGGGCGCCGGGCCTCTCAGGGAGGACGAAGTGGAAGAGAATCTCGTTGAGTTGGGAGGAACAGCCGCACACCTGGCGAGGGGGCGAGGAGAAGGAGACAAGAAATGCGCCACTTATGTCACGGTGTGCACATTCTTGAAAAAGGCACAAAAGTCGGAACTAGTTAACAGGCCAAAATCGCTCACGCGGCAAGAAACTCACAAAGTGGAACGCATGCGCTTTGTTTATATGTGAGTAAGTATCATCGCACCAGGTGTCTGTCTTGGGTGGTCCTCACCAGGTTATTCTTCGTCCAATTAACAGTTCGCATGTCGCCGCCCTCCTCGTCATCCTCATCGTCATCCTCCTCTTCATCCCCCCCATCATCCTCCTCCACATGCATTTCCCCTCTGCGTATGGAGAGATGGGCAGATATATTTTCTTGAGATTAAATTAGGTTCAAGTCTATGACGAAAATAATGACCCTCCCAAGTGGACTCCATAAGACCCTTTCAAATGTATTAGGTTTGAACAACCAGAGACTAGGGCAATAACCGAGCGTGCGGCCGAGCAGTAGGAGCGCCGGCAGAAAGGGAGGGCGGGAAACTTACACGTACTGGCAGGAAGGCACTTACTCGTGGAAAGCTCGAATGCAAGTCTGGCAGGGCCCCCCCGTCGCTTCATGACTTGAATGGAGTCGCAGTCTTTTATGCCACGCTGTAGGTGCAACGTAGGGGGGAATAGCATATAACCGGATGTTATTCGAATGCAGAATCAGCTTGTGAGACACTAAAACACGGTGCTGCAGAAAAGCTCCAACGGACTTCCTTATTTAGGGGAAAAAAGGGTATTGATTGACAACCCGTACCTCAGCAGGAGTCTGGTCTGGTCACCACGGAGGCGGCTTCTGCAGAATGGGAAACGTGAGCAAGGGAGGGAGGGAAGGGATGGCGAAAGAGAGATGATGCAGCTGAGGATTGAAAAGAGACGACAAGGGACGACAACCAGAGTAAAGGTACTCACCCATGGTATAAAAACCTCATGGAATCCAAATCGAGCCCTTTACTGTTGCAGTACAACTGAAATAACTGCACGACGGATAAGGGAGCACTTTTGAGGAGCCTCAAAAATCGAGCCCTTTATTGTCACAGTACAACTGAAATAACTGCACGACGGATAAGGGAGCAGGTCAATAGAGAAGCAATCGTAGCCGCATGGACAGTACTGTACTTCACGACAGAAGCATCTGTGGCATGGCCATACAGAGGAACATAAAGTTGAGACGTCACAATTGGCAGGAAACCGTAGTTAATCGGTGACGCTCAAGGACGGACGTTTATGGACGGAAGCCACCCTGGCATCTGTATCATGGACAAAGCACCTCTGGCCGTACAGATGATCATGGCCTCAGCAAAAAAATTGTGAGAGAGAGATAAGTAAGCTTGCAGGCCATGGGAACACGTGGTCTGCTTTTAAGTCGACTCAAAAGCAGGCCATGGGGACGCGTGGTCTGTCAGGTAGCCTTCGGGTTATGGTGCGCGTGAGAACAGAATGGAAGGTAAAGCTCGTCAGCCCTTACCTTGCTTAACCTCGTTCTTGGCTTGATTCTGAACGACTCTTTCTTCCATTCTGTAAGTCCAGCCGGGAGGAAGTCGACAGGAAGAAAGGCAAGCCAACAGGAAAAAATCGACCCTGGGAAGAATGCGAGGCGGAATAGTGAAGGGATTGACTGACGCTAGCCAGATTTCGTTGCGTTTGCAAGATTGTGATGCGTCCCTCTCGAGAGCCAAACACACCGGGGTGACAAGTTATAGGGTGATCATTGCTTCCTCTTTCACTTGCACCAAGTCGGCCATGGATCTCCGACCAGCGCACGAGGCACAAGTGTAGCGACGAGCCTGCTAACGGTGATCGAGTCGAGGACCAAGAAAGGCGGAGCTCTGAAATCGAACGAGGCAGAATCCATGATTCGACGAGGCGACACCAGGCAGTGAAAGCGAGCCTCGGCAACTCCAAGGGACCAAAGCATTGGAAATGTGGGTCCAACACGTGGGTTTCAGAATTCGGCATGTTCAGAATTTGAACATCCAGAAGGTGGGAGTTCATAGCCGCTTGTGGCAATCTCGCAAACGTGAACAATAATTTTCCTTTCCGAAACACGCTGCTGGAAATTGTCCACACAAAATACTATTCAGAATTGTTGTTAATGGTGCTAAAAAATGGCGGGATGCTTCTCTTGCCCATATCAGAACCGAGAACAGAGGTCCGAAATTGGACGATCATTAATCTAAATTGGTCATTTAGAGTAGCACAACAACGAACCGGCACACTGATAAGTATTCTGATGATGTGGTGCTTCTGAGCTTTCCCCTTTATAGCCTCGCTCACTGCATGAATATGCGCAGGGCCTTGTTGTTCCTCTCGTCACTGTACTCGTATCCAAGAGCATCTGCCACTGCCCTGAACTCCGCCTCCTCATGGGGCATCACCTGCAGCCCCACCAACACATGGGCTATCATCTCACCCTGGACATGCGACAGAAATGGCATGGGGAAATGCGGAGTGTATCGTGAATTGAGTTTAAAGTCCGCCTCGTCATGGGGCATTATGTGCAGCCCCACCAGCACGTGGGCTTTCATCTCACCCTGGAATTGATGTGGCAAGAAGGAAAAACATGGGAAGCTAGGGGAACAGGGAACATGGGGAGAAAGAGGAGGCGTGTATCATGAGTCAGCTCTACCCAAAACTCCGCCCCCTCACGGCGCATCACACCTGCAGCCTACCAGCCATGCGCAATCATCTCACCCTGGAAAGATGGAACCGAAGGGGAACATTGGGAGCAGTGAAAGAGTGAAAAAGGTGGAAAAAACTCACATTACAGAGAAAGGGTTACAGGAACTTGACCCCATCACTCACGTTGCTCATAGCTCTGATCTGACTCATTCACCAGACTCCATAATCAATGAACACTTGCCCTGCACTTTCAGCCAACACCCCACTCACCGTGCGGGTGATGTTCCACCGCAGGCTGATGGGTGCCCACTGTGCATGTCACCCCTGTAGATTCACCCTGAGTGCTACTAATGACTTGCCACCAAGCACCTTCAACAGACGCATTCTCACCGTGCGGCGGTAGTGGAAGAGAGTGATGTTCCACCGCGGGCTGATGGGGTCCAGGAACTTCACCAGGGCGCCGGGCCTCTCTGGGAACACAAAGCGGAAGAGAATCTCGTTGGGCAGCGAGGAGCGGCCGCCCACCAGGTGCCTGAGGTGGTCCTTGGCGAGGTCGTTGTCCGTCATGTCAACCGTGGGCATGTCGCCGCCCTCCAGGCGGGCGATCATGGCGGCTAGGTCCTCCTCGGTGTGCACACCCACACTGGAAGGAGAGGAAGGGAGAGAAAGAGATTGCGAAATGGTTGCTTGCGGTATTAAATGATGTCTCGAGAAGAGGAGAGTGATTGGTCTTGGGACGTGGTAAACCACGAAACCACGAATACAGACACTTGCGTGAAGTGGGGAGAGCACCAGGGACCAGCCGTCACTCACCTGTAGAGCACGTGAGCAGCGTCCGTGGAGCAAGAGCCTGTGCAAGAGCCGTCAAGCGGTACTTTGAACTCCATAATGTTCATGCCAGGGCAAGAGCCCCCCCAAGGTCATGGTATGTCGATTCAAAAGTCAACTTGGGGCCAGCACATACACGCTCAATGCCACCGCATGGCACGAGCCGCCCATCAGGAGCCCCAGCAGCCACCATATTCCCATCCGAGGTGACTTTTGAGTCGACTCAAAAGTCACCCCATCAGGAGCCCCACCAGCCACCATATTCCCATCCGAGGTGACTTTTGAGTCGACTCAAAAGTCACCCCATCAGGAGCCCCACCAGCAACCATATTCCCATCCAGCACGCACCTGTAGAGCACGTGAGCAGCGTCAGTGGAGCAGAAGCGGTACTTGAACTCGGTGATGTTCATTCCTGGGCCCACCTGGTGGGTGGTGAAGGGATGGGGGGATGGGGGGATGGTGGTACGGGGGGATGGGGGGATGGGGGGATGGTGGTATGGGGGGATGGGGGGATGGGGGGATGGTGGTATGGGGGGATGGGGGGACGGTGGGATGGTGGTATGGGGGGATGGGGGGACGGTGGGATGGTGAGCATGATTGCATGATGGGATGATAATTTCACCATGCCAATCACCAGAAGCGGTACTTGAATTGAACCCAGTGATGTTCGTGCCGGGGCCAGCCTGGTTAGGTGGTATGGGGATGGTGATGAGGGGGCAGGGAGGCAGGGGATGCCATCAATGATTGGATGATGCCGTTCATTCAACGATCATTCGAGGCGGTACTTGATCGGGTGTGTTTTGAGTCGACTCAAAATACTCCTGGATGATGCCGTTCATTCAACAATCATCAGAGGCGGCGGTACTCCATCTCTGAGATGTTCATCCCGGGGCACACTGGGTGACGGGAGGTGAACCAGAGGTGAACCAGAGGTGAACCAGAGGTGAACCAGAGGTGAACCAGAGGTGAACCAGAGGTGAACCAGAGGTGACGGGAGATGAACCAGAGGTGCCTGGTTCATGCCTGGCTCATGCCTGGTTCATGCCTGGCTCATGCCTGGCTCATGCCTGGCTCATGCCTGGCTCATGCCTGGTTCATGCCTGGCTCATGCCTGGCTCATGCCTGGCTCATGCCTGGCTCATGCCTGGCTCATGCCTGGCTCATGCCTGGTTCATGCCTGGCTCATGCCTGGCTCATGCCTGGCTCATGCCTGGCTCATGCCTGGTTCTCTGAGCACATTCAGCGATCTCTAAGCGGTGCTTGAACCCCGTAAACCAGAATGAGCCTAGCCTATTCAGATGTCCCTCACCTCCTCTTCCCTCACCTCCTCCCTCTTCCCTTTCCTCCTCTTCCACTCACCAGTTTCGCGAATTGCTTGAACGCTCCAGGAATCTCAGGCAGAGTGGTCGCCAGAACAGCCTCCCTCCTCGCCCCCAGATCAGCGAGCTCCGACACCAGCCTGAGCCGGTCGAAGTTCATGTTGGCCCCGCTGGTCACCGCCACCATCCCCTCGCCCCGCAGCCCGTAGTGGCGGCAGTACGCCTTCGCCCCTGCCAGGGCTAACGCCCCCGCCGGCTCCAGGATGGAGCGCGTGTCCTCAAACATGTCCTTGATGGCGGCACAGATCTCGTCCCTTGAGACCAGCACCACGCCGTCGATCAGCTGCTGGGACATGCGAAACGTTTCCTCGCCCACCATTCGGACAGCCACTCCATCCGCGAATGTGCCACAAGACGAGAGCTCGATGCGGCTGGGGGAAACGGTTGGGTGGTGGGGGAGAAAAGAGGCAGGAGGGGGGGAGGGGGGGGGGACATTCAATGTAGTGCTCGCGTGCCCGCTGGCTCCTGGATGGAGAGCGCGTCCTCAAACATGTCCTTGATGGCGGCGCAGGTCTCGTCTCGGGATACAAGGACAGATGCTGGCACCCCGTCGATCAGATGCTGGGACATGTGGAAAGTCGATTTGTGTGTAATGAGTCGATTTTTGGAATGTGAGTCGACTCAAAAATCGACTCATTACACTCGTCTCGGGATGTAAGAACCACCCCATCTATGAGCTGCTGGGACATGCGGAAAGTTTCTTCCCCCACCATTCAAACGGCCACCCCGTCTGCAAAGGTACCACACGAGGAGAGCTCTATGCGGCTGGTAGAAAGGAGTCGGGTGGAGAAGAAGAGAGGGGGGAGGGGGAGCACGTTCAATGCATTGCTCCTGAAGGAGGCTCCAGGATGGAGCGCGTATCCTCAAACTTGTCCTTGATGGCGGCACTGATGGTGGACGGCGGACGGCAGACGGTGGACGGAGGACGGAGGACGGAGGACGGTGGGCGGAGGACGGAGGACGAAGGACGGTGGACGGAGGACGGTGGATGGTGGACGGTGGACGGCGGACGGCGGACGGTGGACGGCGGACGGAGGACGGTGGACGGAGGACGGTGGGCGGTGGATGGTGGACGGAGGAGGGTGGACGGTGGACGGAGGACGGTGGACGGAGGACGGTGGACGGTGGACGGTGGACGGAGGGCGGTGGGCGGTGGATGGTGGACGGTGGACGGTGGGCGGTGGACGGTGGACGGTGGACGGTGGACGGTGGACGGTGGACGGTGGACGGTGGATGGTGGACGAAGGACGGTGGACGGTGGACAGCGGATGGCGGATGGCGGACGGCGGACGGTGGATGGTGGATGGTGGACGGTCGACGCCATGGCATTGGCATCAGCTGAGTCTCAAGTGGATTGAAACGCAAACTTGTGACCTTGTATAGAAAGGTCTATTTTCTAGCGGTCTAAAAAATGGACTCCTAACGCAGACCTGCTACCTCGTATTTGAAGGGGATGGAGAGCTGAGGGCTTACCGGCCATGGTACCGGCCATGGTACCGGCCATGGTACCGACTTTTGAGTCACCGGGCTTACCGGCCATGGTAGAGAGACAGCGCCATGGCATTGGCGTCAGCAGGCTCCACTCCTATCACCCGCACCTGACGCACACACAAGGGAGGGGAAGGGTGGGAGAGGGGGTTAGAAGCACATATGCACATCAGGAGTGCTATGGTTTGGAAAAAGCGCCCTGGCATAGGCATCAGCAGGCTCCACTCCTATCACCCGCACCTCATGCATGCACAAGGGAGGGTGGGGAGCGGAGGGAGAGGGGGTTCAGGTAGGGGGGTTGGGGCGAAGGAAGGAGTGTTATTCAACACATGTTTGAAACAGGCCATGTGCACGTGGGGAGGGCCAAAGCAGAGCCACGGCAAAACCATCACCGCATTTCACTGCATCTCACCTCTGGTTGCAGGGCCTTGATGTAAGCAGCAATCCCCGCAATGAGCCCGCCACCCCCCACCGGCACAAACACAGCGTGCAAACTCGAGGGATCCACGGGACAAAGCATGCCCTCCCCTGCTGCTGCTGCTGCTGCTGCTGCTGCTTCTGATAATGATGACGATGATAAAAGGGCGGGTGAGGGGGTTGGGGGGGGAGGGAAGAAGGGGGAGGAGTGCGAGACGGCAGCCAGAGCCGCTGTCAGGGACAGCTGCTCTGAAGCTTCACTTGATAATAACGAGGATGTTGCTGCCGATGACAACGAAGCAGCTGATGCTGATGGTGATGCTGGTGATGGTAACACTGCTGCTGCTGCTCCTCCTGCTGCTGAGCCATTCGCCGCTCCATTCCCATTCCCACCCACATGCCCCTCCCGCTCATCCTCCGACGAAGAAGAGTCCAAGAATCGCCACTGGCCTGCGCCGCCCCCGCACCCGCCCGTGCGGTCACACGTGCTCCACTGGCGGAGAATCTCCATGCCCACAGTGCCCTGCCCTGCTATCACCAGCTCGTGGTCAAAGGGCGGGATGAACACCCGGCCCTCTTCCTCTGCCCTCCGCTTGGCGTACGCCTGAGACAAGAGGGGGTTGGGGGGCGGAAGGAAGAGTGAGAGTAAGAGGGGAGCGGGAGGGAGGGTCGCGCGTGCTCCACTGGCGGAGCATCTCCATGTCCACCGTGCCCTGCCCCGCTACCACCAGCTCGTGGTCAAAGGGCGGGACGAAGACTCGACCCTCTTCTTCTGCTCTCCGCTTTGCATCGGCCTGGAGGTGCGGGGCGTAAGGGGAGAATGAGAGGGGAGGCGAGGGTGAAGAGGGATGGTCACACATGCTCCACTGGTGGAGTATCTCCAGTCCCACTAATTTGACTTTCACCCGCAACACCACCTCTCCTCCCTTTCGAGAGTTCTCACCTGCGTCTCGTCGTAAGAATCCCCCACCAGAACCACCTCGCCCCCCAGTCGCTGCACTGCGCGCCACTTGATCTCGGGTGTTGTCACAGGCATGGCCACTATGGCGCTGCATGAAACCACATAGAGGGGGGCATGCAGAGGGGCATGCAGAGGGGCATGCAGAGGGGCATGCAGAGGGGCCCACATGAAGGGTCGCACACGCATGAGAAGGCATGGAGACCAGCACTGGGGTGAAAGGCCAAAGCACTGTGTACCAGTCCCACACCAGCACCACCTCGCCCCCCGTCCGCTGCACTCTGCGCCGCTTGATCCCTGGGTGGTCACAGGCATGGCTACTATGGCACTGCGTACAGTCACATGAGCACACGATCACATGCACACACAGTCACATGCACACACAGTCAAAAACAGGCGGACCAGCAATCATGAACAAAAAATTTAGCTGGAGCAACCGAGGAGTCGCCTGGAGGTGGCACCTGGAGCACCTGAGGAGTCACCTGGAGCACCTGAGGAGTCACCTGGAGCACCTGAGAGGCAGCACCTGCATGGATGCCAACGGGCCACCTGGGGCACCTGGAAACCACCTGAGTCCTCACCTGGAGTGAAGCCTGGAGGCAGAGAGCGCCGCTCCCCTGAGCGTGGTTACCAGCAAACGAGCAGACGACGCCCATTTGAAGAGCCTGGTTCACACCTGGAGCACCTGAGGAATCACCTGCAGTGAAGCCTGGACGCTGAGAGTGCAACGCCCTGCGCGTGGTTGCCAGCGGACGAGCAGATGACGCCCTTGGCCAGCTGCCGCTGAGTTAAGTGCGCCATCATGTTGTAGGCGCCGCGCAGCTTGAAGGAGAAGACCTGGCAGTAACGCAAGGACGGGAATGGTAGGGGAATGGGCTAAGGAGTAGAACACGTCCCTGCCAAGCGGCCGCTGTGATAGGTGCACCATCATGTTGTAGCTAGGTGCACCATCATGTTGCAGCTAGGTGCACCATCATGACTTTTGAGTGGACTCAAAAGCCATCATGTTGTGCAGAATGGCGTGGCGCAGCTTGAAGGAAAACACCTGAGGGAGGGCTGGAAACCACCTGAGGGAGGGCTGGAAACCACCTGAGGGAGGGCTGGAAACCACCTGAGGGAGGGCTGGAAACCACCTGAGGGAGGGCTGGAAACCACCTGAGGGAGGGCTGGAAACCACCTGAGGGAGGGCTGGAAACCACCTGAGGGAGGGCTGGAAACCACCTGAGGGAGGGCTGGAAAACACCTGAGGGAGGGCTGGAAACCACCTGAGGGAGGGCTGGAAAACACCTGAGGGAGGGCTGGAAACCACCTGAGGGAGGGCTGGAAACCACCTGAGGGAGGGCTGGAAAACACCTGAGGGAGGGCTGGAAAACACCTGAGGGAGGGCTGGAAACCACCTGAGGGAGGGCTGGAAAACACCTGAGGGAGGGCTGGGAGAGTAGTTTTGAGGCGCCTCAAAACTAGGCGCGGCGCAGCTTGAAGGAAAACACCTGAGGGAGGGCTGGGAGAGGTGTGGAAGGATGCTGTGCCATGCCAAGGAGAAGGAGGCGAGGTTGGGGGCCAAGGAAGGAGAGCAGACGTCTGAAGGGATCTCGAATTGAAGTATACATGTAACATATCGTCTAAAGGGAGGTAGGCATACCGGCTGGGTGTCCTCCCTCTTGAGGAGTGCCCGGTTGCCGATTCCTCACACAGCCTCTCTTGCACAGCCTCTCTCGCGCAGCCTCTCTCGCGCAGCCTCTCTCGCGCGGCCTCTCTCGCGCGGCCTCTCTCTCTCATCATCTCTCATCCAAACGTCTAAATGAAACTCTCCCTGGGGAATACCTGCTGGGGGTGGTGAGGTAGACATACCGGCTGTGTGTCCTCCCGCTTGAGGAATATCCGGTTGCCGATCCTCTCGCTCAGCCTCGCTCACCCTCTCTCGTTCAACCCGCCTCAGTCAAACGTCCTTCTAGTGAACCGAACCTACCGGCTGGGTGTCCTCCCGCTTCAGGAATATCCGGTTGCCGATCCTCTCGCTCAGCTTCGGCGCGAACTCCAGCGCGCTCTCAATCGCCACGTCATACACCCGCGATCTCAGGATCTGCCGCAGGTACGCGTCCTTATCCACCGCCACGTCACCCGCCACGTGTCCCTCGGGATCCAGCGGCAGAGAGTTGTTATCCCCGAACCCCCCCAAGAACCCCGACGGGTAGGTCAGGGACTCGGGGGAAACTTTCATCAGCGCGGGGGGCTGCGCCTGGTGCGCGGGCTGCGCCGACTGCGCCGACTGCGCCGACTGCGCCGACTGCGCCGACTGCGCCGACTGGGCCTGGAGCTGTTCCCACTGCGCCGCTAGATCCGCGCCGCTGGGAAGCGCGGCGCGTTCAGCGGTTTCGACGGCAGTGGCGGCAGCGCGCGCAACGGCGGCGGCGCCGGGGGAATCTGCTTCAAACGTGGCGGCTTCCGCTGCGCCGTCGGGGAGGATGGCGCATGTGGGGGGAGGGGAGGATTTGTCGGCGTCCGCGCGCTTGCTGTGACGTGCGAATACGCGATAACTTGACCGTTGATTAGATTTAAGGAGTGATCCGGACCGTCCCCAGCAGAAACGGCCTGGAAGATTCGCGGACATTCCACTGCTGGAAGGTAAGGATCCGCCAAGGAAGGTTCGTGAGGGAAAGCACGAAACGTCCTGCCTGGCGCTCGGTGCTGCTACGGGAGACGAAGAATCGCGAGCTGTGGTTACTACAAGTCGCTCGTTTCGCACAGACTTGCTGCGAGAAGCTTCGAGGGACCGCTTTAGCGAGATTCCGTGCCGAAACGAATCGACGAAACGCATCGTTTCGCCAGAGGGGAAGCCGAGGCATGAGACCCCGTTAGCAGCACCTGCCTGCTCGGATTTACTCTCTGCTACTTGGCCCAACTGCATATGCACGCGAATGGCGGACGCCATAACCAGAACCGAATAAAGATATAACCTTTCTGCTACAGATTCCGGTGCATGCGCGAACCGCCACCGACCGTCGAGGCTGGAACTCTAGCAGTGGAGTTCTAGCTTTCCTGCGACTGGCTAGTTGCAAAGATACCTCTTGGAGAACTCGAAAAGAGATGGGCACAGTAGCAGCGGCGAAAATATAAGTGCAGCAACAGATGGTGATTGATGACGTGATTGCGGTGTTGAGTGGTTTGGTTGGTTTGAGTAGATTTGGGTTGGGTTGGGACCTCGGAGATTGCAGGGCGGCGGAGAAAGCAGGGAGGAGGGGGGAAACGGGAAACCGATTCTCTCAAGCCCTGCTCGGCGCAGTTCCGCACTTGCCCTGCGCCCCATGTCTGCTTCTGGGGAGGGGGGAGTGGTTGGGGACTCTGCGGTGTCTGGTTTTGATTTGCGGAAGGTCCCGATGGTTGTGGCGGATTGGCTGCCGCTGCCGCGGGAGGCATGCGCTGCGCGTGCTGTCAGGAGGAACTGCGGCACTGTCCGTGATCATCCTGAAGAGCGCTGAGGGGGAAAGGGGGAAGGGCGCCGAGGTTTGGGAAAGTGCCTGATGGGGAATGAGTGCTTCATGACGTCACAAGTATTGGATACAAACCGATATTGTTATGGCGTGATGTTCTCAGCATCTGCCAACTGTTTTCTTTGCAATCTGATGCCACTTATTGCATGCTATACAAAAGCAGCTTGGTTCTTAGAGAAAGAAAGTCCTAAACCAACTGCATGCTGAACCATGGTATTTTTAGAAGAGAATTACCGTTGGATTCCAATCTAACATCGTTAATAATGTACAGCTACTTGCACGAATGAGCTTCCACATCTGATCGGAGAATCTGGAACAGGTGACTTCGAATAACCCACAACTCCACGAGCAGACAGAGAAGCCTTCCAATACCAAGAATCAGCCCCACCGGACGAGAGGCCAACGGCAAAAGAACACCTATCCCCAGCTTGTGCAACAGAGGCTGGCTTTGCATGTATGTTGCGTGTGAGGGCGAGAGGAGAGGGGAGAGTAATTGATGTCGAAGAAAGAGCCAGAGAGGGAGGAAGTGCAGACCTGCAATAGCAATTACTCCAACAGGGCTGTGATTGGTCAGGGAAGGATGGGGACAAACGGAAAAAGTGGAGGAGAGAGGTAGCGGTGTGAGGTGGGCGACAATGCTATACACACACCATTGGGGCAAAAAAAGACCCATCATACTCCCCATCAAACGGCCCACCCACAGTGCGGCCCCATCATGCACACCTCTTGAACCCGTTCCGCATGACAAGGGACACCAGCATCGGCGTGTCGTTCCTGCCACCCCACACGTCCTTCCAGTTTGGCCTGGGTCGCCTTTCACTAGCAGCTGGCTCCTGCCCCTCTCCCCCCCCTGACTCGCTCTCCTCGACTTTCCCCTGCTGGTCATTGTCTCCTAGCCCCTCCGCCTCCTCCTCGTGCCCTTGCTTCGGCCCTCTCTCCCCTCTCTCCCCTCTCTCCCCTCTCTCCCCTCTCTCCCCTCTCTCCCCTCTCTCCCCTCTCTCCCCTCTCTCCCCTATCTCCCCTCTCTCCCCTCCCTTGACCCCTTCTACCTCTGTTGTGACCCTGCCACTGCCCCGCGCGCTGCCCTGCGTGCTGCCCTGCGTGCTGCCCTGTGCACTGGCATGGGAGCATGTGAATGTGAACCATTCAACACAAGGTATGAGGACGGCGGCTAATCGAATGAGCCTCGCACTGTTGCTGCTCATGCCCAGCGCGACACTGTTCATGGCAGCCGCCCACATGGCGGTGCGCAGTGCGTTGTCCACAGCAACGTCCAGGATCGCACCAAAGGCCGACACCTGGCGCAGGCGGCGAGCCACGATGCCATCCACACCATCCAATGCCATGTTGATCACGTAGAGGAAAGCGCACAGCAGAGGCATGGTCATGGCGTAGGTTGTTGACTGCAGTGGGAGGCTGCTAGGAGGAGGGGTTGAGGGGGGAAGGACGAGGAGGAGGAGGACGAGGAGGGCGAACCTCAGGTACCCAATGATGTTAGGCCAGAACAGCAGGATGCGGACCATTCCCTGCCCGCCACGTGTCCTGGAGGCGCTGCCGCCACTCATTCTATCTCCAGGCGAAGCGTTGTTGCTTCTGTCGCTGCCTCCACTGCCGTAGACACTACTGCTGTCTCTGTCACTGCTGTCACTGCTACCGCTATTGGTGCTATCAGCGCGATCAGTGCGATCAGTTTTATTGTCATGGCTGCTGATGCTGCTACCATCATCCCTCGGGCTGCACCCATCCCCGTTCCCATGATGGCTACGCGGCCTCGCTGCGTCGTCAGCTCCCCTCGTCCGCATTCCGAAACCCCAGCTGCTATCAGCTATCGCTTCCCGTACTCGATGTAAGCTGCCCCCATATCGTGCTGCTTCGGTGTCAGAAAATTTACGGAAACGCCACATCCGACTAGAATCCCGAACCGTTCTTCCGCCGCGAAATTCCCTCTTCGTAAGAACGGCTCGGGAATCCGCGGGGACAGCTGCGGTTGGTCGGCGAAAGGCCCTGTGACCCGAGACCGTATCGACAGTGGTTTTCGCAGTCGCAGGCCCGCGTCTCGCGGACGCTGCTACCGGAGCGACGAAAGGGAGAGTCGCGCGAGTGAGAGGATAAGTCGCACTCGCAGAGCAGCCTACTACGAACATGATGCCCGCGGTCGACATCGTCTAGGTCAGCCGAAACCGTCTACTGTAGTTCTACAAAAATCGTAACAATTTCGTGTCAACTAGCCTAGCCGACGCGTATTTCCCGTACAGTGTGAAGGCTGACGAGGGGCGGTAACTATTTTGTCTGACGCAGCTAGGGCTGGCTGCGATTGGCTGGCGATGGGCGGAATTTGAAGAGGCGTGGGAGAACCACTTCGCCTGTGTATCCGAACCTGCAAGGCACGGAGTTTGGTTCGACCACCAAACGAAATACACCTCAGAGCCCCCAAACCCAAGCGATCTCCATTCTCATGTACAAGCTTCCCCCAGCAGAGTTCTGTAGGCCATATGCAAGTAGGCTTAACGGTCTTATATGCGAGCCATTCAACACATAAGGGAAATTTACTACGGGGCAAGAGTTAAGCGAGCGACAGAAGAAGAGTATTGAGCTAAAATTATGTGGGAGGCAAAGGGTAAATCGAGTGAGAGGAGGATCAAGCCTAAACGACACATTAGGGTTTCCCTCACACAATAGTTTTCCCTAGTTACTCGCATTCTGAACCCCCTTCCTTCCCATGCCTACACATTGGAAAGTGATGAACCAACAAAACAACGTAATAGGGCTCAATGCATCAGGCAACACGTGCGGCACTGGGCCCTCACCATTTGCTGCCTATTATGTGAAGTTGCATGCTCACACAATTCATCCCCCTTCTCGTCCGCTCACTCATTTTGGGGGTTTTCGTCCTCTCCTTTGTCATCCTCTCAACTTACCATGACGGATTTCTGCCCCCCTCCTATGCCCTTCGCTCAACTTACCCTGGAGGATCTCAGTCCCCCTCCTTTGCCCTTCAATCTAAGTAACTGGGAAATTTTACTCCTCCGTCCTTTGTCCTTCACTCTACGCACCCTAAGGATTTTAGTCCCCCTTTTCTACCCTTGACTTAACTTAGCATGAAGCCCGGACAGCCTAACAATTTAAAGAAACAAGAGTCACAAGAAGCCGCCAACCTCACATCAATCCCCTTCTCATCAACCCACTCATGACATGTGGGAAGGCACAGAAGGGGGCTGCAACTCCCAAACGATGGAAAACCAGAAGAGGAAGATTGAAGGTATGACGGTACGAAAGTATGGAGGTATGGAGGTGTGGAGGTATGGAGATACGTAGGAATGGAGGTAGGGAGGTGTCGAGGTGTGGAATTATGGAGGTATGGAGGTATGGAGGTAGGGAGGTAGGGAGGTATGGAGGCACGGAGGTACGGACGTTTAGAGGAAAGTATGGAGGTACGGAGGTATGGAAGTACGGAGGTGGTATGGAGGGATGGAGGTACAGAGGTATGGAACTATGGAGGTATGGAGGTATGAAGATACGTAGATAGGGAGATACAGAGGTATGGAGGTACGGAGGTATGGAGGTACGGAGGCATGGAGGTGCGGAGGTATGGAGGAGCGGAGGTGTGAAGGTATGGAGGTATGGAGGTATGGAGGAGCGGAGGTGTGGAGGTATGGAGATATGGAGGTATGGGGGTATGGAGGTATGGAAGTACAGAGGTGCGTAGGTGTGGAGGTGAGGAGGTATGGATGTGTGGAGGTATGGAGGTATGGAGGTATGGAGATACGGAGGTATGGAGGTGTGGAGGTATGGAGGGATGGAGGTATGGAGGAATGGAGGCATGGAGGAATTGAAGTGTGGAGGTATGGAGGTGCAGAGGTGCGGAGGTGTGGAGGTGTGGAGGTGTGGAGGTACGGAGGTGTGGAGATAGGGAGGTATGGAGGTACAGAGGTATGGAAGTATGGAGGTACGGAGGTATGGAAGTACGGAGGTGGTATTTAGGTGTGGAGGTACGGGGGTATGGAGGTACCTAGGTAGGGAGGTAGGGAGGTACGAAGGTATGGAGGTATGGAGGTACGGAGGTATGGAGGTATGGAGGTATGGAGGTATGGAGGTATGGAGGTACGGAGGTGTGGAGGTATGGAGGTATGGAGGAACGGAGGTGTGGAGGTGTGGAGGAATGGAGGTATGGAAGTATGGAGGTACGGAGGCAGTGAGGTGTGGAGGTATGGAGGTAAGGAGGTATGGAAGAATGGAAGAGCGGATGTACGGAGGTGTGGAGGTGTGGAGGTACGGAGGTACGGATTTATGGAGGTACGGAGGTACGTAGGTGTGGAGGTACAAAGGTACGGAGGTGTGGAGGTATGGAGGTGTGGGGGTGTGGATGTGCAGAGGTACGGAGGTGTGGAGGTACGGAGGTAAGGAGGTACGGAGGTGTGGAGGTACAGAGGTACGGAGGTGTGGAGCTATGGAGGTATGGAAGTATGGAGGTACGGAGGTGTGGAGGCATTAAGGTGTGGAGGTATGGATGTGTGGAGGTGTAGAGGTATAGAGGTATGGAGGTACGGAGGTATGGAGGTGTGGAGGTATGGAGGCATTAAGGTGTGGAGGTATGGAGGTGTGGAGGCACGGAGGCACGGAGGTATGGAGGTATGGAGGTACGGAGTTGTGGAGGTATGGAGGTATGGAAGTATGGAGGTACGGTGGTACGGATGTATGGTGGTATGGAGGGATGGAGGTGTGGAGGTATGGAGGTGCGGAGGTACGGAGGAACGGAGGTGTGTAGCTATGGAGGTACGGAGGAATGGATGTACTGAGGGAAGGAGGTACGTAGTTATGGGATACGGAGGTGTGGGGGTGTGGAGGTATGGAGGTGCGGAGATATGGAGGTGTGGAATATGGACGTATGGAGTTATGGAGGAATTGAGGTGTGGAGGTATGGAGGTACGGAATTACGGAGGTGTGGAGGTATGGATGTGTGGAGGTATGGAGGTACGGAGGAACGGATGTACAGAGGGAAGGAGGTACGGAGTTATGGGATACGGATGTGTGGAGGTATGGAGGCAGGGAGGTATGGAGGTATAGAGGTATGGAGGAATAGATGTGTGGAGGTATGGAGGTGTGGAGGTAAGGAGGTACGGAGGTGTGGAGGTACGGAATTGTGGAGGTGTGGAAGTGTGGAGGTGTGGAGTTGTGGAAGTACGGAGGTATTGAGGGATGGAGGTGAGGAGGTATGGAGGTGTGGAGGTATGGAGGTGTGGAGATGTGGAAGCCTGGAGGTGTGGAGGTGTGGAGGTACGGAGGTGTGGAGCTGTGGAGGTATGGAGGTTCGGAGGTATGGAGGTGTGGAGGTATGGAGGTAAGGAGGAATGGAGGGAAGGAGGTCTGGAGGTATAATGGTACGGAGGTATGGACGTATGGAGGTATGGAGAAAATGAAACAGACGGCAAATGCTCTATGTGGCGGACGCCTACTTGCCCCCCCTCTAGCGAAAACCAATAGTGGGATGAAGAGACAAACAGATGCGAATAGCTGTGAACAGCTGTGAAAAGAGTTGAATAGAGGCGCTGCGTCGGCTCCACACAGTGTGTACTGGAAAACGAGGGCTCTGCAGCTCAATAAGCCCGAGGTAGCAGAGGCACAGGGAGACAGGGATGCAAACGCTGTACGCAAGAGAGAGAGAGAGAGAGAGAGAGAGAGAGAGAGAGAGAGAGAGAGAGAGAGAGAGAGAGAGAGAGAGAGAGAGTGTTAGTATCAGCAAGGAGAGAGCAGAGTCGAAACAAAAAGGAATGGACGGCAGATGCTCTATGCGGCGGACGTCTAGAAGGCCCCCCTCTAGCATCTCTCCACAACTTACGACATGAACGAACCCCCACGAGCCGCACGAAGCAACGCTCGACCAGCGAATCCCCACGAGTCGCACGAAGCAACGCTCGACCAGCGAATCCCCACGAACCACTAGCGGACAAGGTCTGCCACGAATAAACGGGAGCCTCACGAACGAGCCACTGGCGACAAACCGCCATGGCGACGAGCGACTCGGGCGGATGATGAAGGTCCGCCAAATGGACCCTCGGCGGAATTGGCACTCGCGACATTGCGGAACAGAAATGTGGAAAGCTCGCCGTGCAGCGGCGACACACACATCGCGTGCTCAACCCTGGCTACTGCCCGCGGCCGCCACGAGCGTCGCCCGACGGGTGGTCGTTGATCGCCGATGACGATCGCAGTGGTGCTGCGAGCATTGGTGCTGCGATGTTGCGTGCAGCTGCCTGGCAAAGGGTCTAAACTCCGCTGCCGTCGCGACGGGTGGTTGGCGATCGCCGACGAGCTCTCACCAAACTCAGATTGATCCAATGGGAGGTGGATAATAGAGAAGGAAAGAGAGGGAACGAAAGGGAGAGATGGAGGGTTAGTAGCTACAAGGAAGGATCAGACTCAAAGCAGCACAGAACAAATTGCAGACGGGCTATGTGGTGGACACCTACTCGCCCCCCTCGTAGCATTTGCCCACCGCTTACCACACAAATGACGACTTGTTTTGGGGTTTCGAGCCCGCGTCGACGTGCCGACCACGACGACGCTCGCCACCAACCGCACACCCCCATCCAGTTTTGAGAGGCCCACCAGTGTCAACGCCGCCAACCACGGTTGGACCCTCGCCGCCACCTCCCCAGCTGCTCAGTGCTGGAACACCGCCAACAGATGAGGAACGTAGGAGGGCTCGGTAAGAAAGGTGTCACGAATGTGTTATGTCATCCATCTGGGATAGCAGACCCACCAGTCGGGTGCTTGGCCTGCAAAGAGTCCACCAAGTGCCGGGAGGGCTGAGCCAAGTCCTTAGAAGTAAGGCAAGCCAGACCCCGACTCCACTCACCCACCGCACAGCAGGTTTGGCAGCGAGCCATACGGGGGGCATCCGGATCATGCTCCGGCGAGGAATAAGCCAACGTGCGGGATGTCGGCTGGAGGGCAGCCCTGGCAGAATCGAACAAACGACGCCACTCGCCCGCCCAAAACTGCTCCAACCGCTCCCGAATGGCCGCCCGTTGGCCCACTCCTTTCTTGGAAGGGACACCCAGGATGAGGCACAGGAAGGCAAAGAGCATGAGGGTGGCCGCCTCGTCCTGCCACTGTGACTTGATGCGCTTGAGAATGCAGCAAAGAGCATCCAGAACGCCGAGCCGAGCCCGGAGAGGAACACGGCGCATCAGCTTGCCGGGACCCACTCCACTC